ATGCCATAGACTGGGTGGTTTAACCAACATTTATTTCTCACAGTTCTGGAGTGGGAAGTCCAAGCTCAAGGGGCTGGCAGATTTAGTGTCTGGTGAAGAACCACTTCCTGGTTAATAGACAGCCATCTTCTTGCTGTCTCCTCACACATCAGAAGGAAAGAGGGAGCTCTCTGGGCTCTCTTTTATAATCTCCTCCATGAGGGCTCCAACCTCGTGACCTAATCTCCTCCCACAGGCCCCGCCTCCTAATGCCATCACAGTGGGGGGTCAGGTTTCAACATAAGAAGTTTGGGCAGACACAGACATTCAGTCCATAGCACCTTCTTTGCCCTTTTTTCCTTCTCGCATCTCTGACTTTACATTTCCCTTTGATTTGAATTTCTTTCATGTGGGTCTGCTATTTAGTTATTATTTACTTATTTATTATTTATCTGAATTACCTTTATTTTGCCTTCAGTAATAAAGGATATTTTGTCTGGGTATAAGATTATGTTAGCAGTTATTTTCTTTCAGCACATTAAAGATATGATCCCACTGTTTTCTAGTTCCCATCATTTGTTGTGAGAAATCAACTGTCACTCTACCTGTAGGGCCCTTGATGGTAATGTATATGTTTTCGCCTTTTACAGTTGTCTCCTTGTCGTTCATTTTCTGCATTTCTAGCAGTCATTTGTTGTTGCTTTACTTCTTTTTTTTCCAGCTAGGGAATCACTGGGACTGTTGCATATGTGGCCTGGTGTCTCCAATAGGTTCTAGAAATTCTCATCCATTGCCTTTGTAGCTCCTTACCCTCTGGTACTCCAAACCATCATTTATTTGATCATCCTACCGCTTCACGTAAGTCTTATTTTTCTTCTCTGCTCTCCATCTTTCTGTCTCTGTTCTAAATTCCAGATAGTTTCTTCTGACCTATGTTCTAGTTCTAGTTCACTTGTTCTTTCTTCAGTTGCTTCAAATCTGCTCTTAAATCCATCTACTTAGTTTTTAATTTGTTATTTACTTAGTTTAAGTACTAGAATTTCTATTTAGTTCTTTAAAATGGCTTTTTAAAAGGTAATTTCCACCCTGATGATTTTTTTTTATCTCAGCCCTTTTTAAAACAGTATTTATTTAAAGTAATCTCTGCACCCAACGTGGGGCTCGAATTCATGACCCTGAGATCAGGAGTCACATGCTCTACTGACTGATCCAGCTAGGTGGCCCCCCAGCCCTTTTTTAAATCAATTTTTTGTATTATGGATAATACACATAATATAAAATTTACCATCTTAACCACTTTTAAGTGTACAGTTCAGTGGTATTAAGGACATTCATATTGTGCAGTCATCACCACCTTCCACCTCCAGACTCTTTTTGTCTTGTAAATGTGAAATTCTGTCCCCATCAGAGGCTCCCACTTTCCCCCTCTCCCCCCACCCCTGGCCACCTCCATTCTACTTTCTTTGAATTTGACTACTCTAGATCCCTCATATAAGTGAAATCATAGCATTTGTCTTTTTGTAACTGGCTTTCACTAAGCGTAATGTCCTCAAGGTTCATCCATCTTGTAGCACATGTCAGAATTTCCTTCCTTTTTAAGGCTGAATCATATTCCATTGTATAGACAGACCACATTTGCTTACTCATTCATGCACTGGTGGAACTTGGGTTGCTTCCATCTTTAGGCTGTCATGCATAATGCTGCTATGAATATGGGTGTACAAATATCTTCTGGAGGTCCTGCTTTCAATTATTTGGGGTATTGTGGATGAATTGTGTGCCACCCAAAATTCATCTGTTGAATTCCTACACCCGCAATGTGATTGTATTTGGAGATAGAGCTTTTATGGAGGTAATTCAAGTTATATGAGGTTGTATGAGTGGGGTCCTAATCTGATGATAAGAGGGAGAAACACCAGAGAGCTCTCTCCCTCCTCATGTGCACACAGAGGAAAAGCCATGTGGTGAGACAGCATGGAGGAAGCCACCTACAAGCCAGGAAGAGAGGCCTCACTAGAAACCAACTCTGATGGCCCCTTCACCTTGCATGTCTAGCTCCAGAACTACAAGAAAACAAATTTCTGTTGTTTAAGCCACTCAGTCTGATATTTTGTTATGGCAGCCCTAGCAGACTAATACAGAAATAGAATTTCTGGATCAGGGGTGGGAGGATGGGTTAGCCTGGTGGTGGGTATTGAGGAGGGCACGTTCTGCATGGAGCACTGGGTGTTATGCACAAACAATGAATCATGGATCACCACATCAAAAACTAATGATGTGGGGCGCCTGGGTGGCTCAGTTGGTTAAGCGACTGCCTTCGGCTCAGGTCATGATCCTGGAGTCCCAGGATCGAGTCCCGCATCGGGCTCCCTGCTCGGCAGGGAGTCTGCTTCTCCCTCTCCCACTCCCCGTTTGTGTTCCCTCTCTCGCTGTGTCTTTCTCTGTCAAATAAATAAATAAAATCTTAAAAAAATAAAAAAATAAAAAAATAAAAAAAAAAAAAATAAAAAAACTAATGATGTAATGTATGGTGATTAACATAAGAATAAAAAAAAAAGAATTTCTGGATCATATGGTAATTCTATTTGCAACTTTTTGAGAAAATGCCAACTGTTCTCCACAGTGACTGTGCCATTTTACATTTCCACCAGCAGGGCACAAGGGTTCCAGTTTTTCCATATCCTTGCCCACACTTGATCTTTTCTATTTTTTTGATAGTAGCCATCCTGATGGGTGTGAGGTGGTAGCTCATCATGGCTTGGGTTTGCATTTCCCTAATAATTAGTTATGTTGAACACCTTTTCTTGGGCTTATTGGCCATTTGTATATCTTCTTTGGAGAAATGTTTATTGAAGTCTTTTGCCCATTTTTTAACCAGGTTGTTTTTGTTGTTGTTGTTGCGTCGTAGGAGTTCTCTATATCTTTAGGATATTAATCCCTTATTAGATATATGGTTTGCAAATATTTTCTCCCATTCTGTGGGTTGCCTTTTTACTCTGCTGATAGTGTCTTTTGATGCAAAAAGTATTTTTAATTTTGATGAACTCCAGTTTGTCTTTTTTTTTTCTGTTGTCTGTGCCTTTGGTGTCATATCCAAGAAATCATTGCCAAAGCCAATGTCATGAAGCTTTTATCCTATGTTTTCATGTTTAGGTCTTCTATCCATTTTGAGTTAATTTTTGTATATGGTGTTAGGTGGGAGTCCAACTTCATTCTTCTGCATGTGGGTACCCATTTTTCCCAGCACCATGTGTTGGAAAACCTGTCCTACCTCGATTGCTCTAGGCACCCTTGATGACAGTCATTTGACCCTATATGTGATGGTCTGTTTCTGGGCACCCTATTCTATTCTATTGTCTATCTTTCTATCTTTATGCCAGTGCCACACTGCTTTGACTGCTATAGCTTTGCAGTGAGTTTTGAAAGCAGGAAGTCTAAGTTCTCCCACTTTGTTCTTCTTTTCCAAGATTGTTTTGGCTGTTCTCTTGACAAAATTTAAAGTTTGCATTTTCTTGGAACACAGTAAACTTAGCTATTTTATAGTCTTTGATAATTCTGATGTCTGAAGTTTCTCTCATTTCTGCTTATTCTTCTTAGTGGTGTCTTGCTTCCTTGGGTGCCCGATTATCTTTGACTGTGTCCTGTGTTTTGTATTGGAAAAATTATTTATATGAACAGCTTGAGGCCTAAGAAGATGCCATCTTCTGCCAGAGAGGGTTTTCTTTGCTTCTGCCTGGAACCGTGGAATGCTACCCATCGGGAGCCACCTTAAACCAAGTCCAGGTTTGAGGGGCCCTGCATTGCTCAGGTGAGGGGACAGCAGAGTGTGAGGCTGCACAAGGACTGTGTACTTCAAGTTCACCCCGCTTAATGTGGGGGCTTATCCCCACCACTCAGTGAGCTCTGAGCTTCGACGTTTCTCTCCCTTTCCCTCGACAAGGTTACTAAAACTGCAGATCTCCTTTGCAGCTGTTGCTTGTGAATTTGCAGATGCACTCACAGGGAAAGGAGCTTTGAGTGCCAGGCTCACCTCCAGTCCTTCCCTGTCCTCAATTTGGAATCCAAACACTGAAACTCCCTCACTTGCTTGTTTGCTCTTTTGTGTCTTTCCGAAGAGAGGTGTGTTTATCTGTCTTTTGTATTGGTCTGGATTACAGAGCCGGCTCTCACCTAAAGGGGAAGTCCAGAGGGTCTTTTCTAAAAGCACAGTTCTGACCACAATCTTACCAGGAGCTAATCATGGCAGTCTGGAGCCCAGCTCTGTGACCATTAATTCATTCAAGGCTGTCCAGCATCCTGGAGGCAAGAACTAGTGTTATCCCCAACTCATGGGTAAAAATCCAGAGCACAGAGAAGCAAGGCTAACCTGCCTCATGGTTGCACAGCTAACTGAGTGGCAGGATCAGCCTTGGAGCCAGTTGTGTCTTACTACAGAGATGTTGCTCCCCCTCTTCTGCTCAGGAGCCTTCTGGGGCTCCCCACTGTCTGGCGTCCTGAGCACAGACCACCCCCAACCCAGCCATCAAGGCCCTTCCAGGCTCCCCTGGCCGCACTGGCTCCTGCCCATCCCCAGCTCTCCTCCCCAGCACTACCTGCCCACCCTTCCTCACGTGCCTCCGACTCACCTGCCACACCTGGCTCGGAGGCTGGCACTCTGCTGTGCCCTCCCAAGGTCCCTGATTAAAGTGGGATCCAGGGCCCTGGGCACCCCATTTGCCCAAAGCCAGGGCCCACAATGGGAGCTCCCCGACCCCACAGCAGCAACCCAGATCTGGGCACTCTCCAGGGCATCGGGTACAGCAAACAGGTCAGAGCCTGTCCCTGAGCACACAGCCTGTCTGCAAGGGGATGGAGCAGGCCAAGGGGTCCTGTATTAGGGACCAGGAACTGTCATGCCATCCTGGGGACGCCTTGCTCAAGGCCAGCTCACCCTTGGAGGGTGCCTGGTGGGTGAGGCAGGGGAGGCCTCCAGGCCCACCTGCCGCCCCTAGGTGCCCATTGGTCCTCTCTCTTTCTGACAGGTGAACAATAATGGGATCATCTCCTTCCTGAAAGAGGTCTCTCAGTTCACCCCAGTGGCCTTCCCCATCGCCAAGGACCGCTGCGTGGTGGCAGCCTTCTGGGCAGATGTGGACAATCGACGGGCAGGTGATGTGTACTACCGGGAGGCCGCTGACCCAGCAACGCTGCGCAGAGCCACAGAGGATGTCAGGCGCTACTTCCCCGAGCTCCCGGACTTCTCCGCCACCTGGGTTTTCATAGCTACCTGGTACCGCGTGACCTTCTTTGGAGGCAGCTCCTCTTCCCCTGTGAGTTTTTTGTCCTGGGGAAGGGAGGACGTCCATCTGGGGTCCAGGGTCTCCCCCCAGGGGCCCCACCTTGCTGAGAGGGGTCAGACATAATCACTGGTCCATGCCTGAGACGGGAAAACCTGGCTCAGGGAGGGAAGTCACTCTCCCAGGGTCACAGAGCCAGGCTGGAGGAGGACAGAGCCTTGACCTTCCCCAGCCCTCCCAGAAACCATCTGCCTCTAGGAAAATGCCAAATGCCCTGATACAGTGTTTCGCACGCTGGTGGAACTTGGGTTGTGTCAGAATTCCCATCTGGAATGGTTCAATTCTCAATAGGCTAAGTGGGAACTTTATTCTGTTTTATCCTTTATTCTGTGATAATGCCAAATAACAAAGGCATCAGGGATGTGTCTCTCCCGTGGGGCACACTCTCCACGCCAAGCGCCGAGAAGTGCTTGGCACAGCACAACCAGGGGGCAGGAGCTCGCCCTGAGACTGCTATGCAAGCCACATGGGGCTCCGGAGCTGGGGGAATGGGACGGTTCAGAGCAGCCCTGAGGGACAGATGTGTCGGGACACTGGGCTGCAGGGGAGAGGCAGAGCGGTCAAGGGCAGGGCCGCTTTCCCATCATGCACACGGCTGGGCAGAGGGTGGGGGCAGGTACTCAGGGTGGCGGGGTGCAAGCGCCCAGCGGGCATCTGGAGGTGCAGCTGGGGCCCCCAGCAGTGGTGGGAGTGGGAGAGAAGGCTGGTGGACAGGGACGTGCGAGTCCCGCCAAACCCTGAGTTCTCCAGCAGCCAAGATGACAAAGAGAATGCCAGCAAGCACATCAGCCAGGGACGCTGAGGGACCGAGATGTTCACTGCTGGATTTCTTAAAAGGAGTATGACAGTGAATAGGCAAAGATGGGCTTCTTCTGTAAACATCACTACAAATAAATGTTTACCCTGGGTGAACTTTATTCATGCACAGTCCACTAATATTTTGTCAGTTTTACTTGTTTTTCTTATCATCAATTTGGAAGAAAAACATCTTTGTAACAAAAAGAGAAAAAAGAATCAGTAAGTCCACTAGCAAGAGATCACTCCCATCAAACATCTATTGTATCCTGACACACACTTTAACAAATAAATAGAGCCAGCTAGAATGCTTTGTTTTGTGGTTTTGTTTTGTTTTTTTTCACTCAGTGGTAGTAGGGCACTTCCTCACTCCCTGTGTGGAAATCCCTGTCACCTCTGCAGCCACTCTGGGTATTTCCTCCCCGTGGGAGCAGGGGGAGCAGAGCCCCTCCTACGCGGACAGAGGAAACCTAACTCCTCCAGTCCTCGGACCTGGAGTGGGGGCTACAGAATGATTACCCAGGCAACACAAGCATCCCTGGGAGGGATCGGAGTTCTGGGTTGGGGCTGGAAGCTGGTCTGCAACCTGGGAGCCTCCCGGAGCCGGCTGCTTGGCCGGGAGCAAGCGTGAAGCTCCACGCGGGCTCTGGTCTCCCCACACGCTGGACCTCGCCAGCTCGCAAAGCCCCACCACCGGCCCCCCGGGGCCGCAGTCCGGGCCCCCCTCAGCTCCCCGCCACTCGGCCTTCATGGCCACTGCGTCCTGGTTGTCTTCAGAGTGGTAGCAGCAGGTCTGCCTTCCCCAAGGGGAGCACTCAGTCTCCCCACTGTTCGCGGGTATGTAAGGGAGAGGACAGACCCAGTGCTGTACCACTGTGTACGGCACAGACCAGCCCAGCCCCCGGTGGCACCCATGGCAAGGTGCCGCATGGTGGGCACTGCCAGGCCCCGCTAGCTTGGGGGCCATTGCCCGGCACGAGCCTCCAGTGGGGAGGTTGCTGCCCGCAGAGTCCTGACTTGCCCCTCAAGCCTGTACCCCAGAGGCGCGAATAAGCCAGGTGCAGAAGCGTCTCCCCGCGCCCAGCCGGGGGGCCCTGCGCGCTGCGCCCTTGCCCGCCACTCCGGCACACAAGGAAGGCCTTTCTCTAGAACGCTCCACCTCTCTCGTGCTGCGGGATTTGTCCTGTGTTATCAACTAGTTGTTGTCTGTGGCGATGCGTCTGTTCACATAACCTTTGCCAATTTTCTGTCCTCTTCTTCGTCTTTTTCTTTTCCTTTTTTTTTTTTTTAAAGATTTTATTTATTTATTCATGAGAGACAGAGAGAGAGAGAGGCAGAGGGAGAAGCAGGCTTCCCGTGGGGCAGGGAGCCCGATGCGGGACTCGATCCCAGGACCCCGGGATCATGACCTGAGCTGAAGGCAGACGCTTAACCATCTGAGCCACCCAGGCGCCCTTTTTTTTTTTTTTAAAGATTTTATTTATTTATTCATGAGAGACAGAGAAAGAGAGCTTCTTCGTCTTTTTCTTACTGACCCACAGAAGTTCTGCTTGAATTAAGGATATCAATAGTTTCACCTGCCACCTATGTTATAAATACATTTTTCACTTAGCTGTTTGCCATTCCGTTTGCTCTTATGGCACTTTGTTATATGCAGAGGCTTTTGTAGTCAAATATATAAATCTCCTTTTTGGTTTTTGCAGTTAACAAATGTTACACTTAAAGTCCTTCCTCAACGTGGCTCCATGTATTCGCCTATATTTTCCTCTAGGGCTTTGATCGTTCCATTCACAACCTTACTTGATGTGGGATTTATTTTCGTGAGTGATATAAAGCTCTAATTTTATTCTTTTTCAGTTTCCTATTTGTCCCAAGACCACTTCTTAAACAACCCCACCCTTTCCCCAATCTGAAATAACATCCCATATATATACTACTCAATATCTTCATGGAAGAGATTCCATGAAAAAATCATTAAAACTGCTTCTCCTTGTTTCCTCTTTTTATCTTTCCCTCTTCACGTTTTTTTCACACGAGGCAATTTTGTGGATTTGACCCGGTAAGCACTAACCCTTGTGCCCCAGTCGCCACAGGGCGCAGTGTCTGCTCCTGGTGTCCGTGGGCCCTGCTGACCCCTCGGTGTGTCTCCCTCCCCAGATGACAGTTGTTAGGGGTCCTGACCTCAGGCCTCAGGCACTAGGGACACAGTGGAGGATGAGGACGAGGCCATCAGCTCGATGGCAGATGGCTGACCAGTGAGCTGGGAAGACAGAGGAGGGGCCGGTGGATGAGGACGGTGTGCGAAGGCACGCTGGAGGGCCTAGGGCCTTGCAGCATGGACAAGGGAGCATAGAAAACCCTGTTCAGGACTCCCTCCTCGGCAGGTCAACACGTTCCAGACTGTGCTTATCACTGACGGCAAGTTCTCCTTCACCATCTTCAACTATGAGTCCATCACATGGACGACGGGCACACACGCCAGCAGCGGGGGCAACACCACGGGCCTGGGGGGCATCGCAGCCCAGGTAGGGGCCCGGCTCCCCACCGCCATGACTGTCATGAGCTGATGAGGCAGGCAGACCCCTACACACACCCAGTACTGTGCAGAGGCCCATGTGAGGCCTTCTGATGCCAAGCCCAGTCCAGACTCACAGGAACATCCTCAGGTCAAAGGCACTTTTGTCCCGATCCACACTGCCCTGGCCTCCGAGGGCCAGCTGCAGCCGAGGCAGAAGGGGCCCTGGTTCTGTGTGCGCTCGCTGTCCTGGGGCCTGGCCTGGCCCGTGGCCTGCAGAACTGTGGCCAGCAGGAAGTCACAAGTGTGGAGGGAGTGGTCAAGTGCCAGTCCCCAGGCCAGCGAGTGCTCCCTCATGATGGGAAGGGCCTCACCTCCTTCCTAGCCATCTACTTTCTTCTGAGGTCACACCTGCCCCTGGTCCCCACAGGAGCCAAGAGGCTAGGGAGGGAGGCCCTGCATGTGTGTGTGAGGGGAGCATGCCAGGGCCCAACAGTGTCGGTGGCCGGGGTCAGCATCCGGCTGGGAGGTTGCTGATCAGGACAGGCACAACGTGGAGGGTGGTATGGGTACCCCCAAACCCATAAAGCTCCAAGATTGTAAGGCCACCTTCCACATGATCTCTTTGACCATGGCCACCATGGGGGCGGGAGGTCTCAGGAAACAGGGAGACCTGCAGACAAACCCACGCCTGTCCCCCACTCTCCATACCCACCTCCCCAGGCCGGCTTCAATGCGGGTGATGGGCGGCGCTACTTCAGCATCCCCGGCTCCCGCACAGCGGACATGGCGGAGGTGGAAACCACCACCAACGTGGGTGTGCCCGGGCGCTGGGCGTTCAGAATCGATGATGCCCAGGTGCGCGTGGGGGGCTGCAGCCATACAAGTAAGAGGATGGAGCCAGCGGCTCAGGGCTGTGGGGGTTGGGGTGGCTCAGGGAGTGGGGGGATGACAGGAGGGAGCCAGACCCTGGGGGCGGGGGGGAGGGGGCTGGACGCTGATGGGGGTGAAGGGGATGCTGGAGGAGGGGGCGGGACGCTGGGGACGGGGCAGGCTGCTGGCCAAGAGGGCACGACCTCCCCCACCACTCTCCCCTAGCAAGTATCAGCTCACCCCTTGAGCCCTGTCTCTTCCTGGGGAGGCCTTCCTACCTCAGCTCCAGGGCCGGGGAATCTGTTGGAGACCAAGGTTTGTGGTGCAAAGTGGAGGAGCTGGGGTCGCCCCTCCTTGGGGCCAGGAGTCGATGTTCTCCCCTCATTCTCTCCCAGGCTGCGTCCTGGGCCGGGGAGGGGCACCACCCCTGTCTCCTGTGTCCCCGGGATCACCTGGAAGGCAGACGCTCCTGTCACCCAGTTCCCCACATTTGCCATGGGCTTGCTGCTTCCTGGGTTTTGGCACATACACACCCGGGCATCTACTTGACTGCAGGGAGTTGAACACTCAGAACATGCAGCAGATGGGGGGAGGGTCCACCCCAGGGCAGAAGGATGCATCCTGGCCCCTTCCCCTGTATGGCCCTGGAGGAGGCGCAGACCCTCCTGAAACATCATGCTTATAAATGGAGAGAAGGTGATAGATTTAGCCACTTGGTGGAGAGCTAACCACAGGCCTTGCAAAGGCCACAGTGAGGCCGGTGTCAGGAGCATCCTAGCAGACTCACCTCCCACCCACAAGGAGGCTGAGGCCACTGAGAGGGCCTCTTCACCTCCGGGAACACCAACTCTCTGAGAGCGAACCCAGCGCAAGTGGAGCCCACCCAGACCAGCACTTTCCAGGGGCCAGGGCCCGGGAGGACAGGCATGCCCCCATGGGCCGGAAGGCTCACCAAGCACTGGGGATGATGCCCCAGTGAGAGACGCATGGGGAACCCGAGCCCACCCGCTCACTGGAGCACTGGAGCCTGAGTCTGAGCTTAGGGGATGGGGGAACTCACAGGCCAGGGAGCCCAGGAGCCAACATGTTGCCCCTCCCCCAAAGTGGCAGGCGGGACACCCAGGAATGCAAGGTCTCCTGCAGCCCCAGGCCAGGCCGCCTACTCTGCCCACCTGGGCTCTGGGTAGTGGTGGTCCAGGGGATGGGGACCTCATTCTGTCTCTGACGGCAGAAAGGTCTGGTTGCTTGTCATCTCCCGGTAGCCAGGGGCTTGGGCTGTGGTTCAAGATGTGGGCTGCCGTGAGCAGGCGTCAGTGCGGTGTGGATGCAAGCCTGAGCAGGTGGGTGACAGGTGCAGGTACCGGTGGGGACTGGTGTGAGCAGGTGCAGCTGTGGGTACAGGTGTGGGTCTAGGCGTGGCAGGTCCATGCCCTCTACAAAGGCTGCAGGCTGTGAGAACCCTGAGAAATGAGATCCTCCGAGGAGGGTCTGGCCAGTCCCCCCGGCGATCCCTTTCGCATGCAGACGTGCTCCTCCTGCTATCGCAGGCTTCTGGGGGAAGTAGATGGAGGAGGCATTGCTGGGCCTTCTGAACTAGTGAGCACGGAAGCCCACAGGAGCCCCCTTGCTTCCCCACGGCCACACTGCAAGCCCAGGAGATGGAGCCCACACACAGGCTTTGCTGGGAAGGGAGGGCCAGGTCCCTCCTGAGAGGCAGTGCATCCACATCTGGAAGTCTAGCTCCTGAGAAAGGCAGGTCCCTAAACAGGGTTCGTGCAGACAGCCAGCGCACTCCACAGGGTAGCCAAACCACGACCGGCTGAGCGACAGTGTGGCTAAGTGAGTGGAAAGGTACGCACGAGGAGCAGGAACAGTCCAAAAGATGCCCTTAGCCTTGATGGTGTTCTGGGCCACAGGGTCCTTCCAGGAATGTCCCCCCTTGCTCCCCTTGATGCCACTCTAGATCTCCCGGGCCCCCTAGTAACAGGAGATCAGGACGGTGGGGTGCTCTTGTTCCCTGCCAATTTGTGCTCCTTTATTGCAGATGTCAGCAGCCTTACTTCTCCAGAGGGGTAGGGCCTCCTGAGCTGGTGGGCGGCCAGTCCTAGAGGGCTCAGGCATGGGGTTAGGTGGTCCCTGGGGACTGCTGGGGGCTCTCCCTGGCCAGGAGGTCGTGATGTGAGAAGCCCTGCCTTCCAGAGCTCTGTGGGAGGCCCTCTTGTTTTCCACGGGGAGATCTGGAGGGGCAGCTGGGCCTGGGTTTCTGCAACTATTGTTGGCAGCGCTGAGATCAGATTGCATCCCCCCCTAGGAGGGTCTGAGGGCGCCCCCGCCCACCACCTCTGGTTCCCATGGGGGTCCCCCTCTTCCACATTGTTTTTCCAATGAAGCACACTCACGTCTTCCTGTGTTGCTGGGCACCCTTGGGTCTGTGTCTTCTTAGTTCCTCAAACAAATCTGGAAGGTGACGGATTAAAGGGATAAGAGGGTGCTGTGGGGGGGGGGCACCTGGGTGGCTCAGTTGGTGAAGTGTCTGATCCTTTGGCTCAGATCATGATCCCGGGGTGCTGGGATGGAGCCCCGCATCGGGCTCCCTGCTCAGCGGGGAGTCTGCTTCTCCCTCTCCCTCTGCCGCTGCCCCTGCTCGTGCTCTGTCTCTCTAACAAATAAATAAATAAAATCTTAAAAAAAGAAAAGGTGCCGTGGGTATGATGGGTGCGGGGGAAGCCAGAGTCCCGGCCCAGGAACCCGAATGTCAGCGGCACGCGCAAGCGCACTAGGCACCGGGGGAGCCCCGGGAAGCTAGCCGCGGATGCTGGGCTGTCAGCAGACCGCACAGCCGCTCCTCAGAAATGGGCCCTTGGGGCAGGGGAGGGAAGGGACGCTCGCTCCTTGCTGTGTCCACAGCCTCCGTGTGCCTGGCCCTGCGCCCGTGTCTCAACGGCGGCAAGTGCATCGATGACTGCGTCACGGGCAACCCCTCCTACACCTGCTCCTGCCTCTCAGGCTTCACAGGGAGGAGGTGTCACCTGGGTGAGTCTACACCCACCAGCACAGCCGGTGGCCCAAGGTCAAGGGTCTCCGTCCCCACGGTGCGGGCGCTGTTGGGGGTGGGGGACAACGCTGTGGCTCCCTGGAGGTGAGCACGGTGGGCGGGGCTACCGCTGCCCCTTCGGAGCTGAGCGCCCTGCAAGTGAGGCCAGAAGGGGTCCAGGCAGATCCTCCCCAACCCGGCTTCCTCCACTGAGGCCCCAGCCTGCCCTGCTTTTCAGATGTGAACGAATGTGCTTCCCATCCGTGTCAGAACGGCGGCACCTGCACACATGGCGTCAACAGCTTCCGCTGCAGGTGCCCGGCCGGCTTCAGGGGGCCCACCTGTGAGACAGGTAAGAGGAGTGTGCCTGGGCCCTGTGGCCCCTCTGGTGGCAGGATGATCAGGACGGTCCCCCCACAGCCTGACGCCCTCCAGAATGGGGTGCAGCAGGAGCCCCAGGGGCCCGGCCGGAGGGCCGACGCCTTCCACCCCTCTGCCCTTGCAGCACTGTCTCCATGTGACACCAGGGAGTGCCAGAACGGTGGCCGGTGCCAGGAAGAGCGGGGCTCGGCCGTGTGCCTGTGCCTGACCGGCTACACGGGCGCGGCCTGCGAGACGGGTGAGCGGCTGGCCCCGGGGGGCAGGGGAGAGGCTCCCGCCCGGCCGCACCCATACCAGGTGCCGGGAGTCAAAGGCTGGCTCGAGCCAAGCTCCCGCCTCCGCTGCCCCCAGATGTGGACGAATGTGCCTCCAGCCCGTGCCTCAACGGGGGCTCGTGCGTCGACCTCGTGGGGAACTTCACCTGCCTGTGCGCGGAGCCCTTCGAGGGACCTCGCTGCGAGACTGGTAACGGCCCGCGCCCGAAGCCCCCAGTGACAGCGGTCCCGTGTGGCCACCCGGCCCCTTTCCCTCACTGTCCAGCTCAGCCCCACTTCTGGCCCGGGGGGTCATCTCCCCGGCCCTGCCTGAGCCGGCCTGTCCCCTGGGCTGCCATACTGGTCGTGACTCTGCCACCACATGCAGTGCAGGGCTGAGCGTGCCTCCTGTCCCCTCCAGTCCCCAGTCCCCTCCTGTCCCCTCCAGTCCCCTCCAGTCCCCTCCTGTCCCTTCCAGTCCCCTCCAGTCCCCTCCCGTCCCCTCCTGTCCTTTCCAGTCCCCTCCTGTCCCCTCCAGTCCCCTCCCGTCCCCTCCAGTCCCCTCCTGTCCCTTCCAGTCCCCTCCTGTCCCTTCCAGTCCCCTCCTGTCCCCTCCAGTCCCCTCCTGTCCTTTCCAGTCCCCTCCAGTCCCCTCCTGTCCCCTCCAGTCCCCTCCTGTCCTTTCCAGTCCCCTCCAGTCCCCTCCTGTCCCCTCCAGTCCCCTCCTGTCCCTTCCAGTCCCCTCCTGTCCCCTCCAGTCCCCTCCTGTCTTCTCCTGTCCCCTCCTGTCCCCTCCAGTCCCGGTCACCATCTATGAAATGCAGGGCAAAATGGCCACCCTCTCACGGCCCCTCTTCCTGCTCAGGAGATTCTTGGCTTTTTAACATCCTTCTTTCCTACTCCAGACCCCTCACCATGCAAGGGAACAAGCCACGGGGGTTGGCAAGAAAACTGACCTTTATCACGTGATGAAATCTGCTAGTTTCTACTTCATGTTGTTTTAAATGCTGGTTATGACTTGGTAGATCAGTTAAAAAACCAACTCGATTTTACAACCCACAGAATAAATTCAGGTTGTTAGCATCTGACATGGCGCTGACCACCAAAGGCCTCGCCCGGCCCCTGTGCCAGCGATAGCGAAGTCCACAGCATGGGCAGCTGCTCCCCTGGGAGATGCACAAGACAAGCTTGTCAGATTTAGTTTGAGTCTAAAAATTTAAGAAGGAAATTAAATTTTACCCATAAGTAGGATATAGATGGATGCTATGCCCTCCATCAGTCTTTGTTCAGAGGGCCACACATAGGACAGGCCGTGTCCTGAGGAGAGAGTGAGGCTCTGCCATGCAGAGGGGAGGAAGGGAAGGGCAACCTTACCTGTTTGGTTGCTTAAAATCACTGTAATGGGTCACAGTTCACCTTGCCCAGATTGTTATCTAAATATCTGTGTATTTAACTAAATTCATGTTAGGAAACAGATCAGTGATTTCAAAGATTTTGCAGAGAAACCACCTTTTTGTACAGGAAGAATAATGCAAATGAAAGCAACCAATAAGAAACAACAGAACTGACACTTCCACCCCTAGGAAAACCTTATTAGTCACATTACAAGGTACCAATCTGGACATTCTAACCAGATTCAACAGAAGTTGGCCAAAAATTAAAGATAATTTTTAAAAAATAGTACCCATTCTGATGCTTCTGACCAAGAAAGATTGACTGTTCTGGGAATTTCCCTCACCATCAAAACTAGAAAACTAGACAAAATACATGAAACAACTGTTTTCAGCCATTGGACAACAGGCATCACAGGGTTGTTACCCCTGGGAGGAGGGACTGAAGTGAAGAGCACGCTACAATTGCCCCCAAGTCTGCCTACAGGAAGTTTCCAGGCCATTGTGTAGCAAGGGGATCCAGACTCTAGCAGTTCCTCTGAGTCTCTGGGTCACAGACAGAGATTCTAGTTTGGTAGCTGCAATTTGTGGGGAGAACTCCTTTCTGGAATTCTACTAAGAGGGGCTGGGGAAAGTGCAAGAAGAATCTCCGAAGACATGCAGACGGACCCCTTGCCTCTTTGCTCAGCACAGTTGGGGTGAAATCCATGAGGTTGGGCAAAGAACCACTGGGAGCACTGAATCATACAATCCCCAGAACTCGAACAAGACTGGGAATAAGTCACTTCTCTATAGCCAGAGTGCATGCAGAGCTCCTCACACCCAGGGCCAAGACTGGGTAGAGTCCTCACTGGGGTATCAGCTTGATGGTATGGATAAATAAACACTAGAACAAAGGCTAATCTGACCTGTCCTAGCAAATGTTAAAGGGAAGTTTGAGAGGATCAAAACAATCCCAAATAATTTAACCATATGCCAGAATCAAATCCTATACTCTTTGAAGGAATATAACAGAATCCAGGAAAAAAACAAAAATTATCAGGCATACTAAGAATCAGGAATATATGACCCACAGCCAGGAGAAAAACAGATCAATAGAAACAGATGACAGAGATGATTAAATTAGCAGATATGCATGTTTAATCATCTACTGTGAACATGCTCCATGTGCTCAAGACTGTTGAGGAAAAAAGAAGAAGATATAAGAGAAGAAACTTCCAGAAATAAAAAACATAAAATCTCAATTTAAAAAATACACTGGTGGGGCGCCTGGGTGGCTCAGTCTTTAAGCGTCTGCCTTCAGCTCAGGTCATGATCCCAGGGTCCTGGGATCAAGCCCTGCATCAGGCTCCCTGCTCAGCGGGAAGCCTGCTTCTCCCTCTCTCACTCCCCCTGCTTGTGTTCCCTCTCTCGCTGTGTCTCTCTTTGTCAAATAAATAAATAAAATCTTTTTTAAAAAATAAAAATAAATAAAAAATACACTGGCTATATTAGCTACAGGGTAGACATTGCTGAAGGAAAAAATCAGTGAACTGAAGTGAGAAACCACCCAACAAGCAGCACAGGAGGGAGAGAGACTGCAACCAAGACCATCTCCTCAGTGACCTGTGGGTCACACACCAGGCAGTCTGGTGTATGTTCATGTGGAGTCCCAGAAGGAGGGAGGTGAGTGGAGGGGCACAGAAAATGAATGAGGAAGTAATAGCCAAATATTTTCTAAATTCGATGAAAATTAAACCCCACACATCCAAGAAAAGCATGAAGAAAATCACACAAAGCACATCATAATCAAACTGCTGAAAACCAATAACAAAGAGACCATCTGAAAAGCAGCCAGAGGAAAAAGACAAGACACAGTACATACAGAGAAACAGGAATGATAACAGACCTCTCATCAGAAACAACACAAGCCCAAAGACAGTGTGCTATCAACCTAGTAGTCTATACACAGGAGAATTATCTTTCAAAAATTAAGGTGAAATTAAGATATTTTTCAGACAGCAGAAACAGATAATTATTCATCACCAGCATATCTGATTTGCAAGAAACATTAAAGGAAATTCCTTAGACTGAAGAAAAATGGCACCAGATGAAAATCCAGATCTACACAAATGAATGAAGAGCTCTAGAAATGGTAAACGCCTGGGTAAACATACGGGCACACCTCATTTTATTGCCCTTCACTGATACTGTGTTCTGTACAAATTAAAGCTCTGTGGCAACCCTGCACCAAGCTAGTCCAACAGGGCCATTTTTCCAATAGCATTCGTTCACTTTGTGTCTCTGTGTCACATTTTGGTAATTCTGCAGTATTTCAAAATTTTAAATTATGGTGATATTTGTTATGGTGATCTATGTTCAGTGATTATGACTCACTAAATCTCAGATGATGGTTACCATTTTTTTAGCAAAGTATTTTTTAATTAAGGTGTGTACATTTTCTTAGACATGATGCTATTACACACTTAATAGACTGCAGTGTAGTGTTAACATAACTTTTATAGGCACTGGGAAACCAGAAAATTCATTTGACTTGCTTTATTGCCATATCCGCTTTATTACAGTGGTCTGGAACTGAACCCACCATATCTCCAAGGTATGCCTGTAAAATACTTTTCTTCTTACTTTTTAATCTCTTTAAAGATAATTTTAACACAAAAAATGACAGTATGTTATGGGGTTTATAACATTTAAAGAAATAAAATGTATGACCTCAATTGCTTAAAGCAGAATATGTGAGCTTTCTCTGTGAAGGGCCAGATATTAATATTTTTGGCTTTATGAGCCGTGTGATCACAGGTATTCAACTCTGCCAGTGCAATGCAAAAGCAGCCAGCCATAGACATACATACACGAATGGGCATGGCTGTTTTCCAATGAAACTTCATTTTTTAAAATGGGTGGCAAGCAAGATTTGCTCTGCAAGCCATAGTTTATCAGTGTCTAGCATAAAGGATAGGAAGGGAAAGATGGAAATAATATAGTAATGGCCTTATATTATATATGAAGTGGCGTGATACTGTTTGAAGATAGACTACAGTAAATTAAAGATATACATTATAAACCCAGAGGAACAAGAAAAAATAATAATAATAAAGAGTTATAGCCAATAAACCAGTGGTGGAAATAAAATGGAATCCTAAAAACACTTCATCCAGAAGGCAGGAAAAGAAGAAAAAAGGAATAAAGAATAATTGGGACAAATGATAACCAAGAGCAAGATGATAGGTTTAATCATATTGATAGTTATATTAATTGGTTAAACACACCAATTAAAAGGCAGACATTGTAAAATTGAATTGAAAAGCAAGATACAACTAAATACTATCTACAAGAAACCTACTATAAATATAAAGACACAGATAATTTGAAAATAATTTGAAAATTGGAATGGGTTTCCGATTTTGGGTAAGATTGGAATAAGCACACTCTACCTTGTGTCTCCCACTGAATGCAGCCATAAATTCTGGACAGAATGCATGGAGTAGCAATCTGAGGACTCTGAAAAATAAGTAGTAGCAGGTGGATTGGGGAAGAGGACCAAGCTTCAAAGCACCACAGAACCAGTAGTGAGTTCACCATTTTTTTCCTCTGGTGTCCCCCCTGCCTGGACTCAAAGCAGGACTCCCAGACCAGAAGTGAGCATCAGATGGATGGAAAGAGCTCCAAGAGCAGCCCCTAGTTGGGCACGAGAAGTAGGACCAACAATAGCAGCAAAGGGGGGATTCCCTCAGGAACCCAAACTGACTGGAGGAAACTTCCTCTCCAACTGGAGGTCCCACGGCTCCACAAGACTGGGCAACTTCCATCGTTTTCTTTTTCTCTGTCCACCCACCACTCGGCCCAGACATGAGTGCACTCACGGGAAGTAAGTCATAGCATGCGGCAATAAAAGCCCCAACTCTCTTGCCAGAGGACTAAAAAGGGCAGCCCCAGAGCACTTGAAACTACGGGGAGGTTGCAGAGAGGGGGATCTCGGGCTGCAACCCTACAATCATCTATGAACTCCTGAGTTCCCTACCTTGGGCATTGTAATGTGATCCAGAATATTAAAAACAATACCATTTATAATAGCTTCCTCCAAACTGAAAGACTTAGGTGTAAATCTAATAAAACATGTACGGGACTTGTATGCTGATTTGAATAAATGGAAGGACATCCTATGTTCATGGATTGGAAGATTCAACATAGTAAATATGTCAGTTCTCCCCAAACTGACTGATAGATTTAATATAATTCCAATCAAAGTGTCAACAGAGTTTTCTGTAGCTTTGGACAAGTTGGTTCTAAAATTTATATGGAAAGGCAAAGGAATTAAGATAGCCAAAACAATTTTGGAAAAGAATACATTTTGAGGCATCACACTACTTAGTGTTGACTTACAACAAAGCTACAGTGATCAAGATCCTGTGGTATTGGCAAAGGGACTGACACACACATCCGTGGAACAGAAGAGAGGATCCAGAAGTAGACCCACACAAATACAGCCAAGGTTTTTTTAAAGGTGTGGAAGCAAGTCAGTGGAGAAAGGATGATCTTTTCAACAAATGGTATTGGAACAATTAGACATTCTCATGTAGAAACTGAACTTCAACCTCACACCTTGTACAAGATTAGGTCAGAATGAATCATAGACCTGAATGGAAAACATTCTTAGAAGAGAACATAAGAGAAAAATCTGTGTGACCTGTGGTTACATGAACAGTGCTTAGATAAGACATGGAGAGTACACTCCAGCAAAGAAAAACATAAGTGGGCCTCATCAGAATGACACAGGCTGCCCTGTGAAAGATACGGTCAAGAGAACGAGAAGACAGGCTGTGCGCTTCGAGAGGTGCTCAAAGCACTCCTGTCTGACAAAGGGCTGGCGTCTGGAACACATAAAGAACTCTCCACACTCACCTGTGAGAAACCAAGCAAAACATGGACAGAAGATCTGAACCAAAAAGGAGCAGGTGAACAAATGTAATCATGCGTCATTATCATTAGCCATGGGTGAGTTGCACATTAAAGCCACGATGAGATACCACCACAAACCTAACAGAATGGCTAAAATAAAAAGCGCTGACTGGTGAGGACACAGAACCGTGGGAACTCTCACGTAGTTTTGGTGATGATGCCAAATGCTTAGCCCCTGTGAAAACAGCTTGGCAGCTTTTCATAAAGTTAAACATACACTTATAATATGACCCAGCAATCCCATTCCTAGCTATGAACCCTAAAGAAATGACAACTTACGTTCACACAAAATACACAAATGTTTATAGCATGTCTATTTACAATCACCAAAACCTGAGAACCCAAATGTCCCTCCCTGTTCGTGGGACGCGTGATTGCTGATCACACAACAGAGACAGATCCTGGGGGCCTCATGCTGAGTGAAAGAAGCCAGTCTCAAAAGATTACATACTCTTCATGAGTAATCTTAAAGCAACAAAGCTGTGGTGAGGAACAGATCAGTAGTTGCCAGGGCCTCAGGAGGGCAGGGAGTCTGCGACCCTGAAGATACAACAAGCAAGTATTTGGGGTAACGGAATGTTCTGTGTCCTGACTGTGGTGGGGGCAACACAAATCTATACACGTGTTAAAATTCACAGAAGTGTACCTCGAGCAAACGTCAATGTTGCCATATATTATTTAAAAGATAAATTCTGAACCACATGAAGAAATCAAACATCTAACAATGAAAAGGAATAGGTTGACAAACACTGATCAAGAGAAGTTGGAGTCGTTACATTCATAGCAAACAGATTAAACTCTAGAGAAAGGAATACTGCCCGGAACAGAGGGGTCTTTAATGACAAAGGTGTCAAGCATCAAACAGGCAGAGCAATTCTGATGTACTTGCACCTGTGAACACGAGTCAAAATACATGAAGGGAAAACAAGGAGAAACAGATCTGTAACCAGATTCCAACCCGCCGCTCTCAGTGACTCGCAGGAATCAGGAGGGACCTCGAAGATGCAACAGCACCGTCAGCCCACCTGACCTAAGTGACATTTACAGACACTCACTTCCTTTCCAAGTGCTCCTGGAGCACTCACCATGACAGACCATCCTGCAGGACATAAAATAAAGCTCAATCAGTTAAAAAGGACTGTGTTCTCTGATTACAGTAAACTAGAAATCAACAAACACTGTACCTGGAAAATCCCAACCATGTTACTAACGTAGATGCTTGATTAGAAGCATTTGTTTGGAGCCCTCCGGTCTTAGCTGGGCCCACTGGTGCACTCCGTGAGGTCTCCATACTCTTGCTTCACCTTCTGCTCCACAGAGGGGGCTCAGATGGTGGGCGGCAGCTAGAAACCAGCTTCCAGAAAGTGGGCCCCAGGCTAAAATCCCACTTGCACTGAGAACTGAGTGCTGTGGGGTCTGGGCAAGGGGGCCCTTGGCCCCATTCCCCCCATGTTCTCCGTGCAGCTTCTGGTGACCTCTATCTTTCTTGCAGGAAGCCAACCAGTGCCGGATGCCTGCCTCTCAGCCCCTTGCCAGAACGGGGGCACCTGTGTGGATGCAGATGAGGGCTACGTGTGCGAATGCCCCCAGGGCTTCACCGGGCCTGACTGCAGGGAGAGTGAGTCTGGGCCAGGGCTACCAGGGCTGCAGTCCAGGGCAGCGTCCTCCTGTGGGAAGTGCATACAGGAAGGCAACGGGTGTGTGTGCAAACACCCATGAGTGGGTGGGGGGACGAGAGAGAGAGAGAGAGAGAGAGAGAGAGAGAGAGAGTGTGTGTGTGTGTGTATCCGCATAGCAGCGTTCATGGGAAGGTAGCCACAGGAGCAGGGCAGGGTCAGAAGCAGGAGAGGGCCCCGATCCTCCAGCACCCCCACAGTGGAGGCTCCCCCTCAATCTACGGCAGGAACCCCTGACCACTGTGAGTGCCGTAATGGTGGCAGATGCCTGGGGACCAACACCACCCTTTGCCAGTGCCCCCCAGGCTTCTTTGGGCTCCTCTGTGAATTTGGTAAGTGCCCAGGGCTGCATAGGGGCACGCTTCCTGCCCTGCCCCTGAAAATCCCCCAAACCAGAGTATAGCTGGTGGCTTGGGTCTGGGCCCAAACCATAGATCCAGACCCTTAACTAGTGGTCGCGTGATCCCCCACTCCTACCCCAGGAGGGGGCCCGCCACAAGAGTGCCTGAACCAGGCCATGCTGGCGGGGCCACCTGATCCTTCTCAAGGACGAGAAGTCCCCAGGAAGACAAATGGGCCTCTTCCTTCCCTGCAGAAGTCACAGCCACTCCCTGCAACATGAACACGCAGTGTCCCGACGGGGGCTACTGCATGGAGTACGGTGGGAGCTACCTCTGCGTCTGCCACACGGACCACAACGTCAGCCACTGTGAGTGGGGGTAGGGCTAGGGGCACAGGCCCACCTAGAAGCCAGGGAGAGGGTGTTAGGAGGAGAAAGTGCGGGCCACACAGGCAGAGGCCAGGGCATCCCTACTGGCCCACAAGAGGCCCCATGGGTGGGTGTGCCTTTCCCGGTGTCGACCTCCGTGTTGGGGCCCGGCCGTCTACCCCCTCCGCTGCAGGAAGCTCACAGCTGGAAAAGCACCCCTGGAGGCCTACGAGCTCTTCCCTAAGCCCCTAGCTTAGCTATTAAAACACTTCATGCCCGTCTGAGTATGTGATTAAGTACTACTGTGTATTTCTGAGTACAAATAACGGCATGCATGCTGTATAATCACACGTGAAGACGGTGGAGGTGTTGCTGCAAAAACATTTGTGCACCACAGCTCAATCCTAGCTCCCAGGAGAGGTGGGGTGAATTCTGGAAATCTCGAGAATAAAAGCATGTCCAGAGAAGGGCCGAAGAGCCTGGGGTGAAGAATCAAGGCCCCTCCCCCGCAAAGAGCGTCTTTTAAGGGGCCTTGGATCCAGCTGGGATGTCAGGGTGACCTCCCTGTGCCCCTGCAGCACTGCCCTCACCCTGCGACTCAGACCCCTGCTTCAACGGAGGCTCCTGTGACGTCCACGAGGACTCCTACACTTGCGAGTGCCCCCGAGGGTTCCACGGCAGGCACTGCGAGAAAGGTGGGCAGCAGGGGAGGGCGGGGCGGGGCGGGGCGGGCGGGGCGCGGCCCGGGGGGGGGGGGGGAGGAGGCAGGGCAGAGAGGGCCCCGCCCCCTCCGCCCCCCCCCGCCCCCCCCCCCCCCGACTTGCGGGTCTCCTCGGTCCCCCAGCTAACGTGTGTCGCGCCCGCACGGTCTCCCCCAGCCCAGGTGCTGCTTATTCAGTTAGCGGTTCTGCTCTGTGGCTCCTGGTCACTACTTGGTTTCCCTCAGAATTTCCCACTCAGCATTTTTCCAAATGGATTTTAGAATCCTTGATTTTTAAAAAATTCATTGGGGCTTTATTAGATCTAACTGAACTTGGAGAATGTTAGCGTTTCACAACATTTTTACACACTAGCGGATGCATTCTTCTGAGAGAGGGCGGCGCCACCGCTGCCCCGCCAGTGCCCACCCGGCCGGTGCCTTTGGTGCCTTCCGGGCGCTCGGACGCCGCGCCCCTCGTCGGAGCCCACGGCCCACGGGCCCGGCTCCCGGAGCTCAGCCCCTGGGCCACACACACCCCTGGGCCTCTTGCTGCCCTCGCTGGTCCCGGGAACGGCGACCCTGAGGGCAGGTCCCTGCTAGTCTGACACACGGAACCCCCCAGCTTCAGCCACCCCTGCGGGAGGAGGAGGGTGTTTGCAAAGAGAAGCCCTCCGGCTTGGCTCTCTGCTCTCTGCAAGCGTGGCCGAGGTCCATCTCCAACAAAGGCATCCCAAAGTGGGGACACAGGGTGGCAGCTTTTGGGGGGAGGGTGGGCGGAACTTGGACACGCAGCCTGTGAGGCCTGCAGGGTGTGGGGTGGTGGGGAGAGGAAGGCTGAGCTCCGCGGGCAGGCCCCCTTCCTGCTGCACCTCGCTCCCAAGAATGTGGAGGAAGCTGCGGATCTGAACTCCTCTGTGGGCCTCTGAAGGCGCCACTCCTCAGGGCGGAGGGGCAGCCCTACCACTGGATTTGTGCCTTTAAATACGTAGGTGCCTCAAGCAGCCCGGGAGCCCCTCAGGGCCCTGGGAGGGTGTTGGGACCCAGAGAAAATGCCCCGGTGCGACTAGAAGCACAGAAACCAAAAATCAGACCGCGGTGGATTCCAGCGTCCTGTCAGGGGCAGCTGCGCTCCCTGCCACGCCAGCCAGTTCTCCACCAGAAAGGGCCCAGTGGTCCCCAGGGCCTGGGACAGATGAGAGAGGATGGGTGGGCAGAGGGCTCCCAAGGGCCTGCGCCTTCTGGGCCCACAGATGTGAGTAGGGTGTCATGGGTGCTGCAGGGCTGGGAGAATGGCCCTGTTCACCCGCTTCTGTCTCTCCCTACCCTTGTCCACACAGCCCGGCCACGCCTGTGCAGCTCGGGGCCCTGCCGGAACGGGGGCACGTGCAGGGAGGCGGGCAGCGAGTACCACTGCAGCTGCCCCTACCGCTTCACCGGGAGGCACTGCGAGATCGGTGCGGCCCCCTGCCAGCTGGAGTCAGCCTGGATCGGGGGAGCCAAGCCCCCACCCAGCCACCATGCGTCTGCTTGTCAGGAGAACCCCCTGAAGGCGCACCAGCTCTGGGATGTTGGCGATCAGGGGAGGGGCGCTGGGTGGTGGGTGCATGACACCTGACTCCCATAGGGGCCTTCTGTTTCCAGGGAAGCCGGACTCCTGTGCCTCGGGCCCCTGCCACAACGGCGGCACCTGCTTCCACTACATTGGCAAATACAAGTGTGACTGTCCCCCAGGCTTCTCTGGGCGGCACTGCGAGATAGGTAAGGTGGGCAGAGGCCAGTGGACTAGCCCAGCTGGGAGCAGCACAGCCAGGGCACCTGGGGGCCCCATCTGCTCCCAGTGGGCAGAGGTGCCCTGCTTTGGAGGAGTGGGAGGCAGAGCTCCCATGAAACCTAGAGGTCTTTGGGGAGGACACAGCGATGATGACCCCCTCTGTCCTTGCAGCCCCCTCCCCCTGCTTCCGGAGCCCCTGCATGAACGGGGGTACCTGTGAGGACCTGGGCCCAGATTTCTCCTGCCGCTGCCGAGCAGGGTACATGGGACGCCGGTGCCAGGCGGGTGAGAGGGCTGCGGGTTGGGGTGGAAGGCATGGGATTTCTTCCTAATCCCGGAAGAGCAGGGCAGGGCCAGACAGGGAGCTGAGAGGAGGGAGGGGAAAGAAGGAGAGAACCGATGGGCAGCTACTCCTGGAAATCAAGACACTTTCACCCTGGGAGGGCTGTGCAGGGCGCAGGGGTCCCAGGCCCTGCGGCCTGCTGGGGCAGAGGGCAAAGCTGAGGGATGGGCCTCAGGCAGGTGCCCCCCAGTGCAGGACAGGGCTTCTGTGTCCTTGCAGAGGTGGACTGTGGCCCCCCGGCGGAGGTGAAACATGCCACGCTGCGCTTCAACGGCACTCGGCTGGGCTCGGTGGCCCTGTACAAGTGTGACCAAGGCTACAGCCCGAGCTCCCCCAGCCACGTCCGCGTCTGCCAGCCGCAGGGTGTCTGGAGCGAACCTCCACAGTGCCACGGTGATCTGCAGGCCCTCCGGGGCAGGGAGGGCGGGCAGGCGGGCAGAGCCAGTGGGGTCCACACCCTCCTCCCCAGGGCCCCTCAGGGGAGCACAGGGACCACAATTCTGACCCTGGCCCTCCCCCACCTTCCCACAAAGTGAGGCCATGACCCTGTGGGGAAGGTGGTGAGGACTAGTGGCAGCTCCACTCTGGACTGTTCACTAAGGGCTTCCCTGTCCTCAGAGCAGGGCGTCCAACCCATATGCCCACCCTGCAGATGAAGCAGCTGAGGCCGGGAGGTAGCCCAAGGGCAGAGTACTCAAGAGGCAGATTAGGATTCAGGGCCCGTCTCCTGCTCCTGGCCCTGGCCCCACCCAGACCCATGGAAGCAGACCCTGCATTTGAACAAGGCCCCCCAGGACCCCCAGAGCCATCTGAGGAGTGCTGCTTCAGAGAGCATCGCCTCAGGCTCCCACAGTGTGCCAGGGTGCATGGCCTGGAGGCAGGGCCCCCCGACTGATGCCCCTGCAGACACAGGGCCACTAACACAACTGCAGGTGTGTTGCATTAAGCCTAAGCATCCCTAACTCTGCTCATCAGAAAACCTGCGTGATGTTAACACATCTTTCACAAAACAAGGATTTTTTTTAAGATTTTATTTATTTATTTGAGAGAGAGAGAGCACAAGAGGGGGTAGAGTCAGAGGGAGAAGCAGGCTCCCCGTGGAGCAGGGAGCCCGATGTGGGACTCGATCCCAGGACTCTGGGATCATGACCTGAGCCGAAGGCAGACGCTTAACCGACTGAGCACCCAGGTGCCCAAAACAAGGATTTTTAAACAAAGCAACTCAGGGACCACGACAGCACCCAGAGACGGGTGGGGCACACAGTGCTGCTGTGTCCCAATGCTCTGCAAAGCCCAAGCTGGGAGGCCCCACGCAGGTGAAGAATTCTGGAAGACAGATGGGGGCTGCCTAGCGCCAAGTGTCTTTCCTGTCCTCCTATCTATCCAAGCCCAGCCCTCTCCAAAGATAGTAACAATAAAGTCCAAACAACATAAACCATCGGGAGCGGAAGTATAGAAGGTGGACGAGCATATACATAAGCATGACAGGTATATGGAAGGAAACATGGCACTGGTCATAAGAAACAGGGTTGATAAATCATTTTTAACCAAGGAGAGTGGAAAAGAGGACTGAAAAACTATAATAGCTGAAGTAACAGACACAATTTACAAATGGATACAGATGAAGGCTAAGTTACTGAGCTAAGAGACCAGTCTGAGGACTCATCCCACAGAGAAGCAGGGAGGTCTGTGTGAAGATGTAGGCACTGTGGAGGGTAGAAGTGCCAACACTGAGGTAACAGAGTCCAAGACAAGAGAAAAATAAAAGCAATGAAATGTTGGAGCCACTACGGAGCTCAGTTCCCAGAATGACAGATGAACCACCACAGGCTGAAAGGGCCCAGAACATCAAACAGGAGAAAAGAGGAATATTAGCACATTATAGCAAAATTTAAGAATATCAGAGACAAACAGGAAAAAATTCTTAAAGTATCTAGAGAAAAAAGGAACAAGAATCTTCAAAGGAACAACAATCCCATTGGCACCAGACTTCTCAAAAGTGACATCAGATATAAGATAATTAAATGGTAGATTTTAAATACTCAGGAGATCCATTCAGTGAGCATGGAGACAGTCACAAAATGCCATCACTCTCACTGTAACATCAAGGAATCAGAGACCCTGTAAAATCATATCATTTAACCTATCAGATTGCTGAATATGGCTAGAAGTACAGATGAGCCCTTCCTGGGTGAGAAAGACTGATGACGGCTGTCATCCCAGGAGCAAATCCACTGTGGACAGAGCAATTTGAGGAGCTGGGGAAATCCAACTAAGCTTTCAATGATTATGTGAGCAAGCATGATGGGTTGGAATCAGGAGTCGCAAATGCAGAGCAAGTGCTCAGCACCCCACCAATTCTCCCCCACAGGATTTTTACTAAGTGCATGGGAAGCCAGTGGCTGGGCTGGGAAGCCAGCGGCTGGGCTGGAAAGCAGAGAGATTCATAGCCTCAAAAGGCTGAGATTCCCCAGTCCACCTGGAGGGAGAGGTCTGTTCCAACCCTCAAGAATCTAAAACCTCATGAATTGGCACTAATGAGCCCTGCACACCAGGCCCAGCCCAGCTCACCTCCGGATGATATCAGAAATCAGCTGTTCAGGCTAGGTGTCTGACACAGACTAGAGCCTGGCCATCCTAGGGGTATGTATTTTCTACTTTGGTCTCTCTGTTCTTGTATACATTATGTCTAAGAAGCAAGAAATTATGACATATAATCTCAAGAAGAAACAGTCAATAGAAACAGACATGCAGATGACCCGCATGTTTAAATTAGCACACAAGGACTTTAAAATAGCCATTATAAATGTTAAAGAGAAGCAAAATGAATGAGAGAATAGAAAATTTGAGCAGAGGAAAGAAAACTTTTAAAAGTAACACAATAAAAAATACAACATGTGAAATGAAGAGTAAATTGGATAGGCTTACCAATAGAATGGATACCACAAAAGAAAAAGTCACAGAACTCAAGGACAAGTCAACAAAATTATTCAAACCAAAGATCAGAAAGAAGAAATGAATTATGATTTGTAAATGAATTTTTTTAAATGGAACACAGGAAATCTGTGGGAAATATCAAACAAACAAGAACATAACTGGAGTCCCAGAAAGAGAGAGCAGAATAGGCAAAAGAAATATTTGAAGAGATAATGACTATTTTCTAAAAATGAAGAACTACATCAACCCACAAATCCAAGAAGCTCAGCAAATACCAAGCAAGATAAATACTGAAGTAAATAAACTTAAGACCTAAAAATTTTTATTCAGTCAAACTATTATTCAAATGTGAGACCATAATAAAAAATGCCCTTTGCAAACACAGCTTCAGAGACTTACCAAAAAAGGGTCTTTTTTTTTTTTGGAGATAGTATTCCAGTAGTAAGATAAACCTGGAATATTCTGTAAGCAGTAAGAGAAGGGAGGATTATCAAATATTGTAGGAAAGTCTGTCACTCTCTAAAAGGAGAGAGGAAAAAAGCAGAAAAAAGTGGCAGTTAAGATTATGATAGAAAAAAATGCAGACAAATATGAATGAGCTAAATTCTCCAGGTAAAAGACAGATTGCCAGATTAATTACAAAACAAAACAAGCTAGGGACTCCTGAGTGGCTCAGTTGGTTAAGCATCCGACTCTTGGTTTTGGTTCAGTTTGTGATCTCAGGGTCGTAAGATTGAGCCCCACATCAGGCTCAGTGCTCAGCATAGAGTCTGCTTAAAATTCTCTCTTTACCTCTCCCTCTGCCCCCTCCCCTCTCTCTATAAAATAAATAAATAAATCTTTAAAAAACAAAAATAAAAACAAGCTATACTCTCCTATAAGAGATACTCCTAAATCATAAACTTAAAAAGACAAAGTAAAAATATGGAAAAAATATCAGGAATACAGATCAAAATAAAGCAGGTTTAGCTACACTATTATCAGCCAAAATAGACTCTAAGATGGAAAGCATCATTAAGGATGAGAGGGTCTCTTTCAATGATAATTGGTTCCAATTCACCAAGAAGATCATTATAAACATTCAAGCATCTAATATAATAGGGTCAATACATATAAAACAAAAATTAAGAGACTGCAGGAAGAAACTGACAGATTTACCATAATACTATGAAATTTTGAACCACCTCTCTCAATTCAGGTTAAGAGGCCCCCCCAAAAAAATCACAAAAAGAAGATTCAAATAATACAACTAACAATTTGAACTAATTCATTCTCTGAACACACAGAAAAAATTAAGTTATTAAGGACAAGAAGATAAATTTTAAATTTCCATGTTTATATATTTTTAAAGATACTTTGAAATGGCTTATGGATCAAAGAAGAAATATGGACAGTGACAAAATTTTAAATGAATATTAATGATCATTTTCTATACAAAAACTTGTCTGATGCAGCAAAAGCAATGCTTCATGGGAACTTTAAGTACATAGTTAGAAAAGTTCAAATTGATGAACTAAATGTCGGAGTTCAGAAGTTAGGAAAAGAACAACAAATGATACAAAGAAAGTAGAAAGAAAAAGGCAATGCAAGTAAGAGCCATAATTAATGAAACATAAGTCAAAAGTACAGAGAAGAGAACACCAAAATTGGTTCTTTGAAAACCCTATGAAAATGAACAAACTTCTATCAACTGATTAAGAAAAACAAAGAGCACAAATAAAAATCCTTATAAATGAAAAAGGTGACATAGACACAGAGCAGAGATTAAAAAGATAATGAGAATACCATCAACTAGCCTATACAAGTAAATCTGAAACCTTTGGAGAAATGGACATAATATTCATAGAAAAATATAACTTACCAAAAATGACTCAAGGAAACTTAGAAAGCCTATATAATCCTATAAATGTCTAAAGGAATTGAAGGAGTACTTAAAGCATTTTCTCACAAAGAACTCCAGGATGTTATAGGTAAATTCTACCAAATTGCCAAGAAACAGATCATTGCAGCATTATACAGGTTCTTCCAGAGAGTAAAAAATAAAGAATATGCACCAACCTATTATGTGAGGCCAGTATAACCTTGATACCAACACCAGATATGGACAGTTGGAGAAAGTAAAATGATGGATCTGTTAAACATATGAACATAGATGCAGAAATTCAATAGTCTATAAAGACTATATATACCATTATCAAGATGGATTGTTGCAAGAATAGTTTGATATTAGGAAAACCTGCTATATTAACCAACTGAAGGAGAAAAAGCATGTAAGTATCTCAATAAATGCATAATAAGCATTTGACAAAATTTATACCCATTCGTGAAATAAATTCTTACCAAATAAGGAATAAAAAAGTATTTCCTTACCAGATAAAAATCACATCACACATGCACATACATGCACATACACACCTCTAATACCATGCAGTATAAAATATATAGGATTTGTTGGAAGAAAAACTTAAGAGAGATGTAGCAGAGCCCACATAACCCCCGAAGTGTGCATCATCCCACAGAAAGGTGTGCTTAGGCCAGGCATAGCCAGACGAGTTACACTATGTGTGGCCAAGCAATAGCACTTCACACATTATAGAGAAAGAAGTACAGGTTACATCAAGAGAGCTGTGGAACAGTGAGTCTCCTGATCCTTGTTATACAGAGGCAGGCTCTGATATTCAAAACCTGTGCTTCTGTTGATCTGACTCAGTCATGCTGAGCTACAACAGGGGGAGGAAATTAGCTTCTGGGGCAGTTTTACTGTGCCTCTACTCAAACCTCAAATAAACATTATCCTAAATAGACATTCCTCTTAAAATTGGGGACAACGAGGGGAGCCTGGGTGGCTCAGTCGGTTAAGTGTCCAACTCTTGATTTCAGATAAGGTCATGATCTCAGGGTTGTGAGATCAAGCCCTGTCTCAGGCTCCACGCTGGGGCATGGAGCCTGCTCAAGATTCTCTCTCTCTCACTCTCCCTCTACACCCTCCCCACTTCTCTCTCTCCCTCTCAAAAAAAAAAAAAAATGGAGACAAGGATGCCCACTGTCACTAAGCCTCATCAATATTATATTGGAAGTACTAGCCAATGCAATAACGTAAGAAAAAGAAAATAAAATCATGAAAATATGAAGGTAGGGAGTAAGAATGTCAGTATTTGTTGTCTTTAATCTATAAGCAAACTTTAATCTATAAGCAGTATGGTTGTCTTCAATCTATAAGCAAACTACTGAAAATGATAGAAAATATAATATGTTTACTGGATATAGGTAATTATAACAAAATTGCATTTTAATATATCAACAACAATTAGAAAATGTAATTATAAAAGACATATTCAGAGAAAATCAATGAAACCAAAAGCTGGTTCCTTATTGAAAAACCTCTAGTTAGACTGATCAAGAAATAAGAAAGAAAAATTAGCAATATCAGAATGAAAGAGGAGACATCAGTAAGGATCCTAACAAGCATTTAAAGGACAAGGAAGAGATACTGTGAGCAAGTTGAGGTCAGTATATCTGACAACTTAAAGAAAAGGGATAAATACCTTGAAAGACACAAATTACCAAAAATGACAGAAGAATAAATAGAAAATATGAATAGCCCCATACCTATTAAAGAATTTTAATATGTAATTAAAAACCTTTCTGCAAAGAAAATGGCAGGAATGGATTGCTTCACTGATGAATTCTATCAAACACTGAAGAAAAGAATACTAACCCTACACAAGCTTCTTCAGAGAATAAAGAAAGAAGAGCACTTGATTCATTTTGTGAAACCAGTATTGTCTTGATACCAGAACAAGACAGAGAGGTTATTTTTTTCTTAAAAAATGAACTTAGGGGTGCCTGGGTGGCTCAGTGGGTTAAGCATCCAATTCTTGATCTCAGCTCAGGTCTTGATCTCAGGGTCGTGAGTTCAAGCCCTGCATTGGGCTCCACACTGTGTGTGGAGCATATGTAAAAAAAAGAAAAGAAAAAAAAAATGAAATTACAGACTAATATTCCTCACGAACATGGACATGAAAATCCTAACAAAATATTACTAAATCAAACACATTGTTATATAAAAAGGATAATATATCATGACCAAGTGGGATTTATCTCAAGAATACAGATTGGTTTAACACTTGAAAATCAGTAAGTATAATTCACCATATTAGGATATGAAGGAGAAAACCATATGATCATTTCAATAGATGCAGAAAAATCATCTGAAAATATTCAACTACTATTTAAAACTCTTAATAAACTAAAAGTAGATAGAAGGGAATGTCTTTAACCTGATGAAGGGTATCCATGAAACAGCAACAGCTAACAAAGTACTTCAGGGTGAGAGGCGTACTGCTGTAATCAGTAATAAGGCAGTGTGTCCATTTCACTGATTCCTTCCTGCATTGTCCTGGAGGTCCCAGACAGGGCCACAGACAAGGAAAGGAAATAAAAGTCACATCTACTGGAAGAAAGATGACATGGTCATGCACATAGGAAATCCTAAGAGATTCTACAAGAAAAAGCTATAGAATAAATAAGCAAATTCAAGTGAGTCACAGGACAGGGACAATATACAAAACCTTAATATTTTCACAGTCTACCAGTGAACACTTGGAAAATAATATAAAATGAACAATATTATATATAATAGCACCAAATATGATAAGTGTTTACAAATGTTAAATGAATTATAGACATAAGTGTAAAAACTAAAACTATAAACTTCTAAAAAATCCTATGAGACAATCTTCACAACAGCTGGAATAAAATGGTTATGCATTTAATAAAATATTACATTGTCCTACTTTTCACCACACACAAGAATTCATTCCAATTAAGGACTTAAATGTTTTTCTAAAACTATAAAATTTTATGTGGAAAATATAGGTATCTTTTTGGCCTTGGGATAAGGAAAGATTTCTTAAGCCATAAAAAAAGCCCTAACTATAAAAGAGAAAAAAAAAAAAGGACAAATTTGACTATATAAGAATTAGAAACTTAAAATCATCAGCCCTAAGGAAGAAAGTGGGATATAAGCTACAAACCAGGAAAAGATATATATATGACTGGTTTCAAGAATATATAAAAAACTCTATGAATTAATAAGAAAAGAATCATCAACCTAGTAGGAAAATCGGCAAAACACACGGAGTACGCCTTTCATAGAAGAGGAGATAATAAAGCCGACAAAAATAAAGAGAAATATTATCAGCAAAATGCAAATCAAAAGCACAGTGAGGTGCAGTCAGCTGACAGAAGTGCAGAAGTCTAAGAAGCCATCTACTGGTGGTAATGTGGATGACCAGGATTTCTTACAAATTGCCGGAGGGAGTGTAAATTAATACAAACACTTTGAAAAGGGTTTGGTAACCTGCCTATCAATTTGACCAGGCATAGAAACTGTGTCCCAGAGATTCCAGTTCTACGTTTAAATCTAAGAAAATGGGCACATTTATACCAAGAGCTATGAAAGGAAATAGAAGCATTTTTTAAAATAACAAAAAGTCTAAAACCAACCCAAATGCCCACCACCCAAGAATGGACGGAGTACGGTAGAATCCCGCCGTGGACTCTGTTACTGTCGTGTTCACACAGAGACCTACAACAGCATGGAGACAGCTCATTAGTATCATTTTGAGTGAGAGAAGAGTACATGTATCACGATATCCTTTTAATAAAATTCATAAATAGCAAAAACAAAACCATACATTGTTTAGTTCATAACAATTAAAACCCTAAAGAGGCAAAGACATAACCCCAGAAATCCGCATCACAAGGGTGGGGAAGTGCGTGTGCCCGGATGAGCCAGTGAGCATTCTAGCTCCTGGGTGTCTTATTCACTACCATTTATCTACTTCGTTACATTTTAAGCATTAAAATTAAACTTTTCTAAATTGAAGATTTTGAATTCCGGAGCACCGCTCCCAGTTTAAAATAAAAAATAAGCCTGTGGCAAATACTCTAAAGTGAAGGCCTCGTCCCCAAATGTAGGGATTTCATACGTAGTGGCTGTGAATGGGGAATTGGCAAGATGGGGCCTGGCCACCTGGCAGCCGCTGGAGTGACGTCCTCAAGGTCATGATGAGCATCCCCCATCCTGGGGCCCACTGCCCACCTCTTCCTCTCCAAGGTGTTTCGGGCCTCTCCAAGCACTGAGGGGTGCCGGACAATTCTGTCTGGCTCCTCAGAACAAAGCTAATTTATGTCCATCTTATTTGGCTTCAAGCCACTGCCTCCAATCACAACACCGCTTTATTCTTGGGGTCCCTCCTGGTGCCCGTGCACCTGGGCTCCCCTCTCGGAAGCTGGAGAGTGCGGATCCCAGCCTCCCAGCCGTGCCTGCAGGGGGGCTCCTGCCTCACAGGGCACAAAGGAGGGTAAGACTGCAGGCGCAGCTCCACCCCCTCCCCGCCTCCCCCAGGCTGCCTGGCCCAGCACTGCCTGCTCTGTGACTCCCGCCTCTCTTTGGAAACATCTCATCCTCCACCTCCGGGGGAGCAAGCTGACCTTGAGGTCCTCTCGCCTTCTGCAGCCTCTGCCCCAGCGTAGAGGAGCTGGGGTGGAGAGAGTCACACCCTGCCCCTGGGCCTGTGCTCCAACCGGCAGAGGGAGGGGAGGCCTGCGGGCACACTGGTGGATGAGCCTGTACCCCTCACACCTGGGTAGGGCTCTAAGCCCTGAGACAGAGACACTGCTCCAGGGAGGGCCAGGCCCAGGATGTGTCCAGGCCCCTGAGAAGCCTGAGCAGTGAAATGCTGAAGTGACTTGGGGGTAGGGCCTTTTTTGGGCAGACAGCTGAGAGGGGGGGCATCAGGCTAAAGCCTCCGCACACACGTGAAATCCAGGGGCTGTGGAGGCCCCCGGAGGTCCGCGTAGAGCCCACGCAGGGCCGTGCAGTCCTGTGTAGGGCCGTGTAGGGCCTGCGTCCCACCTAGATGGAACCTGCGTAGGGCCTTGCAGCCTCCTGTCCTGTCTCTGCAGAGACAGACGAGTGCCAAGCGCAGCCATGCCATAATGGGGGCTCCTGCAGGGACCTCCTGGGGGCCTTTGTCTGCCAGTGCCCTGCAGGCTTCACTGGAGTCCACTGCGAGACAGGTAGGGGCTGTGCTCGGCGGGGTCCCCTGAGCGGCTGGGCCCTCACCCACATTCGAGATGCCCTGGACATCCTGGACAAACCTATTCTCAACAAGCGTAGACCCTGGGCCACTCGGAGAGCAGAGGGACATGGCTTGGCCCCTGGCCCCAGGGCGGGGGGGGGGGGGGGGAGGCACCCCAGGAAGGGAGCTCCGAGGCTGAGGGGGATTTCCCCAGCAACCCCACCCCCCACCCGGCATCTCTCCTCGATCCCCCTTCCCTTCTTCCCGCTGTCCTCTCCTCCCTCCCCCAGACACCCCCTGGCGGCTCTGGCCGACTCTCTGGGTGTTCTCCAGAGGTGGATGGCTGCCACTCCAGCCCCTGCCAGCACGGAGGCCGATGTGAGAACGATGGCGGGGCCTACCTGTGCGTCTGCCCAGAGGGCTTCTTCGGCTACCACTGTGAGACAGGTAGGGAGGCAGGGGCCAAGCCCCCACTCCTCCAGAGGCCCTGTCCTCTGGCCTCTGCTGGGTCCCCTGATGCCAGCTACCCGCCTCCTGCACTTGCCCCTCCAACGGCCCCCCTCACTCCCAGAGACAGGCTGGCCCCGTGGGAGTGGAGCTCACTGCAGCCCCAGTGTCCCGGAGCTCACCTCTCCTTACACCTGGGAACTCTCCGCACATTTTCCTCCTTTATAGGACTTGCCACTCTCTGCAACTGTCTCTTCAATTTGCTGGTCTCCGCTCTCCTCCTAGGATGGGTGTGTCCCAGGGGCATGTCCTGTCCTAGCCCCCAGGCTGGGCTTGGCTGGCAGCAGGCCGCTGGGTGGGGTGCACAGGGCCACAGGGCAGTGAAGGCTGAACTGGGCTGGGGGAGGGCGAAGGCCTAGGGCCCAGGGACTGTGGGGCCTGGGAGTCCGGGCATAAGCACCCTGGGGGCCGCTTGTGGCCAGGGAGTCTCACTGCACAAGCTTGGGGTGGGTGAGGGCACACCCGGAGGACCAAGGTTAGTGGCCGCGACAGTGATAAGGGGGCTCCCGTGGCTTCAGTGGGAACCTGCGGGCACTGGCCTTGGCCTAGGGAACTCAGGTCCCCTGGGTGCCCACAGCCCCGGGGCAGAGGGAGGCTGCCCTGGCTGCCAGGTTCTCCCCAGGAGGGGCAGCACTGTGCTCGCCCCACCCTGAGTCGCCGCCCGCCAGGCTACCTGGGCTTGGAGTGGCGGTGGGATGACCGGGCTCTGTCTCTGAGCCAGCCTCTCGGTGAGAGCTCTCCTGGAAAGCCCTGCGTTTCCCCTCCCTCACCTCCTCAAATCGCTGCCTGGGATGGCTCCACCCATATCCACCCCCACAAACACGCCTACACAGGAAGGACCTGTTGCCCCCGAGAGCAGGGGTCCCTCTGGGGGAGCGGGTAAGGCCCCAGTGTTCACTGCTCCTTTCCTCTTCCCCAGTGAGTGACCCCTGCTTCTCCAGCCCCTGCGGGGCCCGTGGCTACTGCTTGGCCAGCAATGGGTCCCACAGCTGCACCTGCAAAGTGGGCTACACAGGCAAGGACTGTGCCAAAGGTGAGGTGGCAAAGGTGCCAGCATAGGCGGGCCCCCTCGTCCCCCAGAGGGCACAGACCCAAGCGCTGAGCACCCCCCAGGGCAGAGCATCTAGTTTCCCAAGAAGCAGGGAGGGGTGTCTAGCGGCCCAGGAGGCTTCAATGCACTCACCTGAGCACACACACCTGAGACCCTCCAGGAGGCCCTGGCCAGAGACCAGGTGGACAGGGCCACTGTGGCAACAGGAGCTGGCTCCCCACCTGCAGTTGTTCACCTCTGCCGGGGGTGGCGGACCCGAGCCACCAGGTGAGACGTCTGGCTGGGGGCCAGGGCTTCCGTGGCTGACAGCTGACCACCCCTTCCCTTGTTCTTGACGGGAACCCTGAAGAGCTCTTCCCACCAACGGCCCTCAAGGTGGAGCGAGTGGAAGAGAGTGGGGTCTCCATCTCCTGGCGTCCACCTGAAGGCCAGGCCGCCAGGCAGATGCTCGACGGCTACGCGGTCACCTACACCTCCTCGGACGGTGCCTACCGCCGCACGGACTTTGTGGACCGGAGCCGCTCCTCGCACCAGCTGCGGGCCCTCGCGGCCGGCAGAGCCTACAACATCTCCGTGTTCTCGGTCAAGCGCAACGCCAACAACAAGAACGACATCAGCAGGCCGGTGCTCCTGCTCGCCCGCACACGTGAGTGCCCCCTGGGCATGTCTGCGGCCACTGGAGAGGCGCGCTGGCCAGGGGCCCCAGGGCGCCGGGGCTTAGGAGTGAGGCCCGGGGGAGGGGGCTCCCCGAGAAGGCACCTGCCAGGGGCCAGCCCACGTTGGGGGTGCTGAGGGGACAGGCCAGGGGCCCAGGAGGTCACCCCAGCACGCTGAGGGGGTGGGGATGGAGCCTGCTGGTGGCAGTTCTAGAGAAGGGGGCCGGCAGGGAGGGGCCTCTGGGGGTACAGCTGCGCAGGACGGGGAAGCATAGTCTAGGGAGGCCTTGGGGCCTTACCTGGCTTGTCTGCTTCTGGGATCTACAGGGGAGGGCCCGGTCCTCCACGGGGAGGAACCAATGGTGGGCAGAGGCCAGGGGCCCGCAGGAGACTGTGGGAGGGGGTGCTAGAGGCTGGAGGAAGGAGCACGGACGGGGCAGTGGTCCCCTAGGCGGCACAGAGGGCCCATGAGGGCAGCTGGTAGGGGTTCAGAGTGTGGCCAGCACACAAGGGGGTCTGCTCCCACCATACCGGGTGCTGGCACAGGTCAAAGCAGGCAGGCAGGGCCGGCCCCAGGAGCACTGTGAAGCCAGACAGCCAGGACCCACAGTGGGGACTCAGGCTGGGGAAGGAGGGAGGCGAGAATGCTCAGAGGCACGGACAGGAATTTTGTGGGAGGAGGAAGGTGCCCAGGTGTCACCTGCCAGCCCAAGCCAGACACTGACCCTGAGGACATTGAGGGCCAAGTGAGGGATGAGATGAGAAACTCAGGACAGGTGTGTGGTGGGGAAGGCCAGCCAAGAGGCACTGAGAATGCACCTGGGCCAGCAGGAGGACCTGAGTGAGCTTGTGGGGCAGAGTGGGCTCAGCCTGAGCTTGGCTTTAGGAAGAAATGGCATCCCTACCCCTCCACCGACAGAGTGAGAGTGGGGTCTCCCCAGGAGACCAGGGTGGGCAGGAGGGACCGCTGCCCAACAGACTGGGCACCTGTCAGGAGACAAGAGCTCCCCTCCTGGCCCCTGTGGTTCACCCAGGCCCTTCCCCACAGTAGCCCAGGATTTTCCCAGCTTCCATCCTTGGTAGGCCCCAGCATCGCCCAAATGTTCACTGTCAGTGCAGCCAAAACGGCCAGAGAAAAGAAAAAGGAGGTCCCACGGTCCGTGTGTCCCAAGGGCCCCGCCCCACTGCCTGGCATGTCTAAATAGGCAAGACCCCAGGCCTCTGGTGGAGCTGCCTCACGCCCCACCCCAGGCAGGAGCCTGTCCGATTGACCCTAGTCCCACTGTGGCTGAAGGCCACACCAGCAAGCCCAGGTGGGCCGGCACCTCACTTGGGTGACCCCCCAGCACACTTCCCGAGCCCTGTCTCATTGTCTCAAGCCCCTGCCTTCCCCTGGAGCGAGGAAAAGGTGCCAGCATCAGCTGAGGGGCCTATTGCCCCCCAGGACCCCGCCCGGTTGAGGGCCTTGAGGTCACCAACGTGACAGCCAGCACCATCTCAGTGCGGTGGGCTCTGCACAGGATCCGTCACGCCACCGTCAGCAGCGTCCGCGTGTCCATCCGGCATCCTGAGGCCCAGGAGGACCAGTCCACCGACGTGGACAAGAGCGTGGACAGGTTCACGTTCGGGTGAGAGCAAGGGGCCGGCCTTCGCTTCCCTCGGGGCTCTGGGGCTTCCTCCTTTCTCCCTCGGTGCCCCTCCCCTGCCACTCCCCCCCTGCCCTGCCCGCCTTGAGAAGCAGGGGTGCGTGCACTGCCTGTGCTGCCCAAGCACCTGCCCAACTCTGACAGGCAGAGCCCCCTGTGTCCCAGGCCTCAGCCCTGCCTTGTCCCGTCACAGGTGCTGCCAGACAGGTGTCTGAAAGGGCCCTGGCAAAGTAGAGGACGCTCTAAAACTCGGGGGGTCGTGCCTCCTGCACAATGAGACCGAGCCACCCAGAGAGCGGCACAGAGCTGTCCTAGCCTGAGTCACACAGGCCCCTCTGAAGGGAGACACAGGGAACCCCTACACTTGCCTTACATTTTTATATTGTTCAAATCGTATGTTAGAACCTTAAGCTAGGCATATAAACGTCTTATGCTTAATTATTACAAATCAAATACACACAAAACTACAAAGTAAATACAACCCACAAGAACGTCAGTCGTTCAGACTGGCTGAGGACTGCAGTAAAAGCTGGAACGGCCCCACAGTGAAGGCCCAGACCGCGGCCTCGGCCCGCGCGGTCCGTGACGGGCCCCTCGGGGAGGTTCGCCAGCCAGGGAGGCGTCTGACGCCTGCTGGGAGCAGTGCTGAAGACGGGCGGGTGGGGAGAAGACGGGCTGGGGTCCCTGTGCCTGCAGCGCGAACACCGCTCCAGCTGAGGAGACCCCCACCGAGTCAGCCGCACCTCTGACGCAGCAGACGCCAGGTCGGCTCTGTGGGGACAGAGCAGCAGCCCCCCGCCCAGAGCCGCCACAGGCCGTGGCCGTGCAGAGGGGCGCCTGAGGGGGGCAGGGGCCGGGGGCAGGCAGGCCAGGCCAGGCGGGGACGCGTCCGTCCGCATCCCTGAGCCACCCACACGGCTGCGCATCGCTGGTCGGCAGACTCACCAAGACCCTATTTTGCTTGCCTGCTGTGCTGGAAACAAGACTCTGCTTTGTGTTTTAAGTGTTGCCGTGACCTTTCTTGATTGATGTCCTGCCCACTTCTAAGGACTGGTGTGACAAAAACACACGTGGGACCCTGGGTGGGCACTTGGTGACTGAGTCAGGGTCGTCAGGACCACCCGGCCCGGTGACTCACTAGGGCCCCCCCAGACTCAGCAGAGGCTGTGCCCCCAGCTGGGATTCACAACAGAGAAATGGTGCAACGCACAGGAAGGGAGAAGCCGGGGGACCAGGGCTGAGCTTCCGGGGCCCCTCCCCCTGGAGTTACACAGGCCACCACCAGGCGTGACGACATGTGAGGTGCTGTCTTCAGGGGAGCCCGGGAGAGACGCAGCATCCAGGGTTTTTATCGGGGGCTGGACCCGGGGCTCCCCTGCCTGCTGTCGATTCGGGGCCCCCAGGAGGAAGCGGGTGCTCAGCATGAAACACGCTGCACAGAGGTGTGGGGGCAGCGAGGTCCTCTCATCCATGAGGGTGCCGGGAACTGTCCCGGGAACTCCCGCTGAGGGCCACCCAGGAGGGCAGTGGGGCCTGCTTGTTGACCTTCTTCTGCACAATGACCTCCAAGTGCCCCTTTCTGGCCTCTCCTGCCTGAACACCAGTCTCTGCACCATAGCCCTCCCAGGCAGGTGTGGGCCATTCTCGACCCCTGCCCTGTACTAGACAGACAGACCAGGGAGTAGCTCCCACCTGAGGAACACACGGGTCTCAGGCCACAAATCTGGTCATTCCGGAGGCCACCTGCAGGACCACCCACAACTAGTCCCGCCTGTGTGGAAGGAGTTACAGTCTGGCAGTGGAGTCTCTCCCTGGCCTCCCTCCCCCAGGGCCCTGCTGCCAGGAAGGAGATACACCATCCAGGTGACTGCCCTCAGCGGGCTTGGGGGACAAGAGCCTCCCACCGAGAGCCTGGCCTCGGCCCCACTGCACGTGTGGACTCGTGAGTACATGACCTCAGGTCTTGTGGGACCTTTGGAAGCTCTCACCTCCCTCCAGCCCGAGTCCTACCAAAGTGGCTCTGGCACCCCAGACGTCTTCCCCACAGGCGCCAGGAAGGGTGGGCATCCCAGGAAGCCCTCTGCTTCCAGCACCCAAAGGCTCCTGGGCTCCTACCAGACGGGGGTCAGAAGCAAAAGGCCAGAGGGCATGCAGCTGAATGCCCACACTGTCCAGTCCCTGATCTTCACGGTATCTGGTGGAGAGGAGGCCTGGCCCTCACCACCCCTCCCACCCCAATATGGAGGGGACCAGAGTGCCATGCTGTCCACGCCAGGGGGACCCATGAACAAGGAGGGGTGCGTGGTGAGGAGGGAAGGTCTGGGCAGGGTCTTGGTTTCAGGTTCCAGGACAGCCCAGCTGGGGGAGGCACATGGACAGCCCATGGGCGGGGGGGGGGGGGGGGGGGGGCAGGGGGGTGAGGACCGGCTCAAGTCCTGGCACTGACCCTGAGTGCTGGGACCCTGGCCCACTCCCTGCCCGTCTGGCCCCCTCCCATACCCCAGGGGAGGGTGCACATGGCCCGGCTTAAGGAATCAAAAGGAGAATATGCTGACAGGCTGCGCAGGGATAGGGCCTCCGTGGCTGCTCCCAGGCAGCATGTTGGGGGGCCTCTCGGGCAGAAGGATGCGCTGCTGCTGACCCAGCTGCAAACACCCCTCCACACCACCCTTTAGGACTGTAAGGTTGTCCATCATGACCACATGGGGCTTCCGGGAGACTTCAGCAGTCGTGTCAGATCTTTAAACTTGGTGGTGGCCCCTTTCACCTCCCTCCCCTGCTCCGTGCCTATCAGGGCCCCTGCCGCCAGCAAACCTGACAGCCGCCAGAGTCACAGCCACCTCTGCCCATGTGGTCTGGGACACCCCCACTCCAAGTACCTTGCTGGAGGCATACGTCATCAACGTGACCACCAGCCAGAGCACCAAGAGCCGCTATGTCCCTAACGGGAGGCTGACGTCCTACACGGTGCGGGACCTGCTGCCAGGACGGCGCTACCAGCTGTCGGTGACCGCCGTGCAGAGCACGGAGGGCGACCAACTGCACAGCGAGCCTGCTCACCTCTACATCATCACCTGTAAGTACGGGCCTGCCAGGGACAGTGGGGTGGGGACGGCCACTGATGAGGCCAGGAAGGCGGCCCAGCCCCTCGTGCTCACTGCGGGCCCCCAGCAGGACAGCGGCCTGGGCTGCCCTCCTTGGGGTGTGGCATCCTTGCCCAGGAGACAGGTCAACCCCAGGACCCACACCGGCGACACTGTCCCAGGGACATCAGACAACCGCAAAGCAGGACTGTGTTCACACAGGAGAATTTGGGGGTGTGAAAATCGGTGGGGAAGGAAGGACTCACGGACAGTTAGTGCAGGGTCAGTGCACTGGGAATTTGTAGACATAAGCATATTGCTCCCCACCTTGTCCCCGGGGAGTGGCCTTGCAGCCAGGCCTGACTCACAAGGAGCCTCTGGACAGAAGGATGGCCACAGGGAGGGGCGGCCTGGGAGAGGCAGGAAGACCCAGGAGGACAGACGGAGGGGAAAGAGCTGAGAAGCACAGAGCCTCAGGCCACACAGAGGATGTGGTCTGCCCCGCAGTGCCCAGGAGGCCCAGAGGGCCCCACCAGGTCCTGCACAAGGCTGCTGCCATGCTGGAGCACAGACATGCTGTGGGGAGATGGCACGCCCCATGGACGCTTTGGGGAGGGCAACAGGGAGCAGGGAGGGAGCAGGGAGGCGGACAGTGGCTGGGCCACAACACAGCCCCAGAGAACAGACACATGGGCACCTGGCAGGAGGGTCAGACCCTGCGCAGCTGCAGGCACACCTGCCTGAGGGAGGGCTGGGGGGCACAGTTAGGGCACAAGGGCCCACAGAGAAGCCACGCCCTCACTCTCCGGGCATGTGGGGGTGGGGGGGCCTCTCTCAGGTGTCCTGTCAGGTCCGAGTGGCTGGCCATGCCCTGCAGGTGGAGATCTGGGGTCCAGGGTGGGCTAGGCGAGCTGGCCCTATGACTCCTGGGATGGGATGCAGGGGGTGGGCAGGGAGCAGGGCCTGGGGCTTCCCAGGAAGCCACAAAGCCTCCATGAGGCCTTGGGGCCGCACACGCCATCTCCAGTGCTCCCCTCTGGGGGTGCCTGGCAGGATGAGACTCGGGCAGCCACCCACTCCTCCCACCCACCTGCAGCCTCGAGGGACGGCGCCGACAGACGCTGGCACAGGGAGGGACTGCATCCCCGGGTGCTCAGAAACAGACCCCCGCCCGCACGCCTGCCAGAGCTGCGCCTGCTCAGTGACCGCAACGCGCCTGAAACCCAGACCCCGGCCCCCAGGTGCAGCCTCGGCCATCCCCCTAGAGCGCGCGGCCCCAGGCATGTGCTCCGCGGCGGTGACCCGTGGTGACTCCCATGGCAGGTTCTCAGAGCTGGTGGACGGCAGAGGGCGAGTGAGTGCCAAGTTTGGGGGCTATCCTGGCAAATCGGCCACCGTGAGATCGCGTGAGTGCCTCGGCCAGCCCCAGGGGCCTCACTGCCACCTCCTCCTTGTCCCCGTGCACGATGAGGGATGAGCCCCTAACACCTGGACTTAAGACCACCCCCAGCGCCCGATACCGCCTCCACTGGGGATGCAGCACCACACAGGCCCTCGCAGCTGCAGGGGCTCGCGGGCTTCCCGACACAGCAGGACGGGTCGGAGTCCAGCTGCTGGCAGGGCGCGGGGCCAGGAGGTCTGAGGCGCGGAAGCCAGGCTTGCCAAGCCAGGAGTCACAGGGTAGCTTAGTGAGCAGGAAGCAGGAGAGCACGGCACCATCTAACGCCTTGCTGCTCAAAGGGAGATCCTTGGACCAGCAGCACCAGCCTCGCCCGGGGCTTCTAGACGGGCAGGACCCCACCCAGAGCGGTGCAGCTGGAATCTGTCTTTAATAAGGAGCCAGGTGATTGGCACGCACATCACAGTCTGCGGACTGCACCCCTCCGTCACAGTAAGAGACCGTGTCCCGGGTTCCGATCTTGCTCAGCCTGGGCCAGCAGGACCACATGTGGCAGAGCAGTGGGCCACTCGGCCTGTCCCCAGCAGCACAGGGCAGTGGGTCCAGATGGGCTGGCCCCTTCCCACGAGGCTCAGCAGGAGCGGGTGGGCCAGGCATCCGTCTGCAGCAGGTCTTGCCCGAGACTGTGGCACACCGGGCCACGAGCAACATGCCCACTGGCCACCTCCCCCCATCGCCCTCGCCGAAGGCCCTCAGGACCCCAGGCAGCGCAGCCGGGCCTCGTCTTCACCTGTAAATCAGGTCCTGTTCTCGTGGAATCCCTGGCACAGACCCTAACTACCAGTTTAGTGAGAATTTTCAACCAGCACAAACATTCCCAGGCCAGGGAAGAAAAGGGACAGCAATGAGCAGGTGGGGGCGTTGCAGCCCCGGCGACCAGAGGAGGAGCAGCAGAAGGGCTCACTGGGCATGATGACCAGGAAGAAGTGTCTGGGAAGCTGGGCAGGCTGGGCTGTGACCCAGACACCCTCCTAAAGCCACAGAAGCAGTCGTAAAAAGCCCAAGCTCACAGGCAGGGACCCCGCAGAGAAGCTAACTTGCATATAGGGTTGGCCAAGTGCAAGGTCTGCCTGAGGGTAGAGGTAGGGGGAGGAGGCACCATAGCCCCCAGGAAGCAGGGGCGGAGGGAGAGGTGAGTGGAATGTGACCATAAGAAGGACAGCACAGCATCCACCTAGAAGGATGGGGCTACTGGGTCAGATAGGACGTGTGGCCCAGCCTCGGGCCACTGGTGACCTTCACTAAAGCAGCACTGAGGTTCAGCAGGAGGGTGAGGGCTGGCCCCCACCTGGAGAAAAGCTGTCCTACTGGAGGCAGCTCTGGGGCCCAGGGGACTCTGTGCCCCAGTGGTGGGTATGGCAGCAGATGAATGGGCCACACCGAGCCCTCACCATGGCAATCTCTATACCATGAGGGAGAGAAGCAGCTCAAGAAGGTGAAGAAACAATCCTGGGCATGAGGCAGAAGGCTATGGGGCCAGCACGCTGGGACATTCTGATTTCTCCTAGAATCCACAGCTCCAGTGCACCTTGAGAACACGGAGGAGACCCCCAAGCAGGTGCCTGAGCAGGTCAGCCTGGCCCTCCAGCTTCCTGAACACAGCAGTGACAAGGACATGGAAAGTAAGTCAGCAGGCATGGACTTGCAACACTGACCATCCTAGGGGGCCTTAAGGACCATGGCGGGGGGGGGAGAGACACTCATGGTGAAGAAGTGGGAGACTCAGCATCGCCCAAGGGGCAGCCAAGCATGCCATCCTGGAAAGGGTGGGGTGAATCACACCACACTTTTACAGACAAGGAACAAGCCTGGAGAGCAGACCCTCCCAAACTACCCAGGTCTGTCCCGGAGGGACTGGCCCTCCACTGCAGACAGCCCCTCCTTCCCTCCACATAAAGCTGAGCTCACCCCTCGCCTCTCCACAGAGGAGATGTTGAGCAGGACGCAGCGGTCATGGAGGGGCAGCTGCTGAGCATGCTCCACATGGAGGATCGCCGGGCAGGCCACCACCCGTGCTCGGTGCAAGAGGCCAGCAGGGCCTTCCTGACCACACAGGGCACGGGGCCTGTTCGGTGAGACGGTGCGGAGACACTTCTACAGGACATTCTTACAGGGCGTTTCACTTTTGGCACATGTTCCTTACACCAACTCAGATTCTGGCTCTACCTTCCCTCCTCGCTCTAACCCTTGGGGCTCTGTCCCTCCAGGGACAGTTCTCCTAGGACCCACTGGTTCAGACCCCGAGGAAGGCAGGGTCCTCGCTAAGGGTGAGCCAAGTGCCCGGGATGCCCCTCTGAAGGCGCATCTCACCTGCAGACCTGCCCCAGGCTACCCAAGGACGCCTGCATCACGAGCACCTGCGTCAGAGGGCGTGGCAGCAAATAAAGCCACAGTCCAGCAGGCCCCCTCCCGGTGTGAGGCCTGGAGCTGGAGTCAGCCCTGGTGAGCAGCAGGGGGGCTGGTCTGCGAATCGGATGCAGCCAGTGAATGATTCTCTGAGTTAAGGTGGGGTTCAGAGTAAAGACACACATGTCGCTACTGCTTCGTAAGCAAAACAAGCACACATTTCATCGGATGGTTTGTGTTATGTTAGCCCTTCCCAATGTTAGACGTTTCATTTCATAAAACTCAGGAACTAGTGGGATGTGAATGACCTCTCCTGGGTCCCTTCTGAAGGAGAGATGCAAGGTGGCACCAGACTGGCCCCAGATGTCCCTGCAGTCTGCAGTGTTTGCAAACGTGAGGGATGCAGGCTGGCCAGGGGATGGGCAAAAGTGATTTTAGGTGATAAGCAGGGGGAAAAAAATCATTAACAGCCCCCAGGTGCGCCCAGTGAATCATGGTTTTTCATTCCTGTTACATCTAGCATGGGTCCATGACAGCCCCTTTTGTTTAGTTTGGTAAGTTAGCCTTTGCTAAGATGACGGCCTTGGATCTGGAACCGGACCCATGAACTAGAACATGATAGGAACTCGTATCTTGCTGTTGTCCCCCCGTGAACCTCGAGCCTGGATTTTGTGTTTACAGTCCCTTTGCTCTGCTGCAAGGTGGGCAGAGGGGAGAAGGGCTCTCCCTACATATGCACGTGTGCCTCAACAGCTGTAGGTTTCTTGTTTCAAGGTGAGTGCCTGGCTGTGCACAGCCTCCCCACTGTGTCCTCGGCCGCGTTTGCAGTGAGGCTGGCCGGCGCTGCTGCGTGAGGCCGCAGCTCGCTCGCTCACTGCTGAGCGTCTGGTCCGCCGGTGACTTCACCACAGCCTCGTCCACTCGGCTCTGAGGGCCCCCGGGCCCTCAGCAGGGCCCTCAGCAGGGCCGCTCTGCTCTTCTTACATACGTCTTCTGGCACATGTGCGAGAATACAAATGCTAGGGCCTGGGATGCCTGAAAGCCCAAATCACAAGAGAATGCCAAGTTGTTTTCTAAGTGAGGACATCAGTTTACAGTCCCTCCAGCTGTGATCAAGAGATGTGGTTAATCCAGTCTCTCCAGACCTGATCTTGCTGGGTTTCCAGATCCTACCAGCAGCATGGGTGTGAAGTGCGCCCCTTGGGATCTGGATTTGTGTCTCTTGGATGCTGATATGGTCAAGCATCTTTTCATTGGAATTGACCACGGGCTCTGGGTCCACTGCTCCGCTCCACTGTTTGGACTTCCTGGAGCCAACACCAGGGGTTTCAACTGCACTATCTTTGGTGAGGCTTGCTGTCCCGCAGTGCCCACCTGCTCTTGGTCCTTTGCATTTCTATAAAAGTTTACAATCAACTTGTCGAGTCCCATCAAAGTACTTGTTTGTACTTCACCTGGCCAAATGTTTGAGGCCCTATATGCCTGAAAATACTCTTAGTAGCTCTCATATTTGAAGGGCAATTGGAGTGGGTATAAAATTCGAGGTTCAGAGGTCCTCTACCTTCAGTTCTTCAAACACTTCCCCTGTCATCTTCTGTCCAGTGTTGCTGTCCATGGGTATCAGTCTGGCTCTTGTTTCCTTGTAGGTTATCTGCTCATTTTCTCTGGAAGCTGTTAGACTTTTCTTTCTCACAGAAAGAAGGATCTCCAGAGAGCCCTAGACACCCAAAGAGCACAATTAACACTCTTGACTGGCATTTCCTCATCAAGCAATTCTCCATGTTGGGCCACACCTTCAAGCTCCTAGGGGAAGCTCATGGAGAGGAGGAGGGTCCCCAAGAGTATAACCTGCCACCATGGGGATCTGGAATGGACACTGAGGCTGTCAAAGATTTCTGTTTTCCCCAAATTCTCACCCCATCAGGGCTTTGGAACTCTCCTGGTTTTATCCCCTGGACACCGGAGAGGCAGGCAGTTTCCATCCTTGGGCGATAGCAGGCAAGGGCAGAGCTTAAATCTCTGTACTCGGTAACATTGTCACATAGGAGCCACCCGCTGCCACCACCCAGACTGCAGTCCTATCCCTGCCCCCACCCTATTCAAAACAGCCATCTCTTTGGGCTTTTTTGTTTTCTTGGTTTTTTTACTGTAATGGGTATGTGTGTCATGATAAACTCAGGATTCAGGGGGGCTGACTTCACAGGATGAGCTCTAGTGGGCAGTGCCCTGGTAGAAACCCCACCGCTTCAGGAACTGCAGGTTTCAGGCCTTAGCTGCCCAGGAATGGAACGAATTATCAGTCAGGCTCTGCAGCCCGGTGCCCCAGTTAGAGAGTAAGGACGGCTGGCACAGGCTCACAGGCTCTAAATATCCCTGCCATGTCCCGTAAGGTTGTCATAAAATATCTCCAGACAGTTGTTTATAGTGTCTAAATTTCATGTCCTATTTGACACCCCATTTTCAAACTTACTACAAAGCAGTGGTAATCAGGTCAGTGAGATACTGGCACCAAGACTTACGATGAATGGAATAGAATTGAGAGTCAAGAAATAAGCCCATACATCTGTGGTCAACTGATTTCAACAAGGGGCCAAGACCATTCAATGGAGGAAGGAATAGTCTTCAACCAGTGGTGCTGGGAACACTGGATATCCACATGCGAAAGAATGAAGTCAGACCCCTACCTCACATCATATACAAAATTAACTAAAAATAGATCAAATACCTAAACCTAAGAACTAAAACTGTAAAACTCTTAGAAAAAGACAGACATAAATCTTCACGACCTTAGATTTGGCAAAAGATTTTAGATGTGACACCAAAAGCATGAGCAACAAAAGAGGAAAAAAAGACAGACTGGACTCCCTCAAAATGTAAAGCTTTTTGTGCTTCAAAGGACGCCATCAAGGAGTGAGAAGGCAACCCACAGAATGAGAGAAAATATCTGCAAATCATATACCTGAAAGACGTCTGTATCTAAAACATGTAAGGAATTCGTACGACTGAATAAAAGGAAATAATCCAATTAAGAAACAGGCAAAGGATCTGAACACTTATTTCTCCAAGGAAGATACACAAATGGCCAAAACAAGCCCATGAAAAAGATGACTGACATCATCAGTCATCAGGGAAATGCTAATCAAGACCACAATGAGACACCACTTCATAGTCACTAGGATGGCTGGAATGAAGAGATACAACGAGCAGAGTGAGGATGTGTAGAAGCTGGACCTCAAACACTGCTGGTGGGAATGCAGAGTGGTACAGCTGTTTTAGGGTAAAAAACAGTCTGGTAGTTCCTCAAAGAATTAAACACAGAGTTATCATATGACCCAGAAAATCCCACTCCTAGGTATATACCCAAAAGAAATGAAAACAGATGCCCACACAGGGTCTTGTACATGAATGTTCGTAATAGCATTATGCACCATTGCCAAAAGATGGAAACAACCAAAATGTCCACCGGCTGATGAATGGATAAACAAAATGTGATCTATCCACACAATGGATATTATCCAACCATATGAAGTCCTGACACAAGCTATAAGATGAACCTTGAAAACATCATACTAAGTAAAGGAAGCCAGTCACAAAGGACTCCATATAATATTATTCCATTCATATGAGTCCAGAATAGGGAAATCTACAGTGACAGAAAGTAGACCAGTGGTTGCTTGGGACTGAAGGTAGGGGTGGAGGTATGGGGGGGTGACAGCTAAAGGGAAAATGATAAAAACATTCCAAAATTGACTACTGTGATGGATGTACATATCTTTGAATACGCTAAAAACTTAAAATGGGTGAATTATATGGTATATATGTTATATCTCAATAAAGCGGTTTTTAAAATGTACTGTGCAGAACAGTGTCTAGGGTATCCCCTTTGTGTAGGAAAGTGGGAAGGGAAATATGAACATACCTATTTTCTTATATTTAAAAAGAAATAAAACTAATAAAAATGGTTATATGAGGAAGGAAAGAACAAGGAAGTAAAAGTATGGAGATGGATGCTAGACTTCTCTGAATATAACTCTATAGTTTAGATTTTAGAACCAAGGAAAAAAAATTTTAATGACACACATTAAAAGCAACACCTAAAAATTGAAAGCAAACTGAAATAAACTCCTTTATCATGTTGATGGCATAACCACATAGGAAAAAGGTATTTCAAGTGATTTTAAAAATAGCTTTCTGACTATTCATTCCTAGAGGGGTATATTCTAATAAGAAGAATTCTTATTACAAGAAGAATTGCAAGAAATTTAAAGTGGCTCTTAATAATGCTAGTACTGGTAATATTTTTTTAGAACTGTTACATGTATATTGTGGGATAATGAAAATAATTTTATCAATGTCACCAAGATTTTCAGTGTAAAGAGATACAACATAAAATCAAGGAAGTTCAGGGGTGCCTGGGAGGCTCATTCAGTTGAGCATCTCACTTCAGCTCAGGTCATGATCTCAGGGTCCTGGAATCAGGCCCTGAGTGGGGCTCCCCGCTGAGCAGGGAGTCTGCTTGTCCCTCTGCCCTTTCCCCATGCCACTCATTCTCTCTCTCTCAAATAAAATCTTTTTAAAAAATTAAAAATGTTTGAGAGGCTGCTGGGAAGATGGTGGAGTAGGATGACCCTGGGCTCACCTCTTGCTGCGTGGCCGCCTAGACAGCACCCACGTCGGCATAAATAACCCAGAAAACTGGCAGAACAGACTCTCCCCAGCCTGGCACAGACAAGAGGCCACAACAAAGCAGATCCACCCCCTCCGATTGCTCTTGGCAAGATCCCATCAAAGCGGTGCCACAAGCCTGGCAGTGTGCGTGCGGCCCAGACAAGGGCCAGCACAGCTCCCAAGTGAGTCCTGCTCCAGGGAGAGGGGAAGATAACCACACACCCATCTGACTGTGACCCCAGCAGTAGGCTGGCAGCAGGCAGCTGGTCTGTCTGCAGGCCCCAACCACCAACAGAAGCTTCTCCGGGGACGACACAGGGAAAGTGCCCGCAGTTTGCTGCTACTGCATCTCTGGCAAACGCCTGGTCTGACTCAACTCAAGCCCAAGGCAGCCCTGGACAGGCCCACTAACACCATGGGCACCAGACTCTGCCCACAACAGGCAGGGAGCCATCACAGACAACAGGACTGAAGGCAAACACATCCCAGGCACAACGGGAGGACACCCCTGGAGCAACACACACAGGAGACACCCCCTGAAGCACCATTTTCTGGTGAAAAGGAGACATTGCGCTGCAGGACCTCTTCTTCATAAAGCCACTAATTTCAAGTGCAGGAGACATAGCTCACTTTCCTAACACAGAGAAACAGATACAGCAATAGACAGAATGAGGAGACAGAGGATTATGTCCCAAATGAAAGAGTGGAACAAAATAAGAGCAGGAGACCTAAGTGAAACAGAGATAAGTAATATGTCTGATAGTGAATTTAAAGTAATGCTCATAAAGATACTTGCTAGAATTGAGAAAGGAGTGCAGGACCTCCATGAGACCCTCCACCAAGAGATAGGAGATGGAAAAAAGAACCAATTAGAGCTATTGGACTCACTAAATGAAATAAAAATAGACCACCTGGAATAAATAGCAAACAAGAGGAAGTAGAAGAACAGATCAGCCGCCTGGAGGACAGAGTAATGGAAAGTAATCAAGCTGAGCAGATGAAAGGGAAAAAAAATACACAAAAGAGAAGAGACCCAGGGAACTCAGCGACACTGTCAAGCATAACAGTCGCATGATAGGGATCCCAGAAGGAGGAGAGCGAGAAAAGGGGGCAGAAGATTTGTCTGAAGAAATAATAGCTGAAAACTTCTTGAATCTGGGGAAGGAAAGAAATCCAGATCCAGGAGGCAAAGAGAGCCCCCAACACAACCAACCCAAAGAGATCTGCACTAAGATATAAAGTAAATAAGATGGCCAAAAGTAACGATAAAGAGAGAATTTTAAAAGCAGCAAGAGAAAGGAAAGCCGTGACATACGAGGGAAACCCCATACGGCTATCGGTGGATTTTTCAGCAGAAACTGCAGGCCAGAAGGAAACATCATGATAAATTCCAACTGCTAAAACAAAGAAATCTACAGCCAAGAATACTCTATCCAGCAAGGCTTTCATTCACAATAGAAGGAGAGAGAGAGTTTCCCAGAAAAACAAAAGTTAAGGGAATTCATGACCAGGAGCAAAACCAGCCACGTCCCCGTCACACACGATGCCATCGGCCAGTGGGTCCCAAATTCACAGTCCCACCGCCCTCCTGCCCATGTCAGCATGCACTACCTGCCACCTGCTCAATGCCAAGTCAACACGCCTCCACCTCAGGTTGCCAAGGGCTCAAACTGACACTCTTTCCCTCAAATTCCAGCCCCTGTGCTCAAGTTTGTGCACAAAAGTGGGCATAATTATAACAGCAGAATGAAGCAACCCAAACAGTGACACTATTTCTGTGGAATACAGAATGGATAAAAAGGGTGTGCAAGGCTGAGAACATCTCCAACAAGCACATCAAAAAACAATACATACAGCATGATTCCAGTTAGGAAAAAAAACAAACCTGGGAAGAATAATACAAGATGAAATCAGAGAGAGAGACAAACCATAAGAGACTCTTAAGCATAGGAAAGAAACTGAGGGTTGTTGGCGGGGGGGGGGGTGGTGCTGGGGTAACTGGGTGATGGGCATGAAGGAGGGCACGTGATGGAATGAGCACTGGGTGTTCTATGCAACTGATGAATCATTGAACTCTACCTCTGAAACTAATAATACACTATATGTTAATTAATTGAATTTAAATAAAAAAAGGAAACCCCCCAAAAATTAAAAATTTTTTTAAAAATCAAGGAAGTTAAGTAAAAGTCCTGTGTTTCCCTTAACTAATTTTTTTTAAAGATTTTATTTATTGGGGCACCTGGGTGGCTCAGTTGGTTAAGCGGCTGCCTTCGGCTCAGGTCATGATCCCAGGGTCCTGGGATCGAGCCCCGCATCAGGCTCCCTGCTCGGCGGGGAGCCTGCTTCTCCCCCTCCCCCTGCCTACTTGTTCTATCTCTTTGTCAAATAAATAAATAAAATCTTTTAAAAAAAAGATTTTATTTATTTACCTGACAGAGAGACAGAGAGAGAGCACAAGTAGGCAGAGCGGCAGGAAGAGGGAGAGGGAGAAGCAGGCCCTCGCTGAGCAGAGAGCCCGACACAGGGCTCGATCCCAGGACCCTGGGATCACGACCCGAGCTGAAGGCAGCCACCCTACCGACTCAGCCACCCAGGCGCCCCTCCCTTAACTATTGATATAAGCCCACAATTTGTTTATTTTTATTTTTAACTCTAAGTTCCTAGTTCTGTCTACTGAAAAGGCCTCAAGCACTGACACCCCAGGAGCAGTGAGCACCTTGGCCACCCAGACTGTGGGCTCTAGGTGCCCAATAAAAGGAACCAGAGGTCTTTGAGAAGTGGCTGATTCCAAGCCTGAAGAAGAATATGGACAAAATATGCCCAGGACGTACTTGTAAAACAAGTAAACTTTTCAAAAACAACTGGGATTGTGTCTAAAGGGCACAGGAGTCAACCTGGAAGGCTCCCACAGGCTGAAGATGGATAATTGGGGCATCAAAAAGACTAATGGCAGCAGCAGACTGACCCTCTTCAAATACGTAAGAATCTATGAGTTCATGATGACGCTGAAAGAGAGCACAATGTGCTGGTCCCTAGAGCTGGCTGGGGACCAATGCTTACTTTGCAAGTGTACAAATCAAGGACAGGAATGAAGCATTTGTCTGGCCTTGCCTGGATGGACTATAATTCAGGGTGACCAGGTGGTGGGCAAGGGAAAACAGGTCTTCATAGAAGACTTTCTGGCTAGAGAGACAGAAGAGTGACAGGCTGGGTTAGATGCAGCCCTCGTGGGATGATGGATCTGCGACCTAGACTCAAGACCTCCATGGCCACTCGAGCCGTCTGGTGCAGAGCCTATCAGAATTTTCTCCTGGATTAATCAGGCTGCCAATGCTGAACCCGTGATCAGTCCTCACATCACTAAAGCTGGAACTAGAGACCTGTCATGCCTCCTGGAGTGGGTGAAGGGTGAAGCAGTCCTGCAAAGACCGCTTGAACCTGAATCCTATCAAGCTCCTCTCTCTGATTATCCGTTTACAGGAAATGTGGCGATGGGGGATGAGTTAATGCTACAAGAAAGCATAAAGTAAAATCCAGGAGGGGCATTCTATAGGACAAATGACCTGGTTTCTCTAATAAATGCAGAGGGGGGGAAAATAACGCAGAGGGAAGGAAGATAAAAAGTTACAGATTAAAAGAGAGACACATCGAATGACGGTAGTGTGTCCTTATGAATCCTAATGAGATCAGACCAGCTGGAAATGAGGTTTTAAGATGAATGGGGCAACCCGAAACAGGATTGCAAATTCTTAGGGTACTAAGGAGCCACTGCTGATTTCCCAATAATAGCGTTGTGCTTATATAAAAGTTTGTAAAGTCCGTACGTATTAGACACTTGCTGTATTTAAAGGTGAAATGGTTTCTGTGAACTGCTTTGAAATTCTTTAACAAGAGAAAGAGGGGCACAGAGAAATGGGAATGTTGACAGGCCTTCTTCTGGGGTCCTGGCAACTAACTGTTCATGGCCTATCCACAGACACCCCTGGGAACTGTTCAGAAAACCCCTGTCAGAACGGAGGCACCTGCGTGCCAGGTGTGGACACCCACAGCTGTGACTGCAACCCGGGATTCAAAGGCAGACGCTGTGAGCTCGGTAAGTCGGGGACCACTCCCTCCCGTAGGGACCATCAGGGCCCATGCTTCAAGACACTTGTCACAGCAGGCTATTCTGGGCCCACTGGGCCCAGGGTGGGTTTGCCACAAGGACCTCAAACCTCGAGGTGCCAGGACAGGGACCCAGCCTCAGTGCCCCAGACTTCCGAGTGCCCACGTAGGGATACTGAGAGGCAGGGAGCCACTCAGCCTCTCACTGCCCCAAAGCGCCAGGGTGAACGGTGCTGCCCAGACAAGTGGGGGGGGGGGTTCTGGGGACAGCCAGAAAGCAAAGGACATGGAGCGCCCCATAGCCAGAGGTGGGTGCAGGGGGCTCTTTGGTTCAGGGGCCAGACGTGGTGGTAAGAGGGAAAAGAGCCACAGGCCTCCCTCCCTAAGAAGAATGTGGGACTGAAGATGGGAGGTGGGTGGACAGGAGCCCGCACCCCAGCTGCACCATCCCGAGGCCTGTCAGAGACTCCCGCCAGCCCTAAGGGAAAGCAGCCTGGGGGCTTCCGGGACTCAAGCAGCCCCCGAGGTTGCAGGAAGGGCGCCCTCCCAGGGTGCAGGAAGAGCGCTTCCTCAGCATGGCGCCCCTGTAAGCCCCTTTTCCTTTGTGCCGGCAGCCTGTAAAAAGGTGCCCCAGCCCTGCACTCGGCTCTTCTCAGAGACAAAGGCCGTGCCGGTCTGGGAAGGAGGCGCCTGTCACCATATGTAAGTTTCTTTCCTGCTTTCACATTTGGAAAGTTCCTGACTTCCAGAAGTGCCTTCACAAAGTCCAGCTCACCCACCCTCATAAGCCCTGAGGAGCTCTAGGGGTCAGAGTCGCACAGGGGCTTGCACCCATTCCCTCCACGTGGCGAATCCGGAAGCTGAGGCACTGAGCTTGTGCAGGGAACGCCAGCCTCCGGCTCCTGAGCCCTGGGGCCTGCCTTTCCCACGAGTGGCATCAGTCCCTCGCCACTGGAGGGCAAGGCCATGGGTACATCGATGCCAGGAAATGACGTTCCTGTCCTCTCTGCCTCAGAGCCCCCTGGAAAGATCAACAGCAGCACGGGGGAACTCGAGTCTCCACCCTGCCGTGAAGTCATGACATTCGTGCCTCAGTTTCCCCACCTGTAAAATGGGCTGTAGAGGGAGAGCTTGCCTGGCTCACCTCATAGGACCTTTCTTGCTAACACTCTGTGACTCTGTGGTTCACACTTACAATCTATTCAGTCAACAAATTCTCACAGGCACCTACTGTGCCAGGCACAGCTCTGGACACTCAGCACATGCCAGTGAACAGAACCGGCCAAAGCCCTGCCCTCGCGATCCGCACATTCCAGACGAGGGAGGCCGTACACAAGGAGCAGGAGGATGTTACGTAGTGTTCTAGAAGGTGGTCAGGGCTGGGGAAAAGGAAGAGATGAATAGGTGGGCCCAGGACAGCCAGGGTTGGGGACAGGCAGGGGCCGGCTGCAGCATTAAACAGGGTGTCAGGGGAAGCCCCACGGAAACATGACATTGAACAGACATGGAGGGGGTGAGGGATATCTGAGGGAAGAACATTCCAGAAAGTCAAATTATCAGTTGCCAAGGCCCGAAATCAGAAGCATGTCTGCTTGTCTGAGGAGCAGGTTGGGGCTGGAGGGGAGAAAGGGGGGGCCGTGGTCAGGCAGGGCAGGGGGAATCCAGCAGGGCTTTGGAGGCCCTTGGAAGGACTCTGGCATGTGTTCTTTTGAAACGGGGAGCTGCTGAGGATGCCAAGCCGAGGAGTGAGCTGTTGGATTACGTGTCTGAAGGTCACTCTGGGTGGGATGCAGGAAAGCCAGGCAGAAGGCTTGATCTGAACTTGGACATGAAGCCAGACTTACCCCAGAGCAGGAAAACTCAGGGCATCCTGATCTGCACTGGGCCCTGAGGATCCATGTGTACAGACCATCTGATTTTGGGTTCTGTGGAATGGCAGTCCTAATCCACAGTGCCTCGCCCCCTTGTTCCAACTGTACCAGTGACCCCAGTACCTGCTAGTGACCTGCTGGGACCACCAAGTACCTGAAGACAAGAGCCCCGGACCTGTCAACAGCTTCCCATACTTTTCACTCTAACCCATATGCGTCTGAACGTCAGGTTCTTGTATTCAGCTTTACATCTGACATCTCTGGTTTTTACTGGAGTGTCTATATCATTTACATGTTACTGTAATGACCGATGTGATTGGGTTTAAATGCACCATATTGCTGTGTGCTTTCTATGTGTCCCATCTGATCATTTTTCCTTTTTTTCTCTTTTCCTGCCTACTTTGGGATTAATTAGGCTTCTAACTTGCCAGCACTGTTGGTTCACTGGTTATACCTGTCTGGTCTAACCCTCTAGTGGCTTCTGTGGGTTGCAATATGCCCCTGCAACCCCCCCATATTTGCTGGCTGTGCTCTCCCACCTCAGTGTCCCGGAGGGGCCCCTGCAGCAGCGGGCTCCATTTCCCCTCACACTCCCAGCTCTCCAAGCTGGACGCGCTGCTCGCACATAGTCCATGACCCACACAGTATGGTATGTTTGACCCCAAAGACAACTATCCTTGTAAAAACTGCTGAGAGTAGAACGTCTTTTGTTCTTCCTTCCGTGTTTGCCATTCCCAGTACCTGGATTCCTTTAGAGACCTGAGATGCCCTCGGGTACCACTGGCCTTTGCCCCCAGAACTCACTGTAACATTTCATGTAGTACAGATCTGCCGGTGATGAACCCTCTCTGCTTTGGTCTGTCTGTAAAGGGTTCTATTTCACCTTCATTTTTGGAGGATCTGTTTGCTGAATATAGAATTCCTGCCTGACAACTGTGTTTTTCCCCTCGGCGCTCAAGAGCGGCCATTTCCGGTCTTCTGACTTGGCAGGGCTGTGCTCATTCTCACCCACGAGTGCGCGCCTGGCCCCGTGACTGCCCTTCCATCCCCTCTTTACTACCGTTGTTGGGAAACTAACTGTGGTGTGCTGAGCCGTGGCCGTGTGTGTGTGTGTCTGCTCACAAGAGCTTGCTAAGCTTCAATCTCTGGGGTCTTGGCTTTCACCAAATCTGGAAAATTGGGGCCATTAGTTCTTCAGGTATTTTTCCCATCCGTCTGTTTCTCTCCTCTCCTGCGACTCCCGTCACACAGGTGTCAGACTGACGCCGTCCTTCTCTCTACTTCACTGGGCCTCTGCGTTCCATGGTCTGTCCTCGGCACTGTCGTTAGAACCTGCCACTCATCCCATTCAGCGAGACCTTCACTTCACACTCTGGTTCCTCTCATCTCTAGAAATCCCATCTAGTCCTTTCTTGGATCCTCTGTTTCTCTTCTCATCACTGAACAGGTGGGAGCAAATTTGTAGCACATGTTTTAAGGGTCTTGTCTGCTATTCCCGCCATTGCTCTCACCTCTGGGTGTCTTTCTATTCAATTATTGTTTGCTGCTTATGGGTCACATTTTCTTGATGCTTTGTATGAGCCTTTGAATATCTTGTCATTTTTTGGTTGGATGCTAGACATTTTAACCTTTGGGTCCTGAATGCTAAATTTTGTGTTTATTTCCCAGAATGTTTAGTTTTGTCTACAAGGCGGTTAATTTTAGTCTGATCCTTTGGAAGCCCCTTTTAGGGTGGTTTAACCTTTATTCTGGGTTAATTTTGCCCCACTTCTAAGCCATGGCCTTCCCGGAGTTTCTGTCTTACGAATGGACTGCAGCAGCTCTGCTGTTCAGCATCTCGGTGGTTCTCCTTGCCCAGCCTCACAGGGTCCTACCTATGCGCGCACAGCTTCATCTTCAGGGGAATCCCTGTCCCGGCCTCAGGACATAGCTCCCTCCTCTCCAGTGCCCCACAGACTCCAGCTGCCTCTGCCTCCTCCATGCAGTGTGAGCCCAGCTTGGCTTCTACCACCCTGCAGTGTAATCCAAAAAGTGCTCCTGGACCGAATTCTAGGGAGATCACAGAGCTCATTTCATGTTTCCTTTCTCTCAAGAATCACAGTCTTGCACTGCTTTCTAACATCAGAAAAGAACTGCTTTTCATATTTTGTCCAATGCTCTGGTTGTTCATACTGGGGGTTAATTCCAGATCCTGTTACTCCCTGATGGCCAAAAGTGGAAGTCTCACCAAAGGCCTTAAATCCCAAGGGCTCTCCCACACTGAGGATGAGTTGGAGCTTTGCCCATCAAACTCCCTGGATCTCTCTTTTCAACAGCTCTGACGTTTGAGAGCTTTAACAAGAACAAAAACACTTTCCTATTCCATTACCATCTACAGATTTGTGAGACAGGTAGTATGAGTAACAACCATTGCACACGAAACTGAGGTCTAAGCTCCAGAGACATGCTCAAAGTGGACTAGTTAATGAATGGGAGGCAGGACTAGAGGTCGACACTGCCCACACTGAACACCTGCATCTCCAGGGCTCTCAAACTTCTCCAAGAACTACCCACAGGACCCAGGAGTGGGCTGGTACTGACTCAAGTCCAGCACCGACTGGACTGCCTCAAGCAGAACACGTCCTTGGAATTTCTTATTCTATCTCTTAATATCACAATATTTTGTCCACACTCCTCAAAATGTACACTTAGAATGGATGTATCTTATGTAAACCATACCTTAGTGAAGTTATTTTTTTTTAATTATAGGACTTTTATGTTGGACGTTTTAACACGTCCCTATGAGGTAAAGTTTTATTAAGAAAACAGTGGCCTTTCCCTCAAACACCCGCACAGTGACCTGTGGGCGAGCACAGCCTAGCTGAAGCAGCTGGGCAACATTCTGCTCTAGGTTCTGGCTTTACACCACTTTCTCACGACACAGGTACAAGAGAGTCTACAGAGTGCACCAGGACATCTGCTTCAAAGAGAGCTGTGAAAGCACAAGCATCAAGAACACCCCAAACAGGTGCCATCTCAGGGAGGAGGCCCGCACTGTGTCCCGCCTGTAGTTCACAGGGTAACGGGGCAAGCGTGGCCCCAGGGACTGAACACTGGGGGGTGCCACAGTCCTGTGGGCCAAGCCAGGCTGTCTTGTCTAAACGTGTAGCCCCGCACAACAGGGCTCCACCCAGAAACTGTGTGCACAAACGTGTAGATATGAACACGTACAGATCAGTATAGCTGGGCATGGTGGGTGCTGAGGGAGATCACACGGTGGGAGCTGGGAAGCAATCACATGGTGGGTGCTGGGGGGAGATCACACACGGTGGGTGCTGGGGGGTCACACGGTGGATGCTGGGGGGAGATCACACGGTGGGTGCTGGGGGGTCACACGGTGGGTGCTGGGGGGAGATCACACACGGTGGGTGCTGGGGGGAGATCACACGGTGGGTGCTGGGGAGAGATCACACAGTGGGTCCTGGGGGGAGATCACATAGTGGGTGCTGGGGGGTCACATGGTGGGTGCTGGGGGGGGTTCACACGGTGAGTGCTGGGAGGGGATCACGTGGTGGGTGCTGGGAGGGGATCACACAGTGGGTGCTGGGGAGATAACACAGTGGGTGCGGGAGGGGATCACATGGTGGGTGCGGGGGGTCACACAGTGGGTGCTGGGTGGAGATCACACGGTGGGTGCTGGGGGGGGTCACACGGTGGGTACTGGGGGGTCACATGGCGGGTGCTGGGGGGGGTCACACGATGGGTGCTGGGGGGTTCACACGGTGAGTGCTGGGAGGGGATCACACGGTGGGTGCTGGGAGGGGATCACACGGTGGGTGCTGGGGGGAGATCACACGGTGGGTGCTGGGGGAGATCACACAGTGGGTGCTGGGGGTCACAAGGTGGGTGCTGGGGGTCACACAGTGGGTACTGGGGATCACTCCGGTACTAGAATTGGGAAGCATGGAACATTACTGACAGACGCAAGTATGTAACTATAAATATAGTAAATCTCTACTTTTTATTCACTCACAGCCAGGTTCTTTCTCCAAAGGGCTCAAGGGAGTCACAGGAATTACATAATGTGCTGCATGAATGCGTTAGGTGCCTTCCCAACAGCAGAGCCCTCACCCCAGCCACTCTGCGGACCCGTCAGTGGCCACACCCCCTAGGGCTTGCATTACTGAGTGTCAGGGAATGCAGTTCAACACCTGCCTGACCAAGCACTATACCTGTCTCCTCCACTCTCCTTCTTCTACACCCTGCTTCCCTCCCCATGACTCACAGCCAGCCAAGGGGGTGTACACAGACTAAAATGCTAATCTCTGCATCACTGTCTCACTGACAGTGCTCCCCAAAATGGAATACGTATGAGGCAAAGACAGGACGCCAGCAGGCAGCCTGGGTTCCAGGTACACCTTCTTTTTCATAAACCACCTTTCTCTATTTCAGGAAGCACAGTAACAGTCCAACACTGAAGAAATCTTAGGGAACAGGTACGTTCCCCACCATGGCTGGCAGAGCTGCAGGAAAGCTAGAGCGGCTGTGCCAGCATGTGGCCCCTGGGAGAGCTGCTGTCTACTTGGGGAGCTCAGCTGCGCCCTCTTTATTACAAATTCCCAGGCCAGGAGTTTCAGAATTCCCTGAGGGGGTTAAAATGAGAGAGAAAAATACCTAAGGCTCCCAACAGACATAAACCAGGTACACATGCATCTCCAGGTGGAAATGAGGCTGTCTGGGGGTGAGGACAAATCCCACTCACCTCAAGCAAACGGAGAAACCCCTTTCCCGTCAGCAGCAACGGCTGGGGGTGAGGGCAGGGCTGAGCACTCAGGGAGGTGGGACCGAGAAGGGCTGCTGGAAGGGGTGGCAGCAGGGGAGGAGTGGGGAGGAGAGGACGTTGGGAGGGGCCCAGGATGCCCACATGCAGGAGTGCAGGGGTTCAAGGGAGGGCCTCCCAGACCCTGAGAACTGCAACCTATTGAAAGAAAAACTGGGGTGTAGGGCCTTGATCACATAACTTTGGGGAAATCCTGAAGACTCTCCCACTGGGGAATTCCCAGTGGACACAGGAATCCTAAGCATTCGGAATCCTAGAATCCTAACTCTATTCCTGCTTAACCTGGCATTTCCCAAAGTCTTCTGGCAACTCAACACCATCCAACCCTTACTCCCCCCCCCCCCCAATAAACTCTGTCAAAGTCTTCATTACAGTCAGGGAGATACTGGGTTGAACCATGGCGATCCATCTACAACCCGTACTCAGTCTCACACTGAGTGCAGCTTCTTGTCGACAAGATGTCACCGGGAACGAAGCAGGAATTCGGCTGGCCTAGGGCAGCTTACTCCTATCACTCCATAAATGAGCCTCAAAGTCCATGTTCCTGGTGTTGAGAGGACAGTGAGGCACCCTGGGGAACAAGCAGCTTCGGGAATAGGCTACACTGTCTCATGGGGCTGAGGAAATGAAAGAGAAATGTTACTCAGAACCTTTACAAACAAGCCGAAGCAGAAGAGCTTCACAGGTGTAGGCTGACACCACAGGAAGAACGTCCGCACCAGCCAAGCCAGGAAGGCCAAGGCTGGGATCCGCGGGGCGTGGCCTGGGCAGCCATCCCCGGGCAGCCTTTTCCAGAAGCCTCTGCGTTCAGCCCGTCTCCTCACAAGCATTACTTCCCCTCGCACCTCATGCTCCCAAGACACACAAATCCAAAACATGCTCCACAGCTCATAAACAATTCACTACTAGGATTAAGAACCCACAAACATAATCTGGGTTTGAAATATTTACATTACACTAAGTCACCTGAAACAGCAATACCTTTTCTTTTAAACTCAGCAAATCCATTTCTATAAAAACAAATTAGAAACCCTCAACTATCAAATCATCAAATACTAGCTTTTAGAATACCCATTCTTGAAACAATGGAGAAAACGCAAATAAACAGGAATTCATTTCAACCCAGAGCCACAGGGGGCAGCCCAGGTCTTCAGAGGAAGGACCCAAGGGCATGGCCAAATGGAGGGGAGCAGCCTGCAGCTTTCAGCTCTAACAGCTGCAATGCTCCCGAACGTCCCTGGCGCTGGGCCACGTAGTCCATGCTCTCAGCACACCTCCCTCCCGTCCACGGCCATGTTAGAGGCAGGAACACAGGGTCCTCTGGGGGCAGGGACCGAGGGCTAAGAGAAACATGAAGCTGCATTTTAAAGAGGAGTGGGTGTCATTCTCCTCATGCCCCATTCTCTTTTCTCTTCAAGGGATTCAGGACGTTCTTGTTACACTCCATCAACCTCTCACGAGCTCCTAAAGCCCAGGAAGGCAGGGTCCAAAATTGGATTGAAAGGACACCCTGAAAGACCAGGTCCTGGCTCAAATCCATCCCCTCTGCGGCTTCCCTTCTCCAGCCTCTAGAAGACAGAAGGCCAGGCCGGGCAGGCTCCAGCCCACCTCCTCTCCGGGCTGCGCCAGGGAGACCCTCTGGGCCAAATCACCTCCCAGTCCTGCGACGCATGGGACAGCCTGCGCTGTAGCCCTGGCTACTGTCTCCTACGGGGACAGTCTGTGCCGCGGCTGGGGAGCAACCACGGCGTGCGCCTGGGCCCTGGATGAGCCAGCAAGGCTCCTGCAATATCCGGGAACCAGTTCTCAGCTTCCAAAGTCGGAGGGCAATTTTCCCCCTGAGACCTAACAGTCAAACTGAGGAGGAACTGCTCTCCGGCTTCCACTGCAGAGACAGCGGTGCCAGGAAGCGTCCGGGGTGAGGCCAGACGGAAAGGGAAGCTGAGTTCTAGGCGCCCCGCCCTGCTCTCCTCCAGCAAATTCTTTGGGCTGATATGTGGCAGGCTAGCGCCCCATCACATGGACCAGTAGATTATGAAAGAGAAAATGTTCATTCGTACTAAGAGGGAGTTTAGATACTTTCAGTCTTCAACTTCTTCTCAGTGACTATTTCTGGTTTTGTGGACCAACCGGTCTCTGCGGCAACTACTCAGCTCAGTGCTGGTGGCCCAACCGCAGCCACAGAAACGTGACCAGAGCACTTACCAAACGAGGGGGCAAGTCCCATGGCCACACTTGGCCAAGCCCTGGTCTATCAAGTCACCCAGGCCTCAGCCTTATGCAGAGAAAGCCACCCCCCCCCGATGACAAGTCACGCCACGGCACCAAAGAGCCCCGAGCCTCACAGAAGCATGACGCGGCCCCCCAGCACGCACAGAGCCCGAACAGCACGGAGATGCATAACCGGGGCAGACCAGACCCGACCCAGCTCAAGATCCCCTTCAGTCCACAGCTCGAGCAGGACTGTTCTAGGCTGTCAGCTAGCATGGTTCTCCCCACATCTCCCTCTTCAGCAGCAGAAGGCGGCACTGGCTTGCCGAACCGCTTCCGAACCGCTCTGCCTTCTCCCTGCGGAGGCGGCGCAAGCCAGGCAAGCCAACCTCACCTCGTGTCAGCGGAGCATCTCAGTAGCTGACCCAAACTGGAACTCAAGCCCCTGCGCGTCTGCCACTGACTCTGTCCCGAGTCAGCACTAAGCCAGAGACGGCTCCTTCTTCTCATCTTTTATAAAAACATAGTTTGAAGAGTTAGAGTATATTTTAGGCTTTTTATTTTTATTAAAATTTTGTGTGCATATGTCTGTGTATTACACGATTTGTTTTCAGAGAGGAGGAACTGTCATTTCAAGAAGTCTCTACTGTACCCCAGAGCGCCCCTGGCGTCCCAGGCCCACCCGGGGAAGACAGCCGCTCAGTCAGGGGCTCCAGCACTGGGCGAGTCAAGACAGACCCCGGCCATGCACACGTACTGCTGACTTCTGCGTCGCCAGCACCAGTCACTGCGTCTACGTGAGCTACAGCATCGCTAGCGAGTGGCAAGATCAAGTGATATCACTGGAAAAGTAGATGAAACTCTCTACTACGATGTTAATAACCTCAAGCCCCTCAGCCATGAGGCAAACACTAGTGTGTTCCAGTTTTTAACTTAGAAACATTTGTTTCTACAAGAAACAGTCTACTGAATCCTGAGCTTGGTGCTGTGTTGTCTTATGATTAACCCCTCTGGATGTTTTACAAATTAGGTATCTAGTAAAAAGACTTCCTGAGGCAAAGGAATTACAATTCATTCTGGAAACATTCTAACTGAGACACTGCTTTTTTCACACGTTTCTTTCATAAAACTCCGGCGTCTTCCTCAAACATACACTCAAACTCCACCCAAAAATATTAATAATAATGTAATCAAAATTCTCAGGTGCATAAAAATTCATTTCTGTAGCGAAATGAAAGGAGCAATCATGAGTTGCCAAGTTAGCCATTCTAATCATGCAAATTTATAATTCTCCTGAGTCCCCCTGACTGGACCCAAGAACCCATCTGAAGTTCCAGGGAAAGTGCCAGTCACCTGGGATGCAAAATGGAAGAGTAAGTGAAAGAGTGAAATGCCTTCGTTTTCAATAATTTTGCCCACAGCCAAAAAACCAGTAAAGGCAAAGCCTTCCTTCCCATTGCATGTGGGCTGACACAGAGGCGGAGGAGGAGACCTGCGCCAACCCCACCGCTCTCCCACCAGCAAATCCAACAGGCACCTCCCTCAGCCGGGACTCCTCCCGCTGGACATCTCACTCCGATGCACAGGGATTCACTGAGCTACTTCTCTTTTGCAGAAAATGTCTTTCTCTTTACTGTCATGCTCAAACATGAGCCCAGAGGAAACAAAAGCATCTGCACCTCAGTGCTGAGTCCCCGCAGCAAACACAGCTCAAACCTACCAGCCGCACTTCAGGGCACACGGGAAAGGAACTTAAAACTCAGCTATTTACTTCCTTTTAAATAAAAGAAACGTAAGCAATGTAGGCCTGCTTCCAACCTGACGTTCCCGTTCTCGTGAACCGAAGCCTTCGGGCAGGTCCTCAGCCTCCGCACTGGTGACAATTCAGGCTGCACTGCTCTGCTTGAGGCCATCCTGTGCACCGCAGGATGGCTCACGGCAGCCCGGCCTCCAGCCGCTGGATCCCCACGGCGCCCTCCCTCGGTCCTAAGAGCCAAAAATGTCCTCACATGTTGCTGGATGTTCCCTGGGGTCAAGATCACTCCGGGTGGGAGCCGCTGCCTGACAGGATTCTTCCACGGTCTCTGCGGGAAAAATCAGGCCAAGCAGTTTTACCTAGTTGTTAGAGTGCTGCCAAGACCTGGATTTTGGTTACATCACCAAAAATGCTTTCTGTTTCATCAACCACGTGTCAGCTCCCTCCAAGGAAGGGACACACAGGACGTTCTGGGGTGCCCCAGTACTCCCTCACAGAGCCCACGCCATGAGGGCTGGGCCTCTACCTCAGAGATGACTAATTCAAATCCCACCCCCTGACCCAACTTTTTAAGTCACCCCTCAGGCCCCTGGGCTCCCCGAGGGGACTCCCACCACCACAGTGTCCCGGGAGCCCCCTGAATAACACCAGGCCCCACCCCGCTCACAGACCCTGCGCGAGGGCTCTTCTCTCCTCTGGTCTCAGAAGCCACGTCCGTGAGATGCCCCCAGCCCCCCCGTTCTGGCACGCTCCAGGGCAGCACCCACTGGCCGCCAGAGACTGCGGGCCCACAGAAGGCCCGCGGGCCAGGAGCTGGTGTGAAAGCCAACTTCCCTTAAAGGTCAGAGCCAGGGCCCATTCCTCACAGAAAGAAAAGCACCCCAACACTCGGCTGGCTTTAGGCAGCTGTGCAAAATGGAACCATCACTAACCCCCGTCCTTGACAATGCTGTACACTGAAAGCAATTATGAAGCAGTATTTGTGGACTAAAAACACGAGTGTTTTTGTGGAAAACCTGCTACTTGTTTTCATAAAATAAAGTGCTGTGATGTACTAAAACCTCAGTGCCTGCTCATAATCTTATCTTTATCACTACAAGGAAATGTAAAATGACTCTCGAACCAGAGCAAGGAACCCCACTCCCCACACTGTCATGGAGTTATCAGACATCAACAGAGAAAGACCAAAACCAAATGTTGAGGTACTAAGTTCCCTGATTTTAACAGCTCAGAGTCTGTCTTCCATGCAGGAGGGAAGAGGGCCCTCCCCACAGGGACCTGACAACAGATCAAACTAACGCAGCTCCTATTTAGTCTGACCCACCTCTCAGGTGATTTATAATAATGTTTCATCAGAAGACCAGTTTTAGAAGGAAAAATAACCTGAGAAAATCCAAGTGAAGCTCTCAAAAGCTTTGAGAAAATTTTAATATTCTTTGGTATCTTTGGGCTCTTCATTCTAGTCCTTCCGTCACTCCTCCTCCTCCTCATTCTCATCCTCCTCCTCATCCTCCTCGTCCTCGTCCTCATCCTTGTCCAGACTTGAGCTTTTGTTGTCAGGCATGTGGCTCTCAGACCCCTCTTCCTCCTCCCGAGCAAAGAGCTTCTTGAAAACTTCAAACTCCTCAGTGGAAGAACAGGCTGTCCTGGCCAGAAACTCAGCTTCTGAGACTCTGAGAATGTCCTTAAGTAAAGGATTGGGGACCTGTGTCTGACCCTTCTTATCGGGGGTTTGGTACCGTCCTAGGCGCTCGAGGAACACATGTCTCTGCTTGATCTTGGTCATGGAGTACTGCAGGAAGTCAGTCCGCACCACATCCGCGTGTTTAACCCCCATCCTAAAATAGGCATACTGGAGACACAGACACGGTTAGGGGTCCCGGGCACAGTAACCTACAACCTGTCCTGCCATAGTCCGTAATCAACGCAAGCTGCCCAGAAGCACGCAAAAAGAGCCGCCCAACTCACAGTGCCAGGACACTCTGTGACGCCCAGCATTTGTGTGAGGCCTGACAGTTTTCAAAGCATTTTCAAGTTCATGTTGAGAAAAATTTAGCAGAAAATAAAGGGGCAAGAGGGATGTGAGTGTGGAAAAGAACAGGCAACAAATTCAGCAAACATCTAGCAATTTGACCTAAGTTGTCATAATTGTTACCCAAAAGTTAGGACAATTGTCACAACTATGTTTCCAAAATCAATATGCAGAACAGGTTCTAAAGAAAGGAAGATTTTTAGCTCTTTTTAAATTAGCTATTTCAAGCAGAGGCCCCATTTGGACCCCAGGAATGGGACTGGGTCATTCATTATTAACAGCAGAAAACTTGCAGGATAGGCTTTCTGTAAAGAAGTAAAAGACCAGAGCCAGATTCTCTCTGGCTGGTGTGTGCAAAGAGGATCTAAGCCTTTCACCTCGTCCACTCGCCCTCAGGGTGCCTGTGGCTTCTCAGCCACGGAGCTGACCTTCACTACAAAGAACGTGTTGTTACTTCCCAAATCCCCTACCAGTCATCCTCACCTGGAATTTGTACTCCAGTTCACCGGGGTCCTCCTGAAGAACATAGGGGCATCTGTGCAAAATCCTGGTCACCTGTTGTACCGTGAAAAGACATTTCTCCTTGAGAACACCAACAATGCTGTCAATGTCCCTCTGATGCATGGTGAGGATTTGAGGGCAACAGAGAAGCACCGTCTTTAGTTTCCCTGCAGAACATAAGAAAAGGCAAGTACACAATTTCAGAACATTCCAGAAAGCCAAGGGGCTTGGCATACCCACGCCAGCACTGAATAAATGAACGAGGATGCGCTCCTCCACGTGAGGGGCAGCTTCCGATGCCTGCCCAGGGGCACGTGGCAGTGGGAGGGGCCAGAATGACTATCTCCTCTCTGACCCCCTCCCTGGTATAAAAAGGAGGCCTCTTGCTGGCCTGCCAGCTGAACGGCATAAACCTCATATTCTAGGCTTCCTCCTCTTGCCCTCTTCATCTAAAGAATCTCTCAGGGGATCTACTGGAAAGATCAGACAGTAGGACGAGACCCTAGCTTCCCCCATATTGGGGCTGTGGGCTGACATTTCCTTCCACAATAAAATAGTCATTGAAGCATCCACAACCAACCTTCCTAAGATCTGGGAGCCTGAACTCCATGAAAAGGAGTTCCATGATAATAATTATTAATAGAATAATGACGAGAATACTCATGATGCACAGCCACAGACAATGATGTCCTAGTTAGTGGGGTGACCGTATCTTTTACCCACATTAGGGCAATACTGAGCGAAAGAGGCCCTATTAACAAATGCATTAGGGTAACTGAAACTACTGAAGGGAAATTGGGGCCTATGGTCTTCCCATGGATAGCTGGGCAAAATTCAGTACCTGGAAACTTCAAATCATTTATTTAAACTGGTATTAACACACACACACACACACACAACTGGTATTAACAATCTTCCTAACAGTTGAGCTACTCACTGTCTTACTAAAATGTGTCTAGAATGACTTCCAGGAGTTTAGACTTTCCCTCTGCAGCAGAAGGCTTTGCTCAGCCTCGTAACATATGATCATAGCATATAAAGTATTAAGTTTAGCCTTTTAGATTATACTGCAACAGGTCATCGGTCAAGAGAAACACAGAAGGCTAACTTCTTCCTTATCTTCTGGAGAAGAAGGCCCACAGAGAGCCTCTGAAATTGATCCCCAAACAACAATATCTCCCCCTTAACAATATCTTACCAGTAAGAGTCAAAAAGGAAAAAAAAAAAAAAATAGTGGCCCTCCTGTGGTCAACGTGCATAAGGATCCCTGGGACTCTCACCTGAAGGCCCACCCAGGGATCCAACGAAATCCTAGAATCCTTGAGATGTGGATCCTGTTGGGGGGAACAGTCACTTCCCCGTTTCCTAGGAGTCTGGGACCATCTCGGGTTCCACTGGAACCCACGTCTTTACAAGGGACTCTGTAGTAAGCCTTTGGCTTTACGTCGTACGGACAACACCAAGCTAAGGTAAACGTCAGAGACCGCGTAGGTACTCGAATGTTACTACCATACACTGACCTCTATCTGCTGAGCACGAGCACATACCACGTGCTCACCACCCACCGTTCCAGACGCTAGAGCCCCCAGAGTGAGCAAACCAGACAAGTCTCCCCTTCCCTCCTGCAGCGCCATCAGCAGAGGTCACTGCTTCTCACCTCCACGCCAAACCACAGTTACTCTCAAGAACTTTCCCCACAAGCCTCCCCTAGCCCACCCCACCTGGGCTACTTGGCCCCCAACCCCGACTCCTCAGCGCTGGACACAAAAGCAGGGCCTTCTTGTACCTTCTCCAAGACCGAGCTTTCGCAGGTAACTGGAGCGCTTCCTCACGTGCATTACAGGCAGTTTCAACAACTGAGGACTTTTCTTCAAGGCCACGTACACAGGCTCTGGGTTCAAACCCAAGAGTATTAATTCTGAAATGATGTCCAGCAACTGTTGAGGGTGCGTACTTGGCCACAGACGGAGCAATTCGTTAATGTGGACATCACTGAAGCCCATGTCCAGGAGAGAAGTGACGACCTTCTCCTGCTCCAGGAACCCTGGAGCCTCAGGAGTCCCCTGCTTCCCCTGGGGGCACCGAGTGAGACTCGTCCTGCAGTCTGGTTCCTGCATGTACTTTCTGGGTTCCACCCGGGATAACTTCTGGAGGCCCCCTCCACTGGGGGCTGTGGTCAGTTTACACAACAAAGCTGCAGACGTCCTTTTCTGTCCTCCGCCAGGGGTGTGCCCAGCAATGCGGGCCCAGGTGAGGGGGACCAGGCGGTGCCAGTCGAAGACCTATGAGACACAGCACCGAGAGGGGATCAGCTCCTCAGCACTCCAGAGCAGAGGACACGGCGCAGTTGTGGAGCCCGAAGCAGGTTATCTCGTGTCTTGCTCCCACACAAGCACAGCTCTTGTGACACCCTGCAAACGCCGGCCGGAGCGTGACAAGCCCGAGAGAAGGCAGTCTGCATACAGAGAGCGGAGCATCGCAAGAGCCAAGCCAGCCTCTGCCGGCTGTCGCGGCCCTAACGCGGGGCGGGGCGCGGCGCGGGGCGGGGCGCGGCGCGGCGCGGGGCGGGGCGCGGCGCGGCGCGGCGCGGGGCGGGGCGCGGCGCGGGGCGGGGCGCGGCGCGGCGCGGGGCGGGGCGCGGCGCGGGGCGGGGCGCGGCGCGGGGCGGGGCGCGGCGCGGCGCGGGGCGGGGCGCGGCGCGGCGCGGGGCGGGGCGCGGCGCGGGGCGGGGCGCGGCGCGGGGCGGGGCGCGGCGCGGGGCGGGGCGCGGCGCGGGGCGGGGCGCGGCGCGGCGCGGGGCGGGGCGCGGCGCGGGGCGGGGCGCGGCGCGGCGCGGGGCGGGGCGCGGCGCGGGGCGGGGCGCGGGGCGCGGCGCGGCGCGGGGCGGGGCGCGGGGCGGGGCGCCGGAGAGAGCCATCCCAAGGCCGGCCCGTGAGTGGGGCCTTCTCCCCCGCCCTCCAAGGGGCAGTGCCGGGCCGCAAACTGAACCGGGAGCGGACGCGCGGGAGCCGGACCCCAGGGTGTACTCGTGCGCACGTGACGGCTCCAACGGCGGTGGCTCCCGGACCGGTCGTGTTCCCGCCCACGCGAGCGCCGTCCCGCCGCGGCCGCACAGCCACGCGGACAGACAGCCGGCGGCCGCGCCCCGCAGGCCTGCTTTTCCCGAGTCGGGATCCCCGGGATCCCTCCTTCCCCGTCGCCGCGTCCCACGCACCACAGCGGACAGGAAGCTCCGGGCCGACCGCGGGGGCGCCCGCTGGGTCCCGCCGGGAGCCCGCACACCGCGCAGCCTACTTCGCCCGCCCGCCCGCCCGCCCGCGAGGAGAAAACGCGCGGCCCGAGCGCCGCCTCACCTGCCGGCCGAGCGCCGCCATGGCGGGGAGCGGCGCCGGCGAGCCCGGCGCCGGAAGTGCACCCCCGCCGCCCGCACTTCCGCCTCCCCCGGCGACCGCGCGAGCGCGGGCGGCGCGTTCCGCCGCGGCTCGTCCCGGCTGCGGGGCGCGCGGCCGGGGCCCCGGGGCCGCGCGCGGGCCTGCGCCTCGGGCGGGCGCCGCCGGCCTTCGCGCTCCGCAGCGGCCCTCGGCCAGCGCGGCAGGTGCACGGCCCCTGCCCGTGCATCCGCTCGCACCGCTGCCGGCGGCCTGGCCGGCCCCCGACGGGCGCGGGGCCCTCCCGGCTCGCGGGCTGCCGCCCCCTGGCGGACGCGCCGGTAGCGCGCCGGCCTCGGCCTCGGCCCCGCAGCCGGCTCGAGCCCGAAACCTGCAGAGTGGACCTGGCCCGCCGCCCGCCGCCCGCCCCGGGGCTGGGCGCCAAGGCAGCACGGGCCGCGAACGCGCCGCGTCCAAGAAAAGGTCGGTTCTGTTCGCCGTTTTTCACGCGACTCACAGTAATGCTTCTACCCTCGAAGCCTGAGAAGATCCGTGGGCGCCACCCCGACTCCCTGGAAGGAATCGGCCAGCGAGCTAATCTAGCGCTAGGGGTGAAGTCACGGCTGCGATGCAGGGGTTAACTAACAGCCAGCAGCATCTTCAGCGCTCTGGAATCGCACCGGGAGCGTGGAGACTCCCACCTGCAGCCTTTCCGCAAAGAGCACTCTCAAAGCATCAGACCTGCTACTGCCACCCGGCAGGATAGGGTTTCATTATTTTTTCTTAGCAGTCAGTCCCTGCACAGCTAGCACTTGGCATTCTTAGCCCATTGCACACCTGTCTGAAAAAACATCCTGTAACTTCTTATGTGTTACAAGCATCGTATATACTACAAGGAAAAACATTTGGGGTTTTTCACTCTGGAAAAGAATTCTTAAAATATCAAGAAATTCATTGGAATTCTGAAGCGTAAAGGTCACTTCTTACTACACACTTTAAAAAGTGTACTCCTAAAAACCGTGCCTCTGCCATCCCTCCCCCTCCCCATGTCAGTCAGCCTCTGCTGAGGGCAGGGACTCAGGCAGCACTTTCTAAAGGAAGGGGATGGCAATACCCCCTACCCTCAGGGTTAAGAATTAACTCAACTGCTATCCTGGCGTCGTGAGATATTAAAAGGCAGCTGAGTGCTCCCTAAATGAACAGTGGAAAACGAGCACAGAACTTTACCAAAGCTGGGCGACCCCTGAGCATCTTCCTGAGGACTCAGCAGGAGGAGCCTACAACCTGCAGAAAGTGATGATGTGGTGGAAAGGTGGGGGGTGTCTCGGGTTTTTTTTTCTTCTTGCCATCTTAGCAAGGAAAAGAATAAAAGGTTTCCCTCTTACTCCTAACCACGGCCACCCCTCCAACACAGATAAAGGCTGCTTTGCGCATGCTCACTGAGCTCCTTGATTCTGTTTCAGAGGGGGTGGGTTGGAGCCTGGAGGGGTGGAGCCATCTAAGTGTGCGAGAGACCCCCGGGGAACCTGAACCAGATGGGAAGTAGGCAGGCTGGACACCCACTGCAGACGTGGGGCTGGGGCTGGATGTCTGGGGAGTGCTGGGAGGGTGTCTGGGTGACAGCAGGGCCCAGACGGACGGTGGGCTAGAGCGGCGTGCAGGGGAGAAGGGACGTGCCTGACAACAGCTGGCCCCTCCCCGGCCCCCTTAAACTGAACAAGCTGCAGGTCTGGGCCCCCCCAGGGGAGGGACCCCCCCACGGATGGAGGCTGAGCCCCTCTCCAGCAGGGGCATGTCGGGGTACACAAACAAAAGTAAAGCAATGAAACACTCCCCACGCTGGCATCTTGGAAGAATTCAGTCAGTCCAAGTCCGGATCATGGCTCACTACAAAATTGCTTTAATTCGGAAATGTTCAAAAAATAAGTTAATGAAATAGTCTGGTCTCTGGCTAACCAGTTCTACCAACTCCACACATCAGGTGAGCACATGTCAAGTCAGAGGAAACAAATACATGCATATATACAACATCAGAAAGATTAAAGCCCTTTCATAGCACAAAATTCAACCAAACGCTAGCATGCTTATTTAAGGTCATGTGAAAAACGAATTCCAAGTCTATTTATAACCCTAGAATCTTGTAGCACCACTGGCTTTTGTTCTAGCATTTCTCAAACTTGCATAGGAATTTTTAGAAGGTGAATTGGGCCTAATGATTGAGAATTTAGTTTCTCTGACTGGATGGGGCCTGAAAACAACCTGCTCCCGAGAGAGCAGCAGGGAGCTGGAGTCGGCTCATCAGGGGCCTCCCCTGGGGCACAAGGCCCCGCAGGGCTCCAGAGCTCACGCCACTTCCCTGGCGCACCTGCTCTCAGCCTCCAGGCTCACACCGGACAGAGCTCCGCTTTCTGAGAAAGAAGAAGACATGGTATCAGGTGTTAACACAAGATCTAAGACACTTGCTTCTCTCTGGTAGAATTCCTACAACAAAAGACATCAGCGGGACCCTTGAGCACCCACCCGCCTGGCACTGCCGCAGAGTCCCCGGCCGCTGCTGAGGTGCTGCGGCGAGTCTATGCCCGGGGCCGCCAACACCAGCTCGGTCCGCCCGCTCTGAGCGGCAGTGACCAGACGCCCTGGGCTGCTGCCGCCCAGCTCTGCAGCCAGGAGCCTCATCGGAAGAGCCAGGGCCCCCGGGTCCCCTCAGAGCACCCCACTCGCCATCTGCAGCCTCACCCTCCCCTTCAGCTGGCTCTGGCCACCGCCGGCTGCTCTCAAACCCTCTGCCCCCTGCCCCTAGCCCCTCCTGTGGGTGCCTCCTTGTCAGGGGCTCCCCTGGGTGCTCAGCCACCTTCCAAGGCCCCAGTGGTGTTCAGGGGCCTCTGGAACAGAATCAGGCCCCATTGGTTGCACAGGTGATAAGCCAGCTACAGGCCCTGACGTTGGTGTCGGACAGCATGGAGGAGGGAGCCCCCTCTTCCCCAGACCCAGGAAGGCAGCCTGGGGAACCTCCTTGCCTTCTTGGCACACAGGTCACGCCTCTCACCTCGCTTGTTCATGCGACACACCTCATCCCAGGTGTAGTTAGCAAGATTCACGGGCTGTGTCACCCAGGGGTCTGTCACCAGCTTCTCCAGGGTGGTGCGCTGCTCGGGGACAGGCTGCAGCAGCCCAGACATGAGGTTCATGAGATCTGGAGACATAAAGACCCACCCTAGGCATGTGGCCAGAAGACCGATGATGGGTCGGGGCTGGGCCCAAGTGGAACAGGTCTCAAACTGCGGGTCCTGGGTCTGCCCACCATGAGCACTTCTGACTGGCCCAGGAAACCTCCACTGACAAGAAGCTGGGGGTTTGGGCACACGGGCCCAGCTACTCCCGGAGACAAGCTGCGGGACATGCTCGTCCCCTCTGAAATGAAAGCGTGGGGTTCAGGACCCCACCTCACTCACCTAACCTACATGCAGAGCTTCTGCAGCTCAGCCTGTTCTCGGGGCTCTGGCCATGCAGAGCCTCGAATGACACAGGGCTCGTGTGATGAAAGTGGGGGGAGGCGGCCGCAGGCGAGCCCTGCATCATCCCCCCGAGAAGGAAGCACGGGCTCTGAGAAGAGCCCCAGCCTTGGGTCTAGATTTGGGTCCCATTTCCTGTAACAATATGGGTGTCTCCTCAACCACGATGCTCTGAGCCTCACCATCCCAGAGGAGCGTCTTGAGAATGCAGTGAGAGAGCACGTGGAACGGTTTGTGGGAGGAACAGCATGCTGCAAGAAGCATGGCTCATGGGAACCCAGAACCTTAGCAAAGCTCTAAAAATCCTCTTCTAGGCTGCTACGGACCAAACTATCTCCATGCCTTCCCCCGCCCCTATGGTGAAGCCCTAACCCCCAGTGGCCCCTGGGAGGTGATCAGGGTCACCTGAGGTCATCAAGGTAGGGCTCCATGATGGGATTAGTGCTGTGGTAAGAAGAGAGACCGGGGGCGCCTGGGTGGCTCAGTCAGTTAAGCATCTGCTTTCGGCTCAGGTCATGATCCCAGGGTCCTGGGATCGAGCCTCACGTCAGGCTCCCCGCTCCGTGGGAAGCCTGCTTCTCCCTCTCCCTCTGCTCTTCCCCCTACTTGTGCTCACGGGCTTTCTCTCTCTCTCTCAAATAAATAAATAAAATCTTTAAAAAAAAATTTACACGAGGGTTTAGTCACATTCAAGTTACACTTCTGTTCAGATCCGTGTTTGACGAATGGGAAGAAAGCTCGAGGTGGGGGACCGGGCGCCCTCACCTTCTGACACCAGGTACGGGGGGTGGATCACGGCCTCCATGGTCTCCTCCAGCTCGCAGAAGGGGTTCTCCTCAAAGATCAGCGTGTACAGCGTGACCCCCAGTGACCACATCTCCAGCTCTGGCCCCCTGTACCTGCAAGGGGGAGGTGGCGGCAGCATTCGGGGCATGCCGGGGCTCAGCCCACTCCACACGCAGCCCCCGACAGTGGCCCCCAGCACGTCCTGCGGCCCTCCTCGACTATGCCTTCCATTCCAGCACCTCTGCCCCAGCCAGCCATGCTCCAGCCACACGCTGGGGAGGGAAAAGAAAAGCAAAACTTCATGTCCAGGCAGCTGAGAGATGCCCACCACGAGATAAGAGGGTGTGCGGCACAAGAGGGCAGAGCATCTCCTGGTGGGGGGCTTCCTGGAGGAGGTGGGGAGAAGGCACAGCGGACAGAGTGGAGGCTCCAGTCCACACAGGAGCAGAAGGAGGGCCAAGGCGACAGCAGCGACCTAGACAGAGTGTGAAGGGGGAGGCAGAGGGGTCCAGGCTGGGCCAACCGGGCAACAGGCTGGCGGCCAGGGGACGACGGTGCCCCACTGCCATGCTTTGTCGTTGTAAGGATGGACCTCACCCAGCTTCCGTTTACCGGCACCCTGAGATGCCAGCGCTCTGTCAGGCATTTTATGTGCTCCAGCCCTAAACCCCACAGCCGGTCTGAGAAACAGCACCCACACTGTACGCAGAAGGTGTGGAGCTGCGGCCGAGCTGCCCACTCAGCTACCGGCCCAGACAGCGGGGACCACGGAGTCAGACAACGTGGCTGGGAGACACTGGTGAGTGTGGAGAGGGTCCAGGACAGCAGGAGGCCGAAGACCAGGATGGGGCGCTGGACGCCGGGAGGGTCAGGAGGACAGACGTCAGGAAAGTGCGGGATGAGAGACTGCACAAGCCGGGGCGAGAAAACCCCATTCAACACTCGGTATTTTCGTGTTGTTTCAGAAAGAGCAGTTTCAAGAACACTGGAGAGCAAAGCGAAAAATCCACTGAAGTACAACAGTGACGGCGCCGTTTCTGTAAAGCGCCAAAGAGAAACATTTTGGGCCTGTGGGCCACATGACCCCGTCGCCACGACGACACCAAAGCAGCCAGAGGCCACAGAGGCTGACAAACACGGCTGCGTTCCGAGAAACTTCATAAAACCCAGTGGTGGGCCAGGTTTGGTCAGGGGCCACGGTCTGCTGTCCCCTGGAGCAGAAGAGGGGAGAAACGATGAGGGAGGAAGCAGAGTTCCTGAGGAGGGGTCTAGAATCAGAGCCGGAAAACCACAGGTGCAGTGACATGGGGGGGGTGGGGCGGACCAAGGAGCTCAGAGGAGGGCACCTGCAGGCCAAAGAGGAGGGAGCAGGAGCGCTGCAGGGCTCCAGGAGAAGGTGGATGCCCTGGGGAGGGCCGGAGGTCCCTGAGAAGCACCGAGGTGCACCACTGCCCTGCACTCCCCCGTGGGAGCTTCCCAGCCTGGCCGCAGGAGGTGGGGCGGGGGGCAGACAAGCCACAGAGCACGTGTCAGGGTCCCGTGGACAGGTCACGCAGCCCCCTCCAACTCCAGTGGCCACCATGGGACGAGACAGCAGCCAACACAGCACCGGGGGGCACCAGGGTGATCAAATTACATCTTCAAAGAAACTCCAAGGTCCTTCCTGGACTAACCCCCTTCAATATTTCATCCTGTCTGGTGGCTCTGGGTGTGCACAGAAGTGACAGGAGAAGGGTTTCCTGAGCACTGCCCAGGCCCCCCGGCAGCCCACAGGCTCCAGGGCAGGGACAGACCGTCCCCCCGACAGGAGCCGGAGGACCAGCCAGGCCCCGGACCAACGCAGGTCCTCAGCATTAGCGCCTTCGATGCTGGACGTCACGTTCCTCAATAGGCCATTATGTCTGTCATCACAATGACTAAACCCAACTGAAGAGAAACCCTCTCCATCCACTTGAAGAGTCTCATCTTATTCTCAACCTCTAATTACGTAAAACTCCAAACACACAGAGAAGTTGAGAACGTAACACAACAAAGCACGGTGGCCACGGCCCCCCTTCCCTTAACCCACCGACATCTGCCTGCCTGCCCGCTTAGGACCAAGACCGACGTCACTGTCATTCCTCAGCAGCCTTGCCACGAAGAGGCGCAAATGGAAACCGTTCTCCCGCCTCAACTCCGAGTGGCCCCGGGTCGCGACCACAGACGTGCGGCCAGGCCCCACTGCAGCCCCATACATACGGGTTTCCCATGAGGACTTCGGGTGCGCAGTACTCGATCGTCCCACAGAACGTATGAAACAGCCTGCCCTTCTCCAAGTAGGCGGCGGAGCCGAAGTCGATCAGCTTGATGGTGAAGTCCTCCGCGATCACGATGTTCTCGTCCTTGATGTCCCGGTGAATGATGCTCTTCGAGCGCAAGTATCCCACCGCCACTACCAGCTGCAATCAGGGGCACAGGGGCTTTTGAAGAAGCAATTCCAGTAAAACACGCACCTAAACTAGGGACTAAGTCGAAAACAAGACACAACAACAAAGAAAAACACCTCTTGTCTAATTGCTAATGAACTAGTGGTAGGAAAGAACCCTGGACGTGCAGACCCAATCCAGCTCAGTGGGGGAGGTGCAGGTCCGGGCGGGTGCTCGGCGTGGCTGGCCTGCTTCACCCACCGGCAGCAGCACCAGCCAGTACGGGATCCCTCTTTAAAATGTCATTATTCTCGGGCGCCTGGGTGGCTCAGTCGGTGAGGCGTCTGCCTTCGGCTCAGGTCACGGTCCCAGGGTCCCAGGGTCCCAGGGTCCCGGGGTCGAGCCCCGCGTTGGGCTCCCTGTCAGCGGGGAGCCTGCTTCTCCCTCTCCCTCTGCCACTCCCCCTGCTCATGCTCTCTGTCTCTCTCTCTCTTATTCTCTCAAATAAACAAATAAAATCTTTAAAAAAAAGTCCTAATTCTCATTATCAGCAATACAGACACTCAACACATTGTTAAGTATACAACACACTATCGTTAGCTGTGAAACAGGACTTCGTCTGCTATAACTGATGCTCCGTGCCCTCTAACGCCCCCCTTGTCCCCCAGCACAAATACATGATTCTCAGGTTCTCTTCGTGCGCTACAGACAAGGGTCACTCACCCACAACACACAACGTGACAATCTCAGAAGGAAGGGCAGACCGACCACAAGCAGAAGCTACAGAGACACGTGGTTTGGGCGTGAAATGGCAGGCGGCCCTAGAGAAGACTGAGTGTCTTCGGTTCACATGGAAGGAAAAGTGCCTTGCCCGGAGTTCACGCCGCGGTTAGGGGCAGGACTGAGAGCAGAGCCAAATCTCCAAACCCCCACCTCGGGGCTCTAGCGGCTTCTCAGAGGGCAGCCCCGGGCGTCGGCCACGCCGGCCCCCACGTGTGCAGGATTCTCATCCATGTGCAGTAAAGTAATTCCCCTGGGGATGGGCTTTGTTCCAGCAAATCAAGTGCACCAGTCTCCACTCTGGAAGGAAACAGTGGCTATTGTGACCTGCTGTCGGGAGGAGCCTACACCACACATCCGATGACAGACGTGAACCAAAGGAAGCTTTCAGTTAAGTTTAAATAAGGTGAGTAAAGTTTCTGACTGCACTCACAATTTGGACACCAATTATACCAACCAACTTAGCGTCTTCATGGACATAGTCATTTTGATTAGAGACAATTTTATATTTACAGATGAATACCCTCAAATCAGAGACTATAGTTAATGGCGGGTTAACTGTGCCCAATTAACCTACAACTTGTAACTACGTATTTATATGCGCATATATGCAAACGTACGCATATCTGCATTCCGATCTATACACATTTACACACAGCGTGCATGCGCAGAGATACATCCGTGTGTACATACACATGCACACACGCACACATGTTCCCAGCTGGGAACAGAAGCCGTGTGTTCATTGGAATGGGGAAGGTTTCATGGAGGCTTATTAATTCGCAGCAAGGGATTCACCACAAAGGTCTGAAGAGAACCTGAGCCCGGGCAGGGAAGCCACTCCTCCCGCAGGCGGCGCCCTGGCTGCACAGGAGGGCTGGTCTGTTAGCGGCCTGAGGCACTCGGAGCTGAGCAGGCAGCAGTTTGCTGGTAAATGGTCCTGTATTACAGACACTGGCGTAGGATGATGTTTTTCTATAAAATTGCGAGTCCCTATTTACATATGATAGCACTTACGTATACAAATTTACAGAAGGGCTACAGATACTTCTTGCAAAATTATGAAGTATGGGACACTATAATTACCAAATCAATGGCCCCAGAATTAACAACTGAGAAACAGCAGCTTTTAACAAGTGGCTCTTGTTATATACAGTCTGCTTGCCATGAAGATTTCAGAAACAAATTTTTGCCATGCATTACAGTAGATGGGTCTATAATCTTGCAACACAGAAAGAGGGAGGGGACAGTCTTTGAGCAGAACCATGATGCCCAAAACTTACAGGGAGGTGCCTGAGAAACCTAATATCAGAAATCCAGTAGCTTCTGGGAATTTATAGCTCTGAGTAAGAAATGTCAACTTATGAAAACTGGCATTAGACATGGAGTCCTCATCAGGAAACAATCAGTGAGCAAATCTGAGAACAGTTCTATCCTCTTCCCAGGTATTTCTCCATTGTTTCCAGGGAGCTAGGAATAGTCTAGGATGAAACCATCACCTTCTCCTAAAAACTCAAAACAGCAACGACTTGGTCCCCTCCACCCCCTACCCAACCTCTCTAGAGTCTCCCAGGACGCCTATTTTGCTCATCACTCTGCCATTCCAGCAAAATAATAAATGGACAAGATCAACACATAAACAGACAGTAAAGAGACCAAAATACATAGTGTAAAACGAGATTGCTAGAATCTCAACCTTTACTTTACTCAATTAACTGGACAGCTACCATCTACTGAGCCCTTCCTGTGCGCAGGACCACGCCACACATAGTGAGCGCCTCAGAGGCTCTCTCTGACTTAACAGCCTTCCCTCGTCAGCCCTATAATGATCCCTGCCCACAGATGAGCAATGGTTCCCTGCAGAAAGACGGCTCAGATCAGATGCACAGCCCTCAAAGCCTAACCTGAGAGCTTTGTTGGCTAAGTTTTGCAACTGGTGTGGATACTGTATGAACATAAAAAAACTTGAATCATTAAACGTACTTCCCTCATCAGTCCAGGATAGCATCTGGCCTCCCACGTATATCTTAATATATACCTTACTCCATAAAATCCAAACTCTGAAGGCTAGACCCTCGCTCACGGAGAGAAGCATGTGTGAACCATGCATCCCTGCAGCCTCGGGACCCCTTGCCCAAGCCCAGGATCTCCCCAGCATGGCTCTGTCCTGCTCACTTGTCGGAAGATGTAACTTGCCAGGGGCTCGTCAAGGCTGGGATGGCGGTCAATGAATGCAAAGAGGTCCAGGCCGGAGCCGTGCTTCTCCATCACAAGCTGAAAGAACCCTTGGTTTTCAAATACGTCCAACACCTGGAAAAAGACAAAGTCAGGTCTGGGCCTGCTGAGATGCCCTCAGCACAACATATTTAACAACTTCTCACGTGAGTGACGTCGGGGCACCACTAAATGAGAGACGGCACTCCACCTTGATGATATTGGCGTGGTCCACCCTGGACAGAATTGCAATCTCTAAAGTAACTCTTCCAAGTTTGGGATCCTCGATCCAACAATCTTCCAAAACCTTCTCCTTCTTAATAAACTTCACCACCACCTAAGAAGAAGACAGAGGGGAGAAGTAACCGCCAGCGTGCCTCCAGCATCCGTTCGAACGTGGCGCCCGCTGCTCGCTGAGTGCAGACGCAACCCCCACGTGTGCCTCCCCTGACTCCCAGGGATGGGAGAGAAGCAGCCCAGGAGCGCCCCCGCCCCCCACACAGCACGAGGGGCAGAGAGGAGCCGCAGCAGCTGCCTGCAAGGCCGAGGGGACCAAAGGCATGGTGGAGGGGCTGCGACCCGGGCCCGAGCCCTTGGAGCACCCCCATGTCACAACCGAGGACTGGTGCCCTGACAGAGGAAATGAAAGAGGCAGCCCGAGAACCGGAAAACGCAGATCAAGGCCGTCACCCACATCAGCTGGGAGCTAAGGGGAGCCCGGCAAGACCAACGGACACAGGCAAACACAGAGAAACACATCACTGCCCAGGACGACGGGGGGTGTCATAGGGCGGAGACGCCGTGCGTCGGGGACACGAGCAATCGTGAGCCACTCAGCAGAGCACGTGCTGTCAGGGAGGGCCGGGCACGTGGCCGAGGGGCACACGGTGAGCAGGGACTGCAGGCCACGCCCTCCCCACGCTTCAGCTGGAGACCCCACAAGATGACCCACAAGCCCCGCTGATGAGCTCATTGTCCGCGGGCGGGGGGAGGGCGGCCAACACACGGCGTCCACTGTGGATCAGGTGAGCAGGGAAGAGGGGCCCGCCCGAGGGGCAGCAGGGCAGCGGGAGGGGAGCGCGCACAGGTGGGCAGCACGGGGGTGCAGGCAGTCGGCCAGCACCGAGGCAGGAGGGGCAGGGAGGAGCGCCTGCAGCGCCCAGTCAGGCTCACAGTGACCACGAGAAAAGGGTGATGGCTTAGCCCCAGCCATCAATGCTGACCAGTGGTCAACTCCTGAAGATCGTGCAAAGAGAGGGCCCCATGAGTCCACAGGCCAGAGGAGACACGTGACAGAAGGCAAGAGGAGGAGGGCAGCAAGGCTGACCCCCGAGGTGGGGAGATGCAGAGGCTGCGGCTGGAGGCGGAAGTGCGCACCGCCGGTCCCTCTGCCGGGTTCAAGGAGGCGAGAAGCCTGCCACGAGCTCCAACACACACCTACAGGCGGCTTCGGGGGAAAGTACAGAGCGAGAAAGGAGAAGGATGAGCAGAACAGAAGGTAAAGAAAGCTTTAAACATTCAGATCAAAGTCTTACCAAGCGTCAAGCAAGAATAAAGAACACACACACAGAAATATATCCTGGGGAAATTTCTGAAGTCCAAAGACTAAAAGAAATTCAGAAAGAAAAAACATCAGATTGCTTTTCAAAAGCATGCTGGAGGGCACAGAGCTGGGGCTCACACGCTCGGAGAGAACCGCGTGGATTGCCACTAACATGGGGGAGAAACAAACCAGTCAGAATACGTGTGAGGACCTGTGACGCCCACACGTCCATCAGTAACCAATATTCCAGCAATTGAAAATTAGACACAAGAAAGGGAAGAAACCGGATGTGGAAATAATGCAGATTTCAGAAACTCACCAAAAACCACAGAACACGCTGAGAGAAACATAAAGATCTAAACGCTTGGAAAGACACCCAGGTCGTGGGTCACGTGAAGATGGCGGTGCCACCAAGTGCCCTGCAGACTGAGACTCCAGAACCGCGCTCAGTCCCCCAACGGTGGCCTCTCCCTCGCGGGGCCGTATTCTGACAGGCTGCTTTCCGGGATCATTTGTGGGCCTGGTAAGACTGAAGCTGGCATCTCTGTGCTCTGAGACACAAAAAGACTCCTGTGTGTCTTTCCAAACCAAGAGAAGAGTTCCCAGGCTTCCTTCTTCTTCCTTTAGGTCTGGCGATCTACAGAAACCCCGTAGTCTATCGGGTTCCTGACTCAACCAAGAATGAGACCCGCCTCACGGAGATTAGAGACAGCAACAGAACCTTGAGAATTAAACCCCCTATGAACACATGACAGCACCAGAGTTAGAAGCCATGGCCTCCGGAAGGCGGCCAAGGTGGGCTCAGGAGACGCGCCCGGGAAGCGCCCCGTTACTCGGTAATGGCCCAACACGCGGCAAATATAGCCAAATTAACTCGCAGAAAGTACAAGAAGTCAAAACAAATATTTGACAAATAAAGCAGACAAATCTTTGACAAGTGTAGCAACAACTAGAGAGGGTGGGCACAAGAATTAGGGCAGCCAAGGGAACAGGATCAGCTGCGGACATATGGTCAAAAGCACTGATGGGCAAAAACGCTGCCACCTCTGCAGGCCTCTTGTAACTTTGACATAAAAAAAAAAAAAGAAAGAAAGAAAACTGATGCATGAATATAAATGAAAAAAATCCCAAGTAAAAATATTAGCAAACCGAATTCAGCAGTGCATTACAAGAATATTAAAACATAACCGAGGATTGGTTCTACAGATATGAGTTGATTGCTGTTAGGAAACCAGAGTATGATCATCTCAACAGATGCTGAAAAGACATCTGAAAGAACTCAACACTCATTTTTCAAGATAAATTTCAGTGAGCTGAAAATAAGAGGAAATATCCCCAGAAGAAGGTCTCCATCAAGAACAGAACGGGGAGGGGCACCTGGGTGGCTCAGTCAGTTGAGCATCTGCCTTCAGCTCAGATCATGATCCCGAGGTCCTGGGATTGAGTCCTGCATTGGGCTCCCTGCTCAGCAGGGAGCCTGCTTCTCCCTCTGCCACTCCCCCTGCTCGGGCAGGTGCGCGCACTCTCTCTCTCTCAAATAAATAAATAAAATCTTCAGATGTGACCAGGCAGGAGAGCCGGCTGCACGCCTGCTCCTGAACACAGCCCTGCGGGTCCCAGAGGCCGGCGGGCTACAGACCATAGAGAAGGAGAGACAGAGCTGGCGTCCCCGCAGGAGAATGGCCATGCACCTAGAACATCGAAGGACCCACTGAAAACATGTTAGAGCCTGGAAGACCAGCACAGGTATGTGATGTGTTAAAGCCACACGCAGCTGGTAAAGGCCAGCAGTAAGTGATCAGACCCCACAGCGGTCGGAGGACCGCACATGTGCACGGCCCCCCAGAACTCAGCAGGCGGCACGGGAACACATGGGCAGTGTCAGGGTATTTGCGGTATTTGCTGGGACAAGCAGGACCGTCACCACGTTGATTCCCTCAAATCACAAAACGCTCAATTACAAATGCAATCCCAACAGGACTTGGGAGGAGGGCAGCGAGGTCTCAACCTGAAAATCAACCCCCGACATCAGCCTCTGGGTGAAAGGACATGGTGTGAAGCCCAGCGTGCGTCCGAAGTGGCGAGCAGGACGACTGGGTGTGAACGTGTGTGCTGCCAGGAGGGCCCTCCAGGGCCAGCCCCCGACCCGGGCCGGCCCGCGTGCTTGGCACTACACAGAGGACTCCTCCATCATGGCCCTCACAGAGTTTAGACCCAAAGGCACTGAGGCCAGGGCTGCATCGGAGCGGGGCCCCCACTACTGAACGCGGCCCGAGAGACACAGCACCTCCTTGTTGGCCTCCTTGTCCACCGCAGTCCAGACGAAGCCAAAGGCCCCACTGCCCAGGGGGCTCAGCGTGCTGTACTTGTGGGAGTACGCGCCCTCCCAGGCTGCCGGCACCTCCAGCTCCACAGCCCTGGGGGGCTCCTCGCACCAGGGCTTGCTTCTGAGCATCTGTGGATGAAACGGGAGGCCTGAGGGGCCACACGTGACCAAAGAAAGAAAGGGAACAGCAAGCAGACTCGTGTCATCGGCCCCTGTCCCCGTGCCCCAGGGGGGCTGGCCTGAGAAGTGCTCTCCTCGTCCACCCACTCTGGCACACACGCCGAGACCCCACCCTGCATGTGGGGCAAACTTAGGTTTCAAACCCCATGTATGGCTTCAGACTTACCCGCAATACCAGCAGGCAGGGTGGAAAAAGCCCCAGATGGCTGCTCCTCCCATCCCAGAGGAAGCAGAGAGAAAGAGAGAGAGAAATGCCAGGCAGGACCCCTCCCCACACCGCGAGGCAGGTACAAGGCAGAAGCTGAGCGCAGGCCCCACCTCCCCCATGCTGGGTCCGGAAAGCTCGCACACGGAGTGGCTGGAGCTGGGCAGGCTGGCCAGGAGCAGACGGGTGCGCGTGGCCGAGTCCCGGCCACTGTGCAGCAGGTCCTTCACGAGCCAGCAGCAGAACAGGGTCGCGGAGCCTTGCAGCTCCACCCGCTTCACCTCAAACTGCACACCTGGGTGGGGGAAGCGGGGTCAGCAGGATGGCATCACGACGAAGGAGGCACATTCCCCCAGAGCGCCTGCGCAGGGCGGGGCGGGGGCACCCACACTCGGACGGGGGAAAAGCCTGGAAACCCGCATTCAACCCCGCACCGAGTCTGCCTCCAGCCTCGACCACAGCCACCCACGTGGACGTACGTACGAGGCACAGTTTCACGCGAGTGCATGTGCATTTTTACACAGCCTCCAAGGTATATGCCAAAACAGACGGGGTTATCTTTTGGGGGCATTTACAGGTGATTTTGTGTTCTTTTTGTTGGCATTTTCTAGTCTTTCTACAGATAACATAGTACTTGCATAACTTTTTAAAGTTTAGGGGGAAAGCCTTAGTAATCAACACTCTGAAATCAGCAGTAAGGACACAACTGGCTAATGTGACACGGATCTGCTAAGTTAGGAAAATACAGGGACGCCCAGCGACTCCGTCGGTGAAGCGTCTGCCTTCGGCTCAGGTCACGATCCCGGGGTCCTGGGATCCAGTCCCGCACGGGGCTCCCTGCTCAGCGGGGAGTCAGCTTCTCCCCTGCCTGCCGCTCCCCCTGCTTGTGTTTGCTCTCTCCCTCTCTCCCCCTCTCTCTGGGTCAAATAGACTAAAAAAATATTAAAAAAAAAAGAAGTTAGGAAAATACCAAGTACAACAAAGATAATCAACTCCAAGGGCCAAGTGAAGGGGCCTGATCCTGAGCAAGCGCAGCCGACAGCGCAGCGGCCTGAAGCCCAGCACAGGAGGGGCCGCCCCAGGCAACCGCGGTGCACATAGTGGCTTCCAAGGAGGGACGCAGAGGCAGCCGGGACCTCAGGCTGCACCCTTCCCGGGCACAAGCACTTATAACCCTAATTTTCAAGAGATAAGCTATCACTACAGAACCCTAACGTTGCTACCAAAACTATTCAGCGGTTGCAGCCGCATCAGACCCCAGGACGAGGAAGGCCCGGCCCCCGCCACGCCGTGCTCCCATGGGGGCTCCAGGGCACAGCCCCCCCCCACATACTCAGCTGGGCTCCATCACGGTGGTAGCAGCTGCCGGTGTAGGTCCCCTCCTGGATCTCCTGCTGCACGCAGGTGCCCCCAGAAGTTGCCGGGCTGTCCCCTCTCACAGGTGTGGAGGTGACCTGGAAACTCAGCCTGGGCTCCTCTGACGGGCGCACATCTGCAGGGCCAGCCCCCGGCGTGGGAAGGACACAGGCTGGGCTCTCTCTGCCACTCACTTCATAGTATTCTGAGGACACCAGACACGTCTTGGAGGGCTCTACTTGATCGGGCCCCAGACGGCTCTCGCGAAACTGCCGAGCCTCCCCAAGATCGAAGTAAGTGCCAGTCAGGAGCAACAGTTCTCGGTCCTCCAGAACATCTGATCTCCGCCGGTGCAGACCACTCATGTCTACATCAGAGCCTGCCGGCGAAGGAGACGGCGTCCCCACAAGCTCAGACGCGGTGCAGGAACAGTTGGAGGAAGTTCGATCTGTCCATTCACTGTAAAAGAGCTCCTTGAGGTTCCAGGAAAATGAATTCCCATCAGCCTCCTGGGCCTGCACTGCATCCAGCACACCAGGGAGGTCTGTGGCCAGAGCATAGTAGGCCGAGGAGCTGCCTACTCGGCTGCACAGGCCCCTGCTTCCTGGGTCGCACAAGGACACAGGGGCAGAGAACTGGGGGTGCTCTGCTGGGGCCAGCTTGGTGTAAGAGACACCCAGTGGTTCCACGAGGCTCAATTTGGACAGCTGCTCCTTAATTAAGCAAGTTTGTAGCTCCTCACGGTCATTCTCCACGGCCACCCACGGCTCATCCAGCGCAGGCATCGAGAACGGGAGTCGCGCTGTCCTGGGGGGGCTTCCTGACTGCGTGCTCTGCTCACCCCCATATCCAGGACAGGGTATCAGGAGACCCTCCCCTGCCAGCTGGCCTGTGGCATGGGGCTCGGGCATGATGGTATCAGCCCGATGGTTCGAATTGCGGGCACTGCTCGAGCTCATCCACTCCAACTGTGCCTCAGGCAGGCTACACATTTCAGCGTGCCTGCTCCTGTCCTCAGATCCTTCACGGGAAGCAGACATCCATGTGTCCACTGGGTGAGACCCGCTTCTTCCCACAAGGTCCTGTCTGAGGCTTTCTGGGGCTGCAGGTTCCTCTTTCTCCAAGAGAGTATTTGGCTGGTCCTCGGCTGATGACTGCTGGCTATGGGCTGGTGCGCTTCCTTCCGGGATGTCTCCCTGGTCCTCGGGTGACGGCCATTCCTGGGCTGGCGGGCTTCCTTCCGGGATGTCTCCCTGGTCCTCGGGTGACGGCCATTCCTGGGCTGGCGGGCTTCCTTCCGGGATGTCTCCCTGGTCCTCGGGTGACGGCCATTCCTGGGCTGGCGGGCTTCCTTCCGGGATGTCTCCCTGGTCCTCGGGTGACGGCCATTCCTGGGCTGGCGGGCTTCCTTCCGGGATGTCTCCCTGGTCCTCGGGTGACGGCCATTCCTGGGCTGGCGGGCTTCCTTCCGGGATGTCTCCCTGGTCCTCGGGTGACGGCCATTCCTGGGCTGGCGGGCTTCCTTCCGGGATGTCTCCCTGGTCCTCGGGTGACGACCATTCCTGGGCTGGCGGGTTTCCTTCTGGGATGCTGTCCACTCTGAGGATTATAACATGGATGATGTAGTTACTTAGGGGCCATAGAAGAATCAAAAGGAGAGATCACATGGGTCCCCCTCTATTAAAGACAAAGCACTCAACACCATGAACTATGACCAACTCACAAATAAATCGTCATTTAGCAATGATTTAGCACTGAGCACCCAGGACCATGTCCTCAGGGCTTTGGTCAGCATTTTCATTTCGCAGTGAGTGGGGCTCCCTGACAGCCGTGCAGCCGGCCTCGGCCCACCCACAAGGTGCCTGGGAGGGGGGAGAAAGGAAAGAGATTGTGCGTTCTGTGCACCGCGCAATGGTGACGTGTGACTGGCTACAAATACCATCAGAGGTCACAGCTGACAGGGAACCGAGCCTGGCACAAGAAGGAGGGGCCGCAAGAGCAAGGCCTCATGGGGGGCGGGGGCTAACTGGTTCCTAAGAGCTGGGACGCAAGCCCACAAGCATGCTCAGCGTGGAGGCCACGGAGGGAGAGGCCACCTCAGAGCCGAAGGGCAATCACAGAGCCCAGGGCGCTAGGTGGAGACCCCTCCTCTGCAGCGGGCCCGGCCATGGTGGCCCCACATGACAGATGCAGCTGAGCTCCTGCCTGGGGTCAGCCCCAGGCCTAATGCCAGCACCGAGACCAACAGAATGTGGCCGTGCCCAGCCTCGCTGGGGGCAGAGGTGCTGATGACCAGAGGTTTGTAAAGAGGCACAAGGGAGAAGGACCCCACACACGGTCAGGTTCCACAGAGGAGGGAGCTGTGAGCCAGGCCCTGAGGGGCAGCAGCAGTTTTCTGGAGAAACTGAGGGGTGGGACAAGGGGCGTATAGAGGTCAGGCAAAAATCATCTATGTCTCTCGCTACATCTCTCTATCCATTCACCCCACGCCACCCCAGCAAATGACCAGCCCTGTGCCAGCCCCTAGGAAACAGCACGTTCTCTGCAAGGTCAGAAGATGAATGAGGAAGAAAGGTCTCACTCCCCTTTCTAAGCAGTACAGCCAACCCCTCCGAGGTGGGCACCTGGGGTCAGGCCCCAGGGCGGTGAGGGTAACCCTTCCGAGGTGGGCATGCAGGGTCGGGCCCCAGGGCAGTGCGGTAACCCCTCTGAGGTGGGCATGCGGGGTCGGGCCCCAGGGCAGTGCGGTAACCCCTCCAAGGTGGGCGTGCGGGGTCGGGCCAAGGACAGTGCGGTAACCCCTCTGAGGTGGGCGTGCGGGGTCGGGCCCCAGGGCAGTGCAAGCAACCCCTGAGATGGGTGTGTGGGGTCAGGCCAAGGGCAACTCTGCCCCCGCATCCCATCCCCACACCTCTCCAGCAGCCAGGTATTGCAGTGTCACTAAATTCTGGCCACGGTGAAGAGAAGAAGCGGTAAGTAGGCTTCTGGGAGAGACTTTAAGCACAGGGAAGGCTCCTCTCCTCCCCCCTCCTCCCCTCTACTCCACTGTCCAAGCACAGGTGCCCTGGGGACCTGAGACCCCCACCAACTTATCTCAGGGGCGCTTCACTCAAGGTCACAACGCCTGACCTACAGCCTAACAATCCACTTGGCTTCATTACCAACTGGCTACAACCAATAAGGCGGAGCTCCCAGGGCTCCTGGGAGAACTGGGGAATCAGGAGCCAGCACGACCCCAGTCCCCAGACACAAGACACTCCCTACATCATGATTCTGACCTGCCTTCCCACCTCCCAGTCTCTCTAGGTTTACTGAGTCAGCTCATTTTCTGTTAAAGAATATGTCTTAGTGAGTGAGCAAGGGAATGAGTGAATGAATGAGAGAATGAATGAGTTAGTAGGTAAATGAGCAAGTGATGAGTGAGTGAATGACGGAGTGAGTGAGGAAGTGAGCACATGAATGAATGAATGAGGGTGGGAGTGAGTAAAAGAATAGGTGAATGAATGAGCATATGAGTGAGTGAGTCAGCACGTGAGTGAACATGTGAGTGTGACTGAATGAGGAAGTGAATGAGCGTGTGCATGAGTGAAGGAATGAAGGAGCGAATGAAGGAGCAAATGAAGGAAGGAGTGAATGAGAGAAGGAGGGAGTGAATGAATGAATAAGTAAATGAGAGTGAATGAAAGGGAGTGAATGAGCACTGTGTGAGTGAATAAGTAAATGAATGAGTGAGTGAATGAAGGAGTAAATGAATGAGGGAGTGAATGAAGGAGTAAATGAATGAGGGAGTGAATGAAGGAGTAAATGAATGAGGGAGTGAATGAGTGAGTGAATGAGCACTGCATGAGTGAATGAGTGAGGGAGGGAGGGAACGAAGGAGGGAGTGAATGGAGTAAGTAAAGGAATGAGGGAGTGAATGAGTGAATGAATACGGGAGTGAATGAGTGTGTGCATGAATGAGTGAGGGAGTGAAAGAGTGAGGGAGGGAAGGAGGGAAGGAGTGAGGGAGGGAGGGAGTGAGGGAAGGAGGGAGGGAGGGGAGGATGGAGGGAGGGAAGGAGTGAGGGAGGGAAGGAGTGAGGGAGGGAGGGAGGGAAGGAGGGAGGGAAGGAAGGAGGGAAGGAGTGAGGGAGGGAGGGAGGGAAGGAGGGAGTGAGGGAAGGAGGGAGGGAAGGAGGGAAGGAGTGAGGGAGGGAGTGAGTGAATGAATGAGCGACTGCAGGGACCATTGCCTCTGACGGGGGCTTGGGGCTGGCGCTAGAACTTGAGCTCACCACCACCCGACGGGAAGGCAGGAATGGGCTCATCTGGTTCCCCATCCTGGCAGCAGTGAGGACCCTTGGGGCGGGGCGCGCGGGGGGTCGGACCCAGGGGCACGCAGCACAGAGAGGCAGAGAGCTCACCCCCGGCAAGGAGCAGAAAGCCAGGGAGTCTGCGCAAATGGCAGGAAAGCACCATGATGCGGGTCAGCGGGCAAACACCCACGTAACCCCGTGAGCCACACGCGAGTCAGGAGTTAAGGCTCGCACGTTCAGGTGCACCGTGCACCGTGCGATCCCATGTGCGCTGCAGGAGCAAAAGCAGCTGCACACGCGTGCACGGACATGGGCGGGTAGGGCCTTCGATCGGGGCGGGGCGGGGGCGGGGCGCCAAGGCTTTGTGGGGGGCGTCTCCTCTGGGGAACCAGGCACGGGGACTTGCACTTTTCACTGTTACTCTGCTGTCCTTAAAAAAAACCACATATCCAGCTATTGTAGATTTTTAAAATAATTTCAAGAAAACTGAAAAACACACCAATGTGGATAAATCTCACCAACAAAACAATGAGCAAAAGGAACCAGAAATAAGGGATGGCCTAGGTCAAGTTCAAGGACAGATACCTGTGACCTCCGTCCTACCCCAGGGCAGTGAGGGCGCGAGCGAAAAGGCCCATGGCAGGTTAGTGTGTGCTGGGCATCAGAGATTTTTAAAAGAGAAAACTAGTCGAAAAACCACCAAAATGCTGCACACCATGGGCTAGGATCAGCTAACCAGGGATGAGCAACGAGCTTCTATTTCTGCTCATCTACGCTTTCCACGTTTTCTAACGCGAACCTGCTCTACTCGCAACAGAATACTTTGTGATTCAAAAACGCACAAAGAGAACAGATACAAATGATTTTTGCAATGAGAACACGAGGCTTCCAACGGTTCCCTGGAACCGACCCACCTTCCCTCATCCACGGACCAGGAAGGTCTCCTGGCGACTGCTGCGCACCACGCCAGGGAACGCGGGAGAAGTGGCACCCAGCGGGCGTTCAGGGGCTGTGAGCTGTGCGCACCACCACCATGGGCTCCTTCACGGCCCCCCGCCGGCCTTCACCTCAACACCCCGCGCCTCCCACAGAGGACTTACCCGGGAGAGGGCGGACGCGGGAGGGAGGAAGGGAGGCCACCTCCAGGGTCTGCTTGGGCCTGGGTCCCAGCGAAGGCTTCTTGGCTTCCCACTGGCTCCAGGCTCTCCCCTCGTGGCAGAACGTGGTCTCCAGCAAGCGTGCCGTTAGCCCTTGGATCTAGCGGCAACAGCAGAAGGGACTGTGCCCATCCGTAACACACCTGCTGAACGAGTCTCCTCCCCTACCCGCGACTCGTGAGCAGTGGGGGGCCCCGACCTGACCTTAGAAACTCCGGCAAGCCCATGTCTACGGCGTGTCGCAGACCAACGGCCTCTCGCCACCCTGCAGTGCGCCACGCCCCTGCTGCCCTGCCTGGGCCCTGCCTTCGGCCGGCAGGGTCCCACCAACGCCGGAGCTGTCCCCTCGTCTGCCGTGAGCTCCAGGTAAACACCAATGTCCCTACCGTGACTCCCACGGGCCTGGCCCTCTGGTCTCCCTGCCACACCTGGACCTCCTCCCTGTCCCCAGAATGCCTCTCCTGCCTCCTCTGGTCTTCACTAAAAGCCACCTTCCCAAGGGGCCCTCCCAGGCCCCTGGACCCTGAGACGGCACACCCTCCCCCCGCTCTGCTCTTCCTCCTGAACGCTGGTCACCTTCCAGCCTGTCCCTGTGTGTCCCAGGGTCCTGGAATCAAGCCCCGCAGCGGGCTCCCTACTCAGCGGGCAGTCTGCTTGTCTCTCTGCCCCTCCCCCTGCTCATGCTCTCACTCTCTGTCTCAAATAAATAAAATCTTTGGGAAAAAAATTAATTTAATTTAATAAAACAGAATGTTGCAATCTAACCTCTGATGCCTCAAAAGCGACTCGTGGAGCATGGCCACCCTCCCCAGCCTCGGGTATGGGGCCCCGTGCTGAAGAAATCTTCCACAGAGCCCAGAAAACTGAGCACCGTCCAGCGACAGATCAGACACCGCATGCATGGCCCCCTTTCCCCCTCAGGGACTGTATTACACCCACGTGTGTGTTCATTCAAACAGCAGGTCCATCCTGCGGTGACAGCACGTAGGCAATGTGTTCCGGGGCGCCCTGAGCCTGCCCCGTGCAGCAGCCTCCAACAGGGCCATGGGAGAGCCCCCTGGACACGCGATCGCCTGATGCTCCCCAGCAGCCCCGTTTCATTTCCTACGTCCCCTCCCAGGGGGACGGCACCCCGTCAGCCTGGCTGGGTGTGCAGCAAGGGCGCGGCCCAGGGAGAGGGCGCTGGGAGAGAGGGGCCCTGCAAGCTGGGAGTGCTCCTGAGGCAGAACCGGGGAGCAGCTCCTCCTGGCTCCTTGTCCATGGGAAGGTGAGCACCAAGGGGGCTGCCAGGAGGCCCCAGTGCCTTCCCAGGAGCATAGGCACTGGCTCTGAGGTCCTATGCTCCCAGGTGCCCCAAAGCCACAGTGGCACCCTTCAGGGCAGGGGCCGTGCGCCCACACGCTCCCCTACGATGTTCATGTCGTGGGGACTTAAAGCACCATCAAATGCTAAATTAAAAGTATAGGGGCTAATCCTAACAAGCACGTATGGCAGGACTACTAAACCTAGGGGTACTCTGACAGGCTACGTACGGCTCCACAGATCTACTTGTCAAAGACTGCCCATAAGCTACCTCCGTCCTACATCCAGGCACATGGTGATGAGAAATCCCCCGGGATCCTCTCTATGCTCGCATATGTGTCCCATCCCCTGGGAATACGGAAGGCCTACGAGCGACAGAGGACATCCAACCCACGATAGCCCAGCGGCCACTCGCTTCCACTCTCCACCCCGCCCAGTACGCCCGTGCCCCGAACGCCTCCCCAGCTCCCTCGGAGGCGTAGAGCTGTGTGCACCTGTAAGAGGGAGGCTGGGCTTACCCGTGGCCTGGCTGGCCGGGTTCCAGCTCTGCCGGGGGCCCACCCTTGTCTCCCCAGGCTCACTCTGGTTGCCAGTGTCCAAGCAGTCGGCCAGGTCTGGCAGAGGTAAAGAAGTGTCACATGCAAGGCCCATGTACTGGTAGAAGCCGGGAATCAGGAAAGTGATATTCTAGAAAACAAAGTAACGTTTCAGAACCTGGACCACAGGCCCGTCCCCCCATCTAACCTGGGGAGAGAATGAAAACCACGTGAGCAAGTCTCTGGACAAGGTTAGGAAAGACGCCAGGTTGTATTCCTTTTCACAGACCCACAAAGCCCCTCTGACACCCAACAGGGAATTCATGATTTTTCCCCCTTTTTCTTATGAAAAAGACAAAATCAACAACTCTGAAGCTAGTTATACCAACACCTCCGTGTCTCCCAAGCTGATGTCTGGCCTTTGCCCATGTCGCCCTGACGCCTGGAAGCCACGCCTTCAAACTCCACCTTATGTGGCACGCAGAGAGTGACGGGGGCCCAGCATAGGGACAAAGGGGCCTTGGGCACAGGAAACTGGCCCCTGGGTTCCAGCAGGCATCTTTGCTGTGCTGGCCGTGGCCTCAGCACAAGGGTCCCAGGCCAAAAGCTGCAAGGACACTCGCTTTCTCTGAACCCATGTGCCACCCCTGCTCCCAGAGGGGTGCCCGCAGCCGTGTGAATCCAGAACACAGTCTAACCTCAGAGGCAGGGTACTTCCACCCCCCACACACTCCCTAAAAGGACCCAACCCCTCAACATTCCTGCGGCAATCACTTGTCTGAAAATCACACTAAGCGTGTTTTCATTAACTTCAATCAAACTGAGTTTGCCTTCAGTTAACTAAATTTTAGCTTACTTGTTCCTTAGTATTTCTATTAGGAAACAGACAGGGACCCGTTTTTGGAGGCTCAAAAGATGGCTGACTGTCACTGGGTCTGGGGTCGGCCCCACTGAGAACGACAAGAGGGGACTCCCTCCCTCCGTTTGCAGAACCCCTGGAGAACAGGTGTTCAGGGAAAGGCTGCAGGCCCCTAAGAGCCAGACCGGCCAGGCCACAGACACGGGGACCGCTGGACGTCAAAACCCCACTCAGCAGTGACCCTCCTGCCACTGAGTAGGGGGCCCACGTCCCCTTCCCAGGACCCCGGGACCATCTGAGGAGGACATGCCACGGCTGCCTGAGACGCTCACCTGCCCTTGGAGCTCAGCCCTCAAGTGACACCAGCCCGGCCACAGGCCCAGCCAGCCAGACATACGAGCAGACACGTCTTAGGAGGACGCCAGCCCCAGCTGACTCTACATGGAGCGCAGTGACTCGTCCTGCTAAGCGCAGCCTGGAGGGCCAATTTGTGACCTAAATTCCAGATTGTCATGTCTGGGGCCCCAAGCTTATGGTGGTTTGCAGCAACAGATACAGACTGCTCGGCCCAGCCGCAGATGAAAATGGGGCAGCGGACATCCCTGACAGGCCTGGCTCCCGCTGTGCAGAGACCTCCACCCCACGCTTGAGAAATTCAGAGAAAGCTCAAGCCAAGGAAGAAGTTTATAGACACACCTTCCTCTGACCCTGACCCCATGAGAGGCCCCCCAGGATGGCCCCCAGGGCAGAGGAGGTGTGGACAACCCTGACCTCCGGGCGCCCAGCTGTGACATACACCCTCGTCCGGTAACAGACCAGACCTCGCTCAGGACAGGTTTCGAGGCAACAGCCCCTCCCTCTCCAGGGACAGCATATGGAGACAAGGCTCTGGAGACAAGGCTCTGGAGACGGTCCCGGGGGTCACTGAGTGCCCAGCGTGGGGTCCAGAGAAATGAGAGCCGCTAGGGAGAATGGTGCCCAGCATGCCCCGGGAAAGCCAGTGGGCCAGACTAGTAGACATGGAGGTACAAGGCCTGTGACAAGCACACGTCCTCACTGAAAGCGGACCGGGCCCCTGCAGGGGAGGGCAGGCTGGCCACCCAGGGAGGGCCCACCTTGCCCAGGAGCTCCGTCTTCCCGTAACCGAACAGCATCAGTGCAAAGCTGTGGTTGATGCCGTAGATGGTCCCGTCGGGCAGGAGGGTGATGAGGCCGCTGATGGTGGAGAACACCCAGATGGATGCCGAGTAACCCAGCTCGGGGACTGCACTGCTGTCTTCCACCACCTCGCTACTGGACTCAGATTTCAGTTTTAAGCTCAGGGGGAAGGTGGTACCATCCTTGGCTCTCCCAACAGACCTCTGAATCTTGAGATTCTGGAAGAAACACACACCACCGAGCTGACAGCAGCATCTCACGTGGCCCAAGCTTTGAGTCTTTACAGCTCTAGACTTGAACCCATCCACGCGTCATGGGGAGCAAGCCCAGAACACCTCACTCCCCACACTGCTCCTCCTTCCCCAATCTCCCTGCACCCCACCTCTACCCCAGGGAAAGCAGAGCCCTGACCAGGAGCTGAGTCTGGTGGCGAGGGCATCACAGTCTAGCAGCTGCCCCCCACTCCAGAAAGGCCTGAGGACAGCACACACCAGGGCAACCAAGAAACACACAAGGACTGGCCTCATGTCTGCGCTAACCCTGCAGGGAGGGAGGGCGGGCAGGTTTCTCCCCACCGTCTGCCTTGGGCCCCCAGTAGCCCCAGGGTCCCCCCCCGCCACGGATGGACCCTAACACTCACTCTGTCCTCCAGCCTGAGGGCCAGCCATTTCCAGCTGTTGCTGACCGTCCATCTGTGCCTCCTCAGCACCTCTATCACTCACAAAACCACATCCTTGCCCTGTTTCCCTGCCTTAAATACTTGGAATGTATCCAGTTTTGAGTAAATCTTGACCAAGTCCACATCCTAACCAAAGGCTTTGAGAGTGTGCTCCCTTTGGGTTTCCAGATGGCACACCAGCCCAGGGTTGTGTGTCTACCCCTCACCCAATCCCACCTGCCCTTTTTAGGGTCCACCCTGGGAGGCAGGAGATCTGAGGGAGCCCAAGTTGTGGGCATGGCCCGGAATGCAGGGGAGATTCCAATCCCCCAGCGCTGCGCCCTGAACAGGCTCGGACTTAGAGACACCAGGCTCCCCGTGCCAAGGCTGCAGGCCAGGCCCCAGGTCCCAGGGGGCCCTATAAGGAATGAGGGGTGCAGCGCCAGTCTCTGCTTGCTGCTGGGGTGTCGGGGGCCCCCGTTTGAGGCTATCACAAATGTGCTGCTGAGAACAAGCCCACACGTGCCCTCTGGCACACACTTCTCTCTGATGCGTGCCCAGGGGGGGTCTGAAGCGGCCCGTGGTTACGTGGAACAGATGCTGCCACAGGATCCAAGGTGGCTGAGCCAATGGATGCTCCCACCAGCTCGGGACAGAAAAAAGGACACAGAGACAATAAGGACTGGCGGTGGAGTGAGGGCTCCAACCAAGCTGGAAGCTTAAAAATAGCAGAGACCCAGCTCAGAGGGCTCAGCTCCGAGCCTCCGGCCGGCCAGACAACCCGGGAGCAGAGACCCAGCTCAGAGGGCTCAGCTCCGAGCCTCCGGCCGGCCAGACAACCCGGGAGCAGAGACCCAGCTCAGAGGGCTCAGCTCCGAGCCTCCGGCCGGCCAGACAACCCGGGAGTGCCTACAGACATCCCGAAAGCATCTCGGATTCCTTGCAGCAGCAGAAGGGACTTTAGGCAAAAATCAAGGGACACTGGGCTGTGACATCAGTGGAATTCACCACAATGAGGGTCATTTGTGTGAAGGCCGCACGCTAGTAGGAAATGGGGCACCTGGGAACTGGGAGGATTCAGTCGGTAACAGAACCTCTCTCCACCAACCCCAAACCTCCACTGTCCCCAGAGCTGCCGCCCCCCCATTTGCCTGCCATCCTGCCCTCAGCCAGTTCTCCCTGCTCCTCAAGACCCCCAGACCTCCCAGTAAAGAGCGACCCCAGCAGGCGATCCCCGCTCTAGGCTCCAGCGGGAGGACCGAGGAGACCGGTGGCCCGTTGGAGAGCCGCACAGGCTCTGACCCTCGCTCAAGGCTTTGGGACCCAGAGAGCAGGCAGCAGACCCGGTGCCACTGTGTGCACGTGGGACGCGCCTGCTGCCAGAATCACCAGCCTGTGTCCCCAGGCCATGGATTCCAGTCTAAGACTCTATGGTCCCCGAGTAAACAGACTCCAGGGGCCACATGGCCCCAGGTACAGCTGCAAGGTGTGGCCGTCAGGGGTCCGCAGGGTCCTACCTGTGGGACAGGTTCGCCGGGGGGAGGGAGCTGCACAGAAGGGATCAGGTCTGCGATGTGCTGCCCGAGCGCCTCCTCCCCAGACCCGTACCCGTGCAGGAGAGCAAACAGGCTGTCACAGGACGTTATGGTTCCCTTGGAGGAAAAACCAGCATCGTTAAGCATCACGGTAAAAACTTCTGGCACTTCGGCTTCAAACATCACGGAACGCCAAGCCTCCAGATTGAAAGCAAGACCGTTAGCAGCGCTCCTGCGGCAGGAGAGCACGAGGTGGGCATGAACATTCCTCAGGTCCTCGTTCTCCCGCCGCCGGAGGCACCCCAATTATCGACTTCTGGAAGCATTCTGCAGATGCCCGGCACGGCCAGCTCAGGCCCAGGGGGCGTCTGAGCCCTGCGTACCGGCCACCATGCCGACGGCTCAGCACACGCTACCTCACTAACGTGCTAAGACAATCCCAGGTCCCGGTTACACCCCTTCTACAGATGAGGAGACTGAGGCCCAGGGAGACTGCACCCCTTGCCGAAGGCACACAGAGAGGGAGGGGTGCCGCGGGGCCGACCCTCCACAGGCCCCAGGGACACACGGTGGGCCCCGGCGGCGGCTGAGGCCGGGGAAGGCGACACATGGTCAGCCCCACGTGGCTGGGACGCGGAAGGCACACTCACATCGCCCCGGAAAGCGACCCAGGCGGACACCCGCTCCACAGGTTCCAGCACGACCACGCGGCTGCGCTCCTGCCTCACCCTCTTCATCCACACGGAAACCGGGGTCTTCTCCCCGCTGCGGCTCACCACGTCTACCTGCGGGGACGCACAGCCTTGGCCCCGGCCCTCCCCAGCCCCGGTGCGGGGGCGCCTGCAACCTGTGCTCCCCTGCCCACATCCGAGCCTGACACCGAGCCTTAGTCTGAGAGGACGCTGTCTCAGAAGAGAGGGTTTTCTCGTCAGCTTCTGGGCAGCGGAGCGGGAGCAGAGCCGCCCGTGAGCTGCTTCAGGGAACACACGCCAATATGCGCTGAGCAGTCAGTGTTCTGCACAATCGTCAGCCGCGTGGACAGTCCCCAGGACAGAGCGGCGGACCGCATCTCACGTCCCTCGGGGACTGGGCTGAGGGCTCAGCATCTCACGTGCAGTTTAACCCGTCAACATCCCAGCTGATGCATCACACGGGGAGGCCCAACGCCCCGGGGAGACCTTTCCAGCCGTGCCAGCCCCGCCAGCGAACACCAAACAAACAGCACTGGAGAGTCAGGGGTGCAGACAGTAAGATCAGGGCACTCGCCGCGGCATCCTGCCGGTTTGCAAACCACCGCCCGAGCTTCCTCCCTCGCAGGCGGGGCCACCCCTCACGCCAGGCCTGCAGCCACCCCCTTCCACTCCTGGGACGCTCTGCCCGCCACCCCAGCTGCTCCCCACACCAGCACCGAGGGAGGACGGCGGCCATGGTGACCAGTGACCGGCCGTATCTGCGGCGGGCCCCCAGCAGCACACCCCGGGAAGGCGCACTCACCACTGTGCCGGACACGACAGCGGCATGGCCGTCGGCCTCCACGTGCTCTTCGCTGAGGGCCTTCACCACGTCGGAATCGGGCTTCAGGAAGAACTGCGTGAGCTTCTGGCCGATCAGGTCATGGCTGCTGTGCCCCAGGAGCTGGCAAGCCTTGTCGTTGGCAACCAGGATCTGAGGGTCGCAGAGAGGACCGGACACAAGCATCACCCACAGCGCCTCCAGCTCTAACCCGTGCCCCCCAGCGCCCTGCGGTTGGCGGGCTCACAGCCGCGACGCCCTGGGCACCTCCGGGTCTTAACCACGGGGAAACAAGAAGTGCCAGCACCACGACCGAAACCAGGTTTCCGTCACCCGCCAGGGTGGGCACGCCCCACCACCAGGAGCACGCGGAGGAGATGAGGACTCGCACCACTCCCCGCCCACCTAATGATTTCGGTTATTTGCCTGTAAATGCCCACGGTGCGCACACGGCCACCTCAGACCGTGGATCCCCGTTCTCATGGTCGTTGAGCCAACCCCTTAGTGAGCACAGGGGAGTCACGCGGGTCATCCCTGTCCTTGAGTCTGTACCCTGATGGGAGGATTCAGTTTGTTTTGATTCATATTCAGGTCTCTTTTGCTGCCACGGAGGCGGAACCAGGTGCTTCCCTAGCTGCACTCCACACACACAGGTTCCTCCGTCCGAGGCTACAGGCCGGAGGCACGGACCACACTCACGCGGGGTCACGAGCCAGAGTCAGTACCTCTGTGGTCGTGGCGTCCACAGTGAACACAGCCTTGTTCGGGTTGCACACAGGGGTCGGGAGCAGGGGCGTGGACCATCCTGAGGACAAGCCCTGCAGCAGGGAGCAACAGGACACGCTGCCCAGGGGCCGGGGCAGTTCCGGCAGCTCTGGCGGCACCAGGCAGTGCAGTTTGCTGGTGCAGATGTTCTGGGCAGCCAGTGACGACAAACAGTAGGAATTCCATCTGTCTTCTGGAAAGAAAAGGAAAAGGAGCTTTAGACCTCACAAGGCTGCCAGGAGTGCGCTTCTCGAACATACCAAAGCACACAGCCCCCGCTCTCAAGGCCTGCGAAAGGATCCAAGGATCACATCAACGTGCAGAGTTCAACCTTCACCCTCCAGTGTCCGTGTGAATGGCCCCGAGTCCCCCTGGGTGCCGTCCAGCCACAGAGCACATCCTACAGGAGACACAACGGCCCAAGCTCAGCATTTCTGTGGAAACACTCTCTGAGGTCCCTTCCCACCACCCAAGGGGTGTTTTCCTGTGTCTGCCCTTACAGACCCACAGCCCCTCTGGCTACCCACCGGCACTTATTCCTGGAAAGTCGCCCAAATCCAAGAGCTGCCTGCTCACTCGGCCCCTCCCTCCATTCCCTCATTCACAGGTCAGGTTCACTCACCACCCCTCCAGAAAACCTGCTCTCAGTAACATGTCCAGTGGCCCCAAGATGCTCAACCCCATTGCCAATTCTCAGCACTCACCCTACCCCAGCCCTGGGCCAGGGGCTTGCTCCCTGCCTCCTAAACCACCTGCCCTTGGCGGGGCTCCCTCTCCCCTCCACCTCCCCGACCTCTCACCACGGCAGAAGCCCAGACTCAGGCTCACCCCCTCCGCTCCATCCCACCCACTCTGCTTCAAATACACTCCACATAGGAATGTGCTGCTGGCCCCACAAACCCCTGCCTTGCCTCTCTCCTTTCCTATCTCAGCAAATGGCAACTCCATCCTCCCAGCAGCTCAAAATCCAGACAAAAACAACTCTTCCCTCCTTTCCCCTTCTCAGTTCACAGGCCCACCCTGGACCGTTCTCTGGGCCTGGAAACCGCATGGCCATCTGCTTGGCCCTCCACTTCCCTGGCCGCCCCAAGCTCAGCTCAACCCTCCTCACACCATGGCACAGGCACCGCAACCCTGGCTCTGCCCCTGGTCCCCATGCAGAGACCAGGAAGCCCGTGCTCCTGAGGACAGCTGCCTGCCTCACAGACCTGCCCAGCCCTCCCCGCAGAATCTCTGGTCCTCACCAGGAGGACCCAGAATCTCTTCCCCTCCAAACACTCCCATCCTGTGCTCCCAGGCTGGTGTGTGAGCTGAGTTCCAACCCTCCTCTTCCTTTATGGGACTGTTCCCCTCCTCCTCCCTCCCCCGGCAGCCTCGTCCCCCAGCTCCGGACCTTCCCATTGTCCTAACCGACTTCCCCACACTCTAGGTCCACCCAGCTGCAGGCCTGCACCTGCTGTCTCCTTAAGCACCCCCTCAGACAACGAGCCCTCTGAGCTCTGGAGGCACCAGCGGACTTGGAGAAACAAGTGAGTGAGTGGGCAGCAGGTGCCTCAACATCTCGGCCCAGCCCAGGCACCGCCTCCCGCACTGGGAAGCTGGCTGCCGCTGAGCCCGCAAAACTCGTCTGCATGCGGGAGGAAAGCATGAGCCTGCCATGCAGTCAGTAAATAGTTACTGAACTAGATCAGCCAAACTGTATTTCACTTGCACGGCAGCCCGGCCCAGGATCGTGCTCACACACACTCTGAAGCAAGGCAAGTCTCGGGCCCAAGAACCACAGCAGCACGACGGCCCGGGGGGGGGCCATCAGCATCGCCACCAGGGCACACCGAGCACCTCATCTGCGAGAACAGAAAACCCGATCAAAGCCTAGAGTGACTCGTCATTTTCATCTTCAACACTGACGCCCACAATGCCCAGGAGGGGGTTACCGGAGAGGCCCATCCTGCTCTGGCAGAGCTTCGAAAGCCCATTCCTTCTGCTCAGGTGTCTGTGGGCCGAGGACAGGGACTCGCTGGGCTCGGAGGCGGTCCACACAGCTGGGCTCTCGGGGGAGCCTCCGTCCTCCATTGGGAGCCGGCTGGCCAGGGCAGCAACCGTCAACTAGAAAACAAAGTGGACCCAATCAGCATCGGCAACACAATAGTAGGAAAGCAGTTTAACCAACTAATCCTTCGGCAGGTTGAGTGCAGCTCAGCCCCAAAAGGCTCCCACGCACCCCATTGCCACGTGGGCCAGGACCTCCAATGCAAGGCCAGTGACCAAAGTCCTGCTAAAAGAAGCTCTTTTGGAGAAATGCAGAACAAGAGATGGGAAGAGAGAGGGAAACAGAGGGAAAGAACAGAACAGGGTGCGAAGAGGCCATGAAGGCTACAGCTCCACGCAAACTGAAGAATGCTCCCGATGCCACGAGGGCCCGCCGGCCTGTGCGCCTCTGAGTGGCCCCAGCCTTCCCTGAATCCAGGGGTTCTGACCAGCTGCACCCAGAACCATCCAAGGGGCTGCTGACAAACAAGCGATGCAAAGCCATAGCAGAGTCTGGAGGTAAGCCTGGTACCAGGGATTTGTGGTTTAACTGTGTGGTTTCTAAGTACTTGTAGATCGGCAAGCAGTCCTAAGGAAAAAAATACAGAAAAATCTCATGTGTCCTTCACAGTTTCTTCCGGACAGTGCTGGAGGCCCGGGCCAGGAGCCTGGATGAAGGAGGAGTCCAAAGGACTAGGGCAATGTGCCCACCCCAAGCCTGGGTGCCCTCTCCACAATCACCTTCTGAGCATGTGGAACCCACTTCTGAGACCCGCACTGGCTTCTTCCCCCATCAGGGCTCCCTCGTGGGTACACAAAGGCCCAAAGACTGGCCAAGGAGCTTCCTTTGCAAGAAGACCAAGCTTCAATAAGCAGGCGGGGGCACCCACATAGGACGGACCTGCTATGGAAAGAAAAGGGGGGCTGACCCTCCCACGCCACATCACAGCATGGAACTCCAAGGAGGCCCAGCCCGCCAGTTCTATCCTGGCTTTAGGTCATCACGAATATTCACCACCAGCACAGAAGGGCAGTGGCTTTCATAGTTACCAGTTTGTGAGCCCAATTTATAATTTTGCATATGGGGATAACTGTATGGGGTTTCTAGTACGCTCACGCCCCAGGCCCCTCAGCTGTTAGGGCCTGGCCAATGCCCGCCTCAGCTGCCAGCTTCTGAGCATGGTGAGGCAGGGGTCCCCAAGACAGACAGAAAACTGAAGGCCCCACTATCACCAGTGTGGAAGGATGTTAACATCAAAACATGCCAAAGACCTACACAAATGGAGATTGGTACAGCAGAGGAACATAAAGGACAATGGAACATAATCAGCTTCAGAAACAGACCTGCGTCTGTTAAGGAGCTTGGCACAGAGTGAAGATCAAAGGGGAATGAACAGTGCTCCCCAGCACAGTGAGGCCCTGGACAGCCCCCTGGCCTTCCAGCTTCAGCCCCCTTCTATGCAAAATGTGAATAACGATAAGGCACATGTCACAGCACTCTCGTGAGGACCCAAGGACCTAAGCTGGGACTGCAAACCATAAATGCTGAATAGCTGTGAGAATTAGCGTAATTAGACCAGGGTGAAGTTGCATCCCTGTGACTTGCCATGTACAAAAATTAGTTCCAGGTGAATTCAAAAACGAAAGATAAAAGTTCTAGAAAAAAATAAGATAGAGAATACAATGGTCTGGGTAACTACCGAGCAGCCCTCGCATTTCAGAGCAGCTAGAGTGCATCAAGGGTATCGGTCTGTGGCATCTCTGAGCTACCTGAGAGTAAGACACACGCTTAAGAAGATAAAGATGCATGTGGGCTGGAGCTAGACCTGTGAGCGAGTCACCCTCACGAGACGGGGCCCCCTCAGAGAAGGCAGGGGTCCTGAGGAGGAAAAGTGTGGCCCCAGCTCAGCAGCCTGGGCCCAGGCAAAAGCAATCTTCCCTGAAGCAAAGCATCCTAAATACAGGTTTCCAAGAGCAAGACCAACCAAATATGCTCCCTTCCAATGACGAAGACAAGGAAACAAGCCCCCCTCAGTGACAGTCTACAGAAAAATCAAACAGATTCAGACACAAGAGAACATCAGATACTAGAAATGACTGTGTATATGTTTAAAACACAAAAGATGGGAGTCACAAAAGTGAGCAGAACAAGAGTTTCTCAGAAACAACTACATATTCAAAGAATCAAACCAGCTTTCTAGAAATTAAAATTTTAAAACTTCAGCATTAAAAAAAATGAATTTGTAATTTAAACTTACCCTCAAAGATCTCTAGGCCCAGATGGCTTCACTGGTGAATTCTCTCAAATGTTTAAGAAGGAAATAACATCAGTACTACACAAATTCCTCCAGGAATAAAAACAGGCTGAGCATATCCAGCCAGTGTTTGAGGCCAGCATCACCCTGATGCCAAAGCCAGACAAAAACATTGCTAGAAAAGGAAACTGCAGACCAATAACTCTCATGAACAGAGATACAAAAATCCTCAACAAGATGTTAACAAATCCACCGAGGCAATATATAAAAAGGAGAATTCACTACAACCAAGTGGGGTTTATCACAGCAACAAAAGACTAATTTAACATTTGGAAATCAGTCAACGTAATTCACCATATCAACAAGCTAAAGAAGGAAAAAAAAAAGGGGGAAAAATCACACAACCATATCAATTGATGTCAAAAAAACGTTGGACAAAATCCAACACCCCTCCACAGGAAAACACACTCAACAGTTAGGAAGTGAGCACATCCTACCCCTGCTCAAGAGCATACATGAAGAACCTACAGCCAGAGATGCTTGCCTTCCAAGGTCAGGGGCAGGGTGAGGAAGGCCACGTAGCCTCTTCTCTTCAGCACTATCCTGGGGGGACAGCCAGTACACAAAGGCAAGAAAAAGAAATAAAAGGCACATACACTAGAAAGAACAGCATAAAGCTATCTCAATTCACAGATGACATGATCATATACGTAGAGAATCCTAAGGATTCATAAGAAGACTAACAACCAGAGATTTTTTTTTAAAAGGGGGTGGAGGGTAAAGGTTTTCAACAGACACTTCACCAAAGAAGGCGTACAAATCACAAAGAAGCACGTGAGAAGAATGTTCACCACCGTTCGTAACATGGGAAATGCAAGTCAAACTGTCCCGAGCTGTCACATACAAGCACTAAGGTGGCTAAAGTTACAAAGAGTGGAAACACAGAGTGTCGGTCAGGATGGGGAGCAGCCAGAACACTCAGAGTACTGGCAGGAAGACACGATGTGCACACACCCACGCCGGAAAGCAGTCTGCCAGTGAGCCCAGGACACAGTGCTTGCATGAGATATCTGCCCGGGAGGGAGAGGGAGACAGCGATGGCCCCGATGGGCCCCAGTGCCGTGGAGGTGGGCCAGAGAACACTTCCTGCAGGATTCCGTCGGCGCCAAGCACGCGCCAAGACAGGCCTGATCCACTGGGGCAGAAAGCCAGGCGGGCGCAGACCAGGGCCAGTGGTGCGGAGGGCGGGGGCTGACTCAGAAAGAGCACAGAGGGGCTTTGGAGGGTGATGGGAACGCTCTCCAACTCCACTGTGCTCACGATCCTGCAGCTGTGGAAGCATCTCAACACCCCCTGAACTATGTACTGACCATCAGCACGTTTTATTGTCCATAAATTCTCGCCATAACGTTAATTTTTAATGTCAATGAATGAGTAAGACAAGCAGGTAGTCACGGCTGGAAAGAAAATTAGAGGATCGGTAGATCTGTGAATAAATAACCCAGAATGCAACTCAGGGAAACAAGAACATAGAAATATGAGAGAGAAGTTAAGAGATAAAGACGGGGAGAACTGAACAGCTAACTGGAGAGGGGAGAGGAAGAAACATTTGAAGAGGTAAGAATGAGCAACAAATCCACAGACCCAGGGCCCTGAGGGGGGCAACCCCACCTACCAGCTGTGAAAACCCGACAGGAAGCCGTGGCGTGGGTGTGTCCAGGCAGGAATAACCAAACTGATCAAAGGAACGGAGGACGACCAGCCCCGGACCCACGAGGCTGCCAACACTGGACGCCTGACTGCGGGAGCAGCTCCGGGCACTGGGGGGGAAGCCAGGCAACTCCATGTCCAGCCAAGAAACAGTGACAGCAGAGCGACCAACACGCCGCACGCAAAAAGCAATGTCCAGGACACCAAAGACTTAACTTGTGAAAGTAAAACACTAAACTTTTAGAAGAAAATTGGAAAGACCTTCGGTAAGACTTTGGGCAAGGAAGGTTTTCTTCAGCAAGACAGAAAAAGCTCTAACTATAACATAAGATTGATAAATTTAACATTAAAGTTGAGAATGCCTGTTCACCAAAAATACCTCAAACAAAATGATATAAACCCCAAGTTGGAAGAAGAGATTTGCCACATATAGAACCAGGAAATTAATATCCAGGGTAGTTTAAAAGGCCAATAATTTAAAATTTAAAAAAACAGAAAGTAAAAGACACACAGCTCCATGGAAAAATGGAAACGAAAATTTCACAGAAGAGGAAGTGGACAATAAACCTACAACAAGAGGCTTAGCTTTATTAGCATAATTGTGACAATTTAACACCTACTAAACCAGCAAAACTTAACAATTCTAATAATATTAAATATTGATAGAGATGTGGATTAATGGGACTCGAACAAATTAATATAATCTCTTCTGAAAACAATTTAAGTCCAACAGTAACCTACTAGGACAGTATATCCCACTCTTAGACTTCTATTCTATAGGATCCTTGCACATATGTAGCGAATCACACTCAAGAATGTTCAGGGCAGCATGGCTCACAATGGCAAAAAAAAAAAGGAAGAAAAGAAAAAAACCTGAACACTCATCAATAAGAAAACAGATTTAAAATTCTGGTATATTCATACTATGAGTTATAAAAATGAAAACAAATTCTATATAGGCAATGATGATAAATCTTAGCAATATAATAAGCGAAAAAAATCAAGTTACAAAAGACCATCAATAGTAAAATTCCCTTTTTACAACGCCCCCCCATCTACATACATTGTTCAGGGGTACACATGAATGTGAAAAACCCAAACTTCGGGCAGGGGGGTTCCTCTGAGGGTTCAGCAGCAAACCAGAATGGAGAACCGCACAATGGCCTAGGATCTTTCGGTTCCTAATTTGGGGGGGGGGGGCTTAAATGAGTTCACTTCGTTGTTATGATTCATGACTAATGTCGCATTCATCTTTTTGAACCATCAGCTAGCATACACTAAAAAGTTAAGAGATGTTTTCTAAACATATGTATATATCCAGGGCTGGACCATAACAGCAGCAGCTGATACTGAGCCAAAAGAGTAAGAAGCAAAAGAGAAATTAAATAGCAAATTACTAGAACGTATTGCTTTCCTTCTCTAAGCATCTAAATGGACTAATTATTTCTAAAACAAATAACATCATGTTTTCATTTCTATTTCTACAACCAACCTACTGACAAAGCACAGAGACTTGATTATAGCTTCAGACTACACTGTGAATGTCATAGAACTCTGATTTGTAAAAAACCAAAAACATGACTCTTCAGACTACATTGTAAATTTACTAATAAAACTCTTTAGAATACATTGTAAGTATTATAAAAGTTGACTTTGTAAAAGTAACAAGAAGAGGGAGAGGAGGGAGGGAAGTGAAGGGAGGGTAAGGGCCAATGCTTGGTCTTGCATGGGAGGAGGTAGATTAAGTCGCGTCTAAAGCTGACAAATCAAGTGGATGTAGGAAAGCCAAATCGTTTTTCCCTTTGTGGCTTCTGTGCCCTCTGTGGTCGGCCACATGCCGATTAGCGTGGCACACCACATCCACGCCACGTGGAACAGAGGCCCACAGCACCTCTGCAGAGCCACCCAGCGCCTCCAGCTCCACAGGCCTCGGAGAACACAGAGCCTGGCTGCATACAACCTTAGATCACTCCTTTTTCACAGGTTTAATTCAAAGGCTAACCAGAAACTCCTGCCAGTCAGCCCTAAGTTTTTAGAACAGTTTTCCTGGGTTCTGGGGCTTTTTGTACCTGTTCTGAGCAGAAGATATAGGACGTTGAACCCAGAGAGGACCTGGTGGTGTCTCAGAGTGATCCTATTGCTATTGCTAGTTTTGATTTCAGAAGGCATGAGTGACCCCTCTCAGACCAAAGAGAAGCAAGGAGAGGTTTGCAGGGAGTTTCTGGGAAAGTACTCAGCTTATGGGTGAACTTCTTTTTTTTTTTTTTTTTTTAAGATTTTATTTATTTATTTGAGAGAGAATGAGATAGAGAGAGAGAGCATGAGAGGGGGGAGGGTCAGAGGGAGAAGCAGACCCCCCGCTGAGCAGGGAGCCCGATGTGGGACTCGATCCAGGGACTCCAGGATCATGACCTGAGCCGAAGGCAGTCGCCCAACCAACTGAGCCACCCAGGCACCCTTATGGGTGAACTTCTGGAAGCAACCATCTTTCTCCCACAAGCTAGAAAGCAAAGAGCTCCAGTTGCTCCGACCGCTGCTGTACCACCAGTAACAGAACCAGCCTCAGGACGAAGCCAACACGGTGGACAGCAGAGCATAAGAGGGCAAGGATGTCATTCTGAGGATAAACCTACCCTAAAACCTGCCTTGCTCTGGACTTCAGGTTTAGGGGCCAATAACTACTCACCCCCAGAGCCTCTCTGGGACTGTGTTTCTGTTTCTCGCCTGGGGGCATCCTAAAGAATATCTAGGATGATGGCTGCTGTGATGGAGGATGTAAGCAAGGGGCATTTCCCAGACCTGAAAGGTCAACAAGGGCTTCCGGGAGGAGGCACCAGCGGAGCTGAGCAGGAAAGGGGAGTGAAGAAGACTTTCAGGCAGACAGAGGCACCCAAAGACAAAGATTCCCACAGCACCCTGGGGGAGGAGTAAGTCGGGCCTAACTCCTGGGGCCTCCGATGCCTGCCCAGGCAGTCTGGACTTTTCCCCAAAGATCGACTTTAAAGGGGCCTATGCTTGGAGTAACACGACCAGAAACGCAGTCTACAGAGATCACTCCAGGGGCAGGGGCACGGGTCTGGGGAGGGCGGAGGGAGGCTACAGCAATACAGGCAAGAAATATGAGGTCTTAAATTACAGCAGTGGCAGAAAGATGGAGTGGGGAACACATTAAGACCATCTGGCACAGGACTGACCTAGATGTACTGGGTGATGAGGCGCCGAAAGGAAGGCACCGAAAGGTGTCAAGGCCGCATCCCCGTTCCGCGCTCAGGCCGCCGCGTTGTCTGGGAAAAGAACCAGGGAAGAGGGGCCTGAGGATGAGGCCAGCCCTGTATGGGAAAGCCCGGTGGAGACGTCCGGCGGCAGTGCGTGCGCAGCCCTGCCCGCGCGGGAGGGCCGCTGGGGACCGCAGAGAACCCGCAGCGCTCCCGGGGCTCCCGCACGCGCCTCCCCGCAGGACGGCGGGCAACGGGACGCCAACAAAACGCACGCGGCCGGCTCCGGGATGGACGGTGCGCCGGCGGGGCTAGGCCCCGGCGCGGCCCCGGAGGGGAGGGGCGGCCCGGGCCCCCTCGGGTCCCCCGGCCAGGGCGCCGCAAACGGTCGCCAGGCGGCCGCGGGCCACCGCCGGCCGGAGCGGCACGGAGGAGGCGCGGGGCCGCAGGGCTCGGCCGGGGCTCAGCCACCGGCCACGCCAGGAGCCCCCGGGGCCCGGGCCCGCTCTCCCGAGCGCAGGTGTCTCGTCGGGGGCCTGCCAGGGTCCCCCAGCCAACTCGCTTCACCGCGCCGGGGGGAGCCGATCCTCACTCTGGCCCACCGGCCAATCGTAGAACAACCCGTGTCGATCGACAGGCCCTCCGAGCCAACCACTAGCGCCGTGGGCGGGACTCAGCGAGCGCCAGCGGGGAAGCCCGCGCAAACGGTTGCTAGGGACGCACCGGACTCCCTTTACGGCGCCTCCGAGGAACCAAAAGAGACGGCGCCTCCGCCCGCCAGGTCTGACCGACTCCGTTTCCTCCCGCCTCCGAGTCCCGAAGGGTGAGCAGCGCGCAGCTGCCCTCTCCGAGGCCTCGAAGGCGGAGGGCGCAAGGAGGCTCCCTCACGGCCAGGCACGCCCGCGGGGTCGAGGGGCCGACGGAGGCTGCGGCCCGCCGTGGACCGGGTCGGCGTCCTGGGCCCCGACAGGCTGTCCCCGCGCCTGCGGACGGAGTTGGCGCCCCGGTGCCCCGGCCCCGGGCCTCGGCTCCGACCCCGGCACGAGCGCGGACGCCCGGCGCTGAGCGTTAACTGGAGGCGGTCCCTTCTCACGGGCTGAGTCCGCGCGGCGACGTCGGGACCAAGTCGGCCAGTGCACAGACGCAGCCGCCGAGGCCCGGAGGGGCCGGCGCGCCCTCGACTGGCCCGCACTTTGCAGCCCCACGCAGAGACCCTCCACGAGCCCACGTGCCCCAGCATCGCCCAGATTCTCCTCTCCGCTCCCCTGCAGCCACGCTTCCGTGCGTGCGGCCCCGACCGCCCCCGTCTCTTCCCCGCACCTCGCCTCCAGAAGCCTCCGGTGTGCTCTCAGATTACCTGTCCCGAGGAGGTGAGGCTGGCTGCTCCTGCGGCTGAGGAGCGCATGGCCTCTCGGGCGAACTACAATTCCCATGAGGCGCTGAGGCTGCGCCGGCGCGTCGGGGTTCAAACCTGGGGTGGGATCCCATTGGCTGAGCCAGCACTGAGGCGGGAGCCCTGATTGGCTGAGGGGCCTGAGGCGACAGATTCCGGAAAGGGGAAGAGCAGCCAACATGGCGGCGGAACGCGGCGCGGGCCAGCAACAGTCGCAGGAGATGATGGAGGGTGAGCGGCTCCGTGGGGCGGCGGCCCAAGGGCCCAGCGGGCTGGGGGGCGGCGGCCCGCACCGGCCTTGCCTGGGAGAAACGGGCCGTCCCGCCTCTGGCCGTGACCCGGGTCCCGCCGCGCCCTGATAGCTGCCAGCCGGCTCGGCGGGGCAGGGGCGGCCCGGGACCCGGGGACCCCGGGCGGAGGCTGCGGTGGCCCGGAAAGCGCGGGCGGCCGGGAGGCGCCAGACCCAAGGCCGGGGGGGCAGCAGCGGCGCGGCCGGGTGGGTGGGTACTGACGACGCTGGTCCGCTGCCCGGGTGTCCGCCGG